ATGAAAGACTTGTATCTCACAATGCTATTTGTGTTAGATTTTATTTGTGTGTACATGTACATAGAGAAAAGTCTGGAAGAATGTTTATGAAAATACTAATAGTGCCATATATTTTTGTATGTTTGTTTTTCTCTGTGTTTTATTTAAGTGGAAAAAGCCAGTAGAGCTATTTCATTTAAAACATGAAGAGACTTCTCTGACCATGTTGTATAAAGTGAGACATCATGGTCCTGAGTTTCCTTTTATCTGTGTGGGAATTCTGAAAATGTTTTTGAAGGGCTTTGTGGCAGAAGCTCCAGTGGATAGTGTGCTATCTAGGTGTGAGTTGTCACTGGATTCCTGGTTTTCTACAGATAATCCCCCAAGCCTGAGCGCCTTCTGAAGCCCAGCCTTAGCAAGCAGCAGTGAACTCTAGCCCAGATGGCCCAAAAGACCCACATAGAGAGGGCTATGATATTAAGTCAACAGAACCTTAATGTTCACTCTGAGAAAGTCCCTTGGTGCCACTAACAACATCAGTGTTATACCAGGACAGTGCTGGTTGTTACCTACGGAGACCCTTGTGTTCTTACGCTTTCTCTAAATGGCAGGTGGGATGAATAGTCCTTCCGTCCCCTCATGCTTAATTTTATAATTAAGTACTTGTAGGTAGGGAAAGAAAACTGAGTTGAACCCTGTGGTGTTGGCATGGAATTAATATTGGTGTGGCTATGTTTGTTGTATTACAGTGGGTTAGGCTGCTGGCTTGGGACACCTGCATCCCATGTCAGAGTTCCTGGTTCAAGTCCCAGCTACCCTGTGCTTCTGATCTAGCTTCCAGCTAATGTACCTGGGAGGTATCTATCGTATGATGCTCCAAGTTCTTGGGTTCCTGGCTCCTGGCTTTGGCTTGGCCTATCCCTGGCTGTTGTAGGCATTTGGGGAGTGAAATCAGCAGATGGAAAATCTCTCTCTTGCACATGCACGTGCTCTGTCTCTCCCTCTTTCTCTGTCACTCTACCTTTCCAATAAGTAAGTAAATCTTTAAAACAAAAAAATTGGTGTGAATTCATGATTTTCAATGTATGTAGATAGATGAGCAAATGTATATTTTGTGTATTCACTATCTCTGTCCTTTGAGACAGCTTGTGATTCGCAACATCCAGGAGAAATGAACACATTTAGCACCTAGATCTTGGTTTTTAAATATCATTTCTCATTAAAAGGAACCAGAGTTTCTTGAGAAAAGGTCTGTTTCCAGGGGCACAACAGGGGAAATACAAGATGAGCCGGAGCCAGAAACATCTAACGGTGCTGGGAAATAAGCGGATGCTCATAAGGTGTTTGCAGTGTGTCTGAAGGACATGGAATCTACCTTGAAGGATTCCTGTTGGTCAAATTGGAGCGGTTTGAGCATCAAAATAATTATCATACTGATATTTAACTTACTTAGTAAAATAGGGATCTAGGAGTCTATATTAATATAAATAGATGAGGGGCCGGCACTGTGGCACAGCGGCTTAACTCCCTGGCCTGAAGCTCTGGCATCCCATATGGGCTCTGGTTCAAGTCCTGGCTGCTCCGCTTCCAATCCAGTTCTCTGCTGTGGCCTGGGAAAGCAGTAGAAGATGGCTCAAGTCCTTGGGCCCCTGTACCCACGTGGGAGACCCAAAAGAAGCTCCTGGCTCCTGGCTTCTCATTGGCGCAGCTCTGGCAGTTGTGGCCAATTGGGAAGTGAACCATCGGATGGAAGACCCCTCTCTCTCTTAGTCTCTCTCTCTCTGCCTCTCCTCTATCTGTGTAACTCCGACTTTCAAACAAATAAATAATAAAAATAAAAAATAAATAAATAGATGAATAAGTGAAAGTGAAACTTAGTTGAGAACCTATAAACACCATCATAATCTAGTGATCAAAGTTAGTATAACTAAATGTGATCCTGCACTAGATTCTTTTACCATTTTTTTTAAAGATTTATTTATTTATTTGAAATTTGAAAGATTTATTTATTTCCATCTGCTGGTTCACTCCCCAAGTGTGAACCAGCAGTGGCCAGAGCTGGGCCAATCTGAATCAGGAGCCAGGAGCTTCCTCCAGGTCTCCAACATGGATACAGAACGTGGGCCATCTTCTACTGCTTTCTTGCCTAGGCCATAGCAGAGAACTGGATTGGAAGTGGAGCAGCTAGGACTCAAATCGGTGCCCAAATGGGATGCCAGCATTGCAGGCAGTGGCTTTACCTGCTACACCACAGCACAGGCCCCGATTCTTTTACTGTTAATGACAGTTTTGAAATAACTGCTAAAATAATAATGGGCAGGAGAAAGAATTTAGCTTACTGGTCAGGAGAGCTGTACATGACATAAAGTACCTAAATTTGATTCCCAGCTCTGGTTCCTGACTCTAGCTTCCTGCCAGTGTACAACCTGGGGAGCAGGAGTGATGATTCACATAATTAGGTTCCCAGCTCTTGGCTTCAGCTCCAGCCCAGCCATTGAGGGCATTTAAGGAGTGAACCAGTGGACAGGAGCTTTCTCTTTCTTTCTGTGCCTTTCTCTGCCTCTTAAATAATTTTTGTAAAAAATATGAATGGGGTCTGAGGTTACACAGTAGTATTGTATCAAAGTTAATTTCTTCAGATTGGCATTTGTCATAATGGTTAAGATTGCACTAGAGATCCCCATGTCCCACATTGAGGTTCCTGGTTTTAGCCTCAGCTGTTCCACTTCTGACCCAGACCTAGATTCCTGCTCATTTGTGCCCTGGCAGGCAGCAGCTGATGACTCAAGTTTTTAGTCTCTGCCATGTACGTGGGAGAACTGGGTTGTTCCCAGTTCCCATCTTGGACCTGGCCCAGCCCTGGCTGTTGTAGGCATTTGGGGAGTGAACGGTGGGTGGAATATCACTCTCTGTTTGTATCTTTGTCACTTTCTTTACCTTTCAAATAAAGTGAAAATAAATAGAAATGTTTTAAAAGTTCATTTCCTGCTTACAAAGATTGAGTGGTGGTCCTTGTTTGTAGGATAAATACATGAACCATTAAGAGTGATGGAACATTGTAACAGAGATGGTTCAGAAGCAATGTATTGTCTTACAATTTTATGTAAGAATGAAAAGTAAAAAATAGTTTAAATATATTATAAAAAATTAGTATTTTATAATATTAAACATACTAAAAAGAATGACTGTACACATCAGCTAAGATTCCATACCAGACAAAAGCCTTGATCATTGTGACGTTGTTTATAAAGAATGACTTACTCTTAGGAATCTAGAATGGAGCTAAATTCTGTTGTCATGAGGCCTGCTTTATGGGTGATGAAAGGATTCACAGAGCAGTCAGATCGGGTGAGCAGAGTTAGATTTATTGAGCATGCTGCAAGGGAGTAGTAACAGGCAAGCAAGACAGCCAGAGGCATATACTTTAATGACAATCTCCTCAGAGTTAGGATGAGTTTTCTTGTGGTCCAATGGGTTTTTCCCATCAGATAATTTACATTTCTGGGTGGAACTGAGGAGTTTCTTACCCATTGAGTGCCCTGTGTGGCCTCCATACCTAGGCCTGTGGGAAAATTGAGGGAAAAAAATCACTCATTATTTTCAGAGGATTTACTTGTCTCATCGAATTCCATTTGAAAACAATGCAGGAAGAATAATAAACATCCATGAGCCTATAAACCCAAAAAATTATCTTGGGAATTTATGAAGTTATTATAATCAAGAAATTCCGGAAAGAAGTTGATTGTCAGTCATCTTTTTTTTTTAAGATTTATTTTATTTATTTGAAAGAGTTACAGAGAGAGGTAGAGACAGAGAGGTCTTCCATCTGCTGGTTCACTCCCCAGATGGCTGCAACAGCCAGAGCTGCCCCGATCTGAAGCCAGGAGCGAGGAGCTTTTTCCGGGTCTCCCATGCGGGTGCAGAGGCCCAAGGATTTGGGCCATCTTCTGCTGCCTTCCCAGGCCAACCGGCGCCCATATGGGATGCCAGCACTTTAGGCCAGGGCTTTAACCCGCTGCACCACAGCGCCGGCCCCTGTCAGTCATCTTTGAAGTCTGCTTTATACCCCTCAGTGACCCTCCTCTCCAAGACAGAACCACAGCCGTAATTTTAGGTTTATAATTCCCTTTTTTAGAAATAGTTTGGTTATGCTAGATCGATTTTCTGTCCTTTCATTTTTTGGTAGGCTCCCTAATGCCAAAGGCCTCATCTTTCTCTTTTGGTAACTTTGGTATTGATGTAAAAGCAACATACTTAATAGAAATTTATTAGTTCTTGGCAAAAAAAGAAAAATTCTGTGGTCACTAACTGAAGAAAGATAATCATGTTGTAAATTTAAGAAGATGCTTTTGAACATGAGAGGTAAGTCATCTTCTTTCTAGAAGGTACTGTTGACGTGCCACTGTCCTAAACCTTATATATTAAGTAACTAAAGACCATTGCAGATATTAGTTTAGTTTTTTTAATATCATTATTGTGTATTTTGAAAAGAGAACACTTATGGATCTTGGTTGTGTTAATTTCATTTAGTTTTTTTTTTTAAGGTTTATTTATTTATTTATTTATTTGAAAGAGTTACACACAGAGAGAGAGAGAGGGAGGGATAGAGAGGGATGTCTTCCATCCTATGGTTCACTTCCCAATTGGCTGCAGCGGCCAGAGCGGTGCCAATCTGCAGCCATGAGCCAGGAGCTTCTTCCGGGTCTCCATGTGGGTGCAGGGGCCCACTTGGATCATCTGCTGCTTTCCCAGGCCATAGCAGAGAGCTGAATCGGAAGTGGAACAGCCAGGTCTCAGACCGGTGCCCATATGTGATGCCAGCACTTCAGGCCAGGGCGTTAACACACTGCGCCACAGAGCTGGCCCCCTCCATTTAGTTCTAGTAATGGGAGTGAATCAGGAGCAAATTGTAGTATTTTAATTGTAGTGTCACACTTGGAATGTTGGACATAACCACAGATAGTTTGAAATTCAACTTCTCATAAGCTTTTGATTAATACCATATTTAAAAAATATAACAGAAATCAGCCGGACTACTATGAAGTGGTTTCTCAGCCCATTGACTTGATGAAAATCCAGCAGAAACTAAAAATGGAAGAGTATGATGATGTTAATTTGCTCACCGCTGACTTTCAGCTGCTTTTCAACAATGCAAAAGCCTATTATAAGGTAAGAAAGCACCAAAGTTTATAACTCTGACTTTTTAATGTTGATCAGTCTGTCAGGTAATTAGTAGTTTCTCTTTATGATTTGAGTCCATATTTTTCTTACTGTAGAATGAACTTCCATATAATTATGAGCTATTTTTGTTCTGTAAGTGTCTGCATCTATCATTTGCCCATTTTTCTCTTGGTCTGTTTGTCATTTTTGTATTTATTCTGGGAACTTTAAAATAGTTCTTTTTTTTCTTTAAGATTTATTTATTTGTTTGAAGGTCAGAGTTACACGGAGAGAGAAGGAGAGGCAGAGAGAGCAAGGTCTTCCAGCCGCTGGTTCACTCCCCAGTTGGCCGCAATGGCAGGAGCTATGCCGATCCAAAGCCAGGAGCCAGGAGCTTGCTCTGGGTCTTCCCATGTGGGTGCAGAGGCCCAAGGATGTGGGCCATCTTCCACCATTTTCCCAGACCATAGCAGAGAGCTGGATCAAAAGTGGAGCAGTCGGGACTAGAACCAGTGCCCATATGGGATGCCAGCACTGCAGGCAGCAGCTTTACCCGCTGTGCCACAGAACTGGCCCTTAAAATAATTCTGATAGTAATCCCTTTTGATTATGTGTTTTACATATCTTTTCCCATTATATGTCTGTCTATTTAGGATCTTTGATGAACAAAAGTATTTTTTATGTTCTTTTTTTTTTTTTTAATTTTTTTTTTAAGATTTACTTATGTGGAAAGCGGAGTTGGGTCCAAAGTTGTGAAATATGAAGGCTAAGCCTCGGCCTTCAGTGCCAGCATCCTATTTAGGTGCCAGTTTGAGTTCTGGCTGCTCCACTTCCTGTCCAGCTCCCTGCTAATGTGCCTGGGAAAGCAATGGAAGATGACCTAAGTACTTGGGCCCCTACACCCATGTGGGAGACCCGGAAGAAGCTCCTGGCTTCAGCTTGGCCCAGCCCTGGTTGTTGTGGCTATTTGGGGAGTGAACCAGTACATGGAAGACCTCTCTTTTTCTCTCCATATCTCTGCCTTTCAAATAAATAAATAAACCTTTAAAAATAGAGAGAAGGCAAGACAGAGAGATCTTCCATCTACTAGTTAACTCCCCAAATGACCGTAGTGGCTGGCATTAGGCCAAGGCCATGAGCCAGGAACTCATCTTGATCTGCTGTGTGGGTGTCACGCACTCAAGTACTTGGGCCATCTGCTGCTGCTTTCCCAGGCACATTAGCAAGAAGCTGGATTGAAAGCAGAGGAGCCAGTGCTCAAAAGTAAAACTGTGCCAGTGTTGAAAGCGGTAGCTTAACCCACTGTGCCCTAATGTGTGTTCCAAGAAGTTTTTTTTTTAAGATTTATTTATTTTTAACTTCAGAGTCAGAGTTACACACACACAGAGAGAGAGAGAGAGAGAGAGAGAGGTGTCTTCCATCCGATGATTCACTTCCCAGTTGGCTGCAACGGCCGGAACTGCGCTGATCTGAAGCCAGGAGCCAGGAGCTTCTTCCGGGTCTCCCATGTGGGTGCAGGGGCCCAAGGACTTGGGCCATCTTCTACTGCTATCCCAGGCCATAGCAGAGAGCTGGATTGGAAGTGAAGCAGTCAGGACTAGAACCTGCGCCCACATGAGATGCTGGCGCTTCAGGCCAGGGCGTTAACCCGCTGCACCACAGCACCGGCCCCCAATAAGTTTTTTTTTTTTTTTTTCTTTTTCTTTTTTTTTTTGGACAGGCAGAGTGGACAGTGAGAGAGAGAGACAGAGAGAAAGGTCTTCCTTTGCCGTTGGTTCACCCTCCAATGGCCGCCGCGGCCAGCGCACTGCGGCCGGCGCACCGCGCTGATCCGGTGGCAGGAGCCAGGAGCCAGGTGCTTTTCCTGGTCTCCCATGGGGTGCAGGGCCCAAGCACCTGGGCCATCCTCCACTGCACTCCCGGGCCACAGCAGAGGGCTGGCCTGGAAGAGGGGCAACCGGGACAGAATCCGGCGCCCCGACCGGGACTAGAACCCGGTGTGCCGGCGCCGCTAGGCGGAGGATTAGCCTAGTGAGCCGCGGCGCCGGCCCCCAATAAGTTTTTAATATAGTCAAATTTATCGTTCTTTAACTTTGTGTTTTATCCTTCTGCGGGTATTCTTTCAGAAATTCTTGTTGTTCAAAGATTGTAAGATATTCTTCTCTTATATCGTCTCTTAAAAGTTATGTAGTTTCGTCTTTCACATATAACCCTTTAGTGAAGTTGAGCTTCATTTTTGTGTCATTTATGAAGGAGGGAAGCTCTTTTTTTCCCCACAGGTATAACTATCATCATTCTTTCTACAGTCATTTGCAGTGTCAGTATTGTCATAATTTTCATGGGCTTCTTTTTTTGAAGATTGATTTATTTGAAAGAGTTACAGAGAGGCAGAGGCAGAGGCAGAGGGTGGGTAGGAGGGAAAATCTTCTGTCCACTCGTTCACTACCCCAGATGGCTGCAATGGCCGGAGCTGTGCCAATCCAAAGCCAGGAGCTTCTTCCCTGTTTCCCTCGTTGGTGCGGGGACCCAAAGACTTGGTTCATCTTCTACTGCTTTCCCAGACCATAGCAGAGAGCTGGATCAGAAATGGAGCAGCCGAGACACAAACTAGCACTCATATGGGATGCCATCACCACAGGCAGCAGCCTTACCTGCTACACCACAGCACTGGCCCCTTCATGTACTTTGGATCTGTTTCTGACCTTTCATTCTGATTCTGCAGGCTGGTTTGTTAGCTATTCCATTCCTTTCTTTATAAGTTTTAAAAAAATATTTATCCATTTGAGAGGCAGAAAGGCAGAGATAGAGGATAGGAACCATCTTCTGGTTCACTCCCCAAGTGCTCCCAACAGCCAGGGCTAGGCTGAGACCAAAGCCAGAAGCCTGGAACTCGGTCCAGGTTTTCCACGTGTGTGGCAGATAACCAATTACTTGAGCCATCACCACCACTTCCAGGTCTGCACTCTAGGAAGCTGGAGTCAGTATACAGAAGCAGGCATCAAACACAAACACTTTGATGTGGAACTTAGGTATCTTTACTAGCATCTTTTTTTTTTTTTTTTTTTAAAGATTTGAAAGGCAGAGGTAAAGAGAGGCAGAGACAGGGAGCAAGGTCTTCTGTCCCCTGGTTCACTGCCCCAAATGGCCACAATACCCGGAGCTGGGCCGATCCAAAGCCAGGTCTCCTATGCGGGTTCAGGGGGCCAAGGACTTGGGCCATCTTCCACTGGTTTCCCAGGCCACAGCAGAGAGCTGAACTGGAAGTGGAGCAGCCGGGACTCGAACCAGCACCCATATGGGATGCCAGCACTGCAGGCGGCTGCTTTACCTGATGCGCCACAGTGTTGGCCCCAAATTTTTTTTTTTTTTTTTTTGATCTGGTAAAGAAACTTCTTATGAGACTGGTGTTGTGGCACAATGAGTTAAGCCACCGCCTGCAATGCTGGCATCCCATATAAGTTCCAGTTTGAGTACTGGCTGCTCTGATCCAGCTCCCTGCTAATGTGTATGGGAAAGCAGCAGAAGATGGCCCTAGGATTGCTATACCCACATATAAAACCCAAATAGAGTTCCAAGCTCCTGGCATCGGCCTGGCCCAGCCCCAGCCATTGTAACCATTTGAAGAGTGAACCAGTGGATGAAAGATCTCTGTCTGTCTCTTTCATTTTCAGGTGTACACATGGTCACGCTCTTTGTCTCTCTCTAACTTTGCCTTTCTTAACTATACTTAGCTGTTTGTCTTTCCTTAAAATCATTGTAAATGAAGAAACAGAGTAAGTATTGAAGTTTTATTGTAATTGCATTCAGTTTATAGATCATATTGGGAAGAAGTAATATGATAATAACTGTTCCAGTCAGTTAATTTAAGTCTTCTTTACTGTATTTCAGTAAAGATTTCTGCAAAAAGATTCTAGAAATGTTTTGATTTCTTAATACTGTATATATATGTATACTTACTTGAGATATATTTCATGTACCCTATTAAATTACAGATTTAAAGAGTTTTTAGTTATGTGTGAAGTTGTGCAGCTGTCTTTCCAACTCCATAGTATTTTTGTTACCCCTAAACAAAAATAGCCATTAGTAGGAATTTCCTATGCCCCTTCTCCTAACATGTGACAACTACTCTTTCTGTATGGATTTGTCTGTTCAGGGCATTGCATATAAATTGATTCATACAATATATGTTTTTGTGATGACTTCTGTCACTGAATATAATCTCTTCAAGGATCATCCATGTTGTAACATTTTAATTCTTTGTTCCTTTTTATGGCTGAGTAATATTTCGTTGTGTGAATGTATCATATTTTGTTTATGTATTCCTTAGTTGAGGCGCATTTGATGGCTGCTTTGGGCTGTTGTGAGTAATGTGCTGTGAATTCTGTGAATGTGGTGAGCGTGTCATTTGTTGGATATACTGCTCTGCTTGTTACAGTGTCGCTAATTTTTTTGTATCCTTACTGATTTATCAACCTGAACTGTCCAGTTGCTGAATAAGGAGTTTTTATTTTTCAATATTTAGAGATTTATTTATTTGAAAGGCAAAAGAGAGAGGGAGAGAGATTAATTTTGATCTTTTACCCACTGATTGCCCAAATGCACACAACAACCAGGATTAAGCCAGCCTGAGTCAGGAAGCTGAAACTCCATCTTGGTCTCCCACATGGCTGGAAAAGTTACTGAAGATAGTCCAGGTACCTTAGCTGGAAGCTGGATCAGAAGCAGAGCAGCAGGGACTCTAACTGGCACTCCAGCATCTTTGAATGAGGTGTCTTTTAAATGTCTCTGTGATGATGGATTTGTGTATTTCTTCTTGTAATTCTGCTAGTTTTTGCCGTATATATATTGAAACTATACAAATAGGAATATGCAAGGTTGAAATTGCTAGACTGTCCTAGTAAATTTTATTTTTACTATGATGTGTAGCCCTTTCTATCACAGTAATATTTTTAATTGAAATGTATGGTCTGATGTTTGATAGCTATACCAGCTTTGTTTTAGTAATTTCCTATTTTATGTTTTTTCCCTTCTCACACTTTCAGCTTTTTCATATCCTTCTAATGCTGATATATCATGTAAAAAAAATGTGAACTTCTGTTAATCCAGTTGATGATCTTTTCTTTTTTTAAAAAAAAAAGATTTATTTATTTATTTGAGAGGCAGAGTTACAGTGAGAGAAGGAAAAATAGAGAGAGAGATCTTACATAAACTGGTTCACTCTCCAAGTTGCTGCAACAGCCAGGGCTGAGCCAGGCCAAAGCCAAGGATCCAAGAGCTTCTTCCAGGTCTCCCACGTGGATGGCAGGACCCTAAGGAGTTGGGCCTTCTGCTGCTTTCCTGGGCGCATTAGCAGAGAGCTGGATCAGAAGTAGAGCACCTGGGACTCAAACCAATGCCCATATGGGATTCCAGCATTGCAGGTGGTGTCTTAGCCTGCTGTGCCACAGCACCGGCCCTAATCTTTACCTTTTAATTAGAACCTTTCAGTTCTGTATGATGTTGGTAATTACCATTATATCTGAGTATTACTACCATCATATTTCTACTTTCTGTTTACCTAACTTTTTAATTTTTTTCTTCATTGTCTTTTGCTTTCACTTTGATTTTGTTTTCTTGAAAATTAGGAATATGAGACCTATTGATACTCTTTTAGTCTTTTTATTAAAGATTTTATTTATTTAGGAGAGAGTTACAAACAGAGCGAGGGAGAGGCAGAGAGACAGGTCTGCCATCCGCTAGTTCACTTCCCAAATGGCCACAGTGGCTGGAGCTGAGCTGATCCAAAGCCAGGAGCCAGGAGCCCGGAGCTTCTTTTGGGTCTCCTACCAAGGTACAGGAGCCCAAACACTTGAGCTATCTTCTACTGCTTTTCCAGGCCTTACCAGAGAGCTGGATTGGAGGAGGAGCAGCTGGGACATGAACCAGTGCCCATATGGGATTCCAGCACTGCAGCTGGAGGCTTGGCCCACTGTGCCCTAGAACTGACTTCAGGGGCTTTTTTTGTTGATTTATTTGTTTGAAAGAGTTACAGAGAGAGAGAGAGAGACAGAGATCATCCATCTGGCTGTTCACTTCCCAAATGGTTGCGACAGGCCTGGGCTGATCTGAAGCCAGGAGCCAGGATCTTCTTCCGGGTCTCCCACGTGGATGCAGAGGCCCTAGCACTTGGGCAATCTTCTGCTTTCCCAGGCCATCAGCAAGGAGCTGGATTGGAAGTGAAGCACCTGGGATTAAAATTGGTGCCCATATGGGATGCTGGCACTGCAAGTAGATGCTTAACCTATTATGCCACAGCGCCTGCCACAAACCTAAGCAGTTAAGCCATCATCTGCTGCCTCCCGGGTTTAGTGTTGGCAGGAAGCTAGAGTCAGGCATCAGAGCCAGAAGTCAAACCCAGGCACTCCAGTGTAGGAAATGCCTTTCTCTACGTTTTATGAGTGTTTTCACTTCTTAATGGTACCTCTTAAAGGCTTTTTTGGAATTTTGGTTTATTTTTGAAAACATGATGTCCAATGTTGTTTTTACTAGGAAGTTTCAGTCAATAATTAGTATGCTATATGCTTCAGGAACAGAAATCTTCAAATGAAGTATTAAATAGTTTTAAAATCAAAGTAAAGGGCAGTGGGCATCTGGTCTCTCTTTGTCTCTCTGTAATTCTTTGAAATAAATAAAATCTTTTTTAAAAAAATATAACAAGATGCCTCTTGGAACACCTGCGTTGCCTATCAGAGTGCCTGGGTTTGAGTCCTGGCTCCACTTTCTGTTCTACTTTTCTGCTAATGCACACCTTGGGAGACAGCAGGTGAAGGCTTAGGGACTTGGGTCCCTGACGCCTGTTTGGGAGACCCAGATTCAATTTCGGGCTTCTGGCTTTGGTCCATCTCTAGCAATTTGTGTGAATCAATGGGTAAAAAAATCAGTCTCTCCACCCCTGTTTTCTCTCTCCCCCTATCTGTCTGCATTTCAAATAATTTTTTTTAAAAAACTAGATTGTAAAGAAACAAGTAATACTAGAATAGCCATTAGTTTTTTTAAAAGGCTATCTTTTAAATTTATTTGAAAGGCTGAGTGACAGACAGACAGAGAGTCCATCCATTGTTCTACTACCCAAATGCCTCTAACAGCCAGGGCTAGACAAAGGCTGAGGTCAGGAACCAGAAACTCAATCCAGGTTTCCCATGTGAGTGGCAGAGACCTAATTACTTCAGCCATCGCCCTTGTCTCTGGGTCTACCTTAGCTGGAGGCTTGCATCAGAAGCCAGAGGCAGACATCAGACTCTGGTACTCCAGTATGGGATGCCTGTGTCCCACTGTACCACAACATGTGCCCCAGCTTCTGTATTTTTATCAGGTCTTATCTTTTAAATAATCTTTCTTAGGGTTGATGTTTAGTGCAGTGGCCGAAATCACAGCTTGGAATGCCTGGATCGCATGTCTAAGTGCTGGTTTGAGTCTGCGCTAGTCTGCTTCCAATCTAGCTTCCTACTAATACACCTGGGAAGGCAACAAATAGTTGATTGCCCAAGTACTTGGGTACCTCCCAACCATGTGGGAGACCCAGGTGGAGTAATTGGCTTCTGGCTTCAAGTTGGCCAGCCCTGGCTATTGTGGGCATTTGAGGAGTGAACCAGCGCATGGAAGATATGTCTGTCTCTTTGTCTATCTCTCTGCCTTTCAAATAAAGTGAAAATATTTTTTTAATTATCTGTTTCAATATGTTGATCCTTAGTTGTTTTTTTTTTTTTTTTTTTTTTTTTTTTTTTAAGATTTATTTATTTTACTTGAAAGAGTTACAGAGAGAGAGAGAGGTCTTCAGTCTACTGGTTCACTCCCCAAATGGCTACAACTTCCGGAGCTTGGCCGATCTGGAGCCAGGAGTTTCTTCTAGGTCTCATACATGGGTGCAGGAGCCCAAGGGCTTGGGCTATCTTCTACTGCTTTCCCAGGCCATAGCAGAAAACTGGATTGGAAGAGGAGCAGCCGGGACATGAACTGGCACCCATTATGAGGTGGCAGCCTTACCCACTACGCCACAGCATTGGCCCCAGTCTTAGTTTTAATTTAGCAAATAATTATCCTCTGCCTCAAGTCTTTCATTATATAATGAGATAAAATATAGATGCTTTGATTTCATAATGCCTTTTAAAACATGTACCTACTTTCTCGGAATAGAGATTGAGGCCCTATGTCTTCTAAAAAGAATTTTAAATTTTGTAATATGTTTTCAAAATTATATCTTAAAATACCAGTCTCTTCTGGGACAGGATACTTTCTAAGTAGTGATTAGTATACTGAAGTGATTTTTTTTTTCCCTTTTCTCTATGCTAATATGCAGCCAGATTCTCCTGAATATAAAGCTGCTTGCAAACTCTGGGATTTGTACCTTCGAACAAGAAATGAGTTTGTTCAGAAAGGAGACGCAGAAGATGAGGACGATGATGAAGATGGGCAGGACAATCAAGGCACCGGAACTGAAGGAGTGAGTGTGTAGCTGTATCAGTGATGAATGGGCTATTGGAAGGTTGACGGGGTCCTTGTCTGTGATTCCCTCTGTGCTGTTGTTGGCAGCTGGGCTTTCTGTGCTGCTGTAATGGCAACTGGGAGGGTAAATGGACATTCAGCCTGAGATCCACTCCAGTTTTAAGAGATCTTACAATGTTGTAGACAATGCATGCCATGACTGGTGGTTTTCATGAAATATTCTTACATCAATGCACATTTTCTGTTCTGTTTTAAGGGCTAGTCCAGTATCTAAATTGAAACATCATATAAGAGTATACAGTGTTGGAGAGTCAACAGATTTACCTTACTTAGGACTGCTTCTGTAGGTTAGACTGGTTAATGTTCTTAGAACTTGTTAGGTATGTTCCCACCTCTGGAATTTTGCAGTTGCTTATCCTAGAAATTAAAAAGATAAGCTTAAAAACAAAGACTTATTTATTTATTTAAAAGGCAGAGTGATAGAAAGGAGAAAATGAGAGAGAAGAGAGATTCCATTCACTGCTTCACTCCCTCAAATGTACCTTACAGCCAGGGCTGGGCCAGACCAAAGCCAGGAGCCAGGAACTGCATCTGGGTCTCCCACATGGGTGGCAGGACCATCATCTATTGTCTTCCAGGCCCATTAGGAGAAAGCTGGATCAAAAGCAGAGTAGCTGGGACTTGAACTAGGTACTCCAGTAAGAGATGTAGACTTCCCAAGTGGCAGCATAGCCCACCATGCCATGGCATCTACCCCAGTAAGCTTATTTTGATGCAGAAAACTTTTGAAGTCCATGTATACAAGGTACCTTCAGAAAGTTCAAGGAAAATGGGTGTTACGAAAAACTGTACTTGGATTTTGAATTTTTTGCTACAGAATTTTTCTTTGAATTCCATTTTTCATGAATGGAAAATTTCTTGAAGTTCCCCTGTAGTTCTTAGTCATCTCATCGATTTCTTTTATGAAATTATACGGTTGAATTAAATAGGTGATTAACAATAGTGATTCACTGCAGTTTTGGATTTTTTTTTTTTTTTTAAGATTTATCTATTCATTTAAAAGGCAGAGTTACAGAGAGGCAGAGGCAGAAGCAGAGAGAGATGTCTTCTGTCCGCTGATTCACTCCCCAAATGGGTGAAGTGGCTGGAGCTGGGCCATTATGAAGCCTGGAGCTTCCTCCAGATCTCCCACACAAGTGCAAGGACCCAAGGACTTGGGCCATCTTCTCCTGCTTTCCCAGACCATAGCAGAGAGCTGGATTGGAAGTGGAGCAGCCAGGACTTGAACCGGCACCCACATGGGATGCCAGTACTACGGGTGGCAGCCTCACCTGCAGTGCCAGCGTTGGTCTATGATAAGTATACAGGAGAAGTAACTTAACCCATGCCTTCTTAGGGCCTTTCCTGCAGAGTCCCCAGCCTTAATATATACCCCTAGAGCTCTAGGCAAAAAAATAAAAATGCCTACATTTAGAATGTGCCTATATCTCTTTCTGTTAGGTCTAACTGACAAGAACTTGAGAGGTTCTTATTCGTTTATATACTTCCCAAGCTTCTTCCTAGCCCTAAGATTCTTGTGAAAAGGGAAAGAATTTATTAGCAAGGCAGAGTGACAGATCTTCCATTTGCTAGTTTACTCCCCAGGTGCCTGCAACAGCTGTGGTTGGGCCAGGGCTAACCCAGGAGCCAGGAACTCTGTCCAGAGGTCTCCAAAGTAGGAGATAGGAACCCGAATACCTGGACTGTCATCTGTTGTCTCCCAGGTGCATTAGCAGGAAGCTGGATTGGAAGCATGGTGTAGCTGGTGCTTGAACCAGGCTCTCTGACATGCTAGCATTCCAAGTACTGTGCCACAACACTTACCCTAAGCTTCTAATTTTTAAATAAAGAATAGTTTCTTGGAGCAGATATTTGGCCATTAAGCTGCCTGCATCTCATATCAGAGTGACTAGGTTTGAATTCCAGCTCCACTGTGGATTCCAGCTTCCTTCTATTACAGATCCTGTGAGGTATCAGGTAATGGCTCAAGTAGTTGGATCCCTGCCACCCTTGTGATACGGATGGAGTTCCTGGCTCTTGGCTTTGCCCTGACCTAGCCCTGGCTATGGTGGGCATTTGACGAGTGAACCAGTGGATGGGATCTCTCTCTCTCTCGTTCTTGCTGTCTCTTTCAGATAATTACATTTTGTCACCTGCAGCAAATTTCCAAAGTAACTGTTTGGGCTCGGAGTAAGGGAGTCATGGCTGCAGAACATGACTGTCCTATTTTTGAAGGTAACTGAGTGGTACCATGTTTTAGCCAGGAAGTAAATGTAAATGACAGGGGCCGGCACTGTGGTGCAGTGGGTTAAACCTCTGCTTGCAGTGCCGGCATGCCATATGGGTTCTGGTTCTAGTCCCAGCTGCTCCACTTCTGATCCAGCTCTCTGCTGTGGCCTGGGAAAGTAGTGGAAGATGGCCCAAGTCCTTGGGCCCCTGCATCCACATGGGAGACCCAGAGGAAGCTCCTGGCTTCGGTGCAGCTCAAGCCGTTGCGACCATTTGGGGACTGAACCAGTGGATGGAAGACCTTCCTCTCTGCCTCTGCCTCTCATTGTCTGTAATTCTACCTCTCAAATAAATAAATGAAATCTCTTTTTTTTTTTTTTTTTTTTGATAGGCAGAGTGGACAGTGAGAGAGAGAGACAGAGAGAAAGGTCTTCCTTTGCTGTTGGTTCACCCTCCAATGGCCGCCGCGGCCGGCGCACCACGCTGATCTGATGCCAGGAGCCAGGAGCCAGGTGCTTTTCCTGGTCTCCCATGGGGTGCAGGGCCCAAGCACCTGGACCATCCTCCACTGCACTCCCTGGCCACAGCAGAGAGCTGGCCTGGAAGAGGGGCAACCGGGACAGAATCCGGCGCCCCGACCGGGACTAGAACCCGGTGTGCCGGCGCCGCAAGGCGGAGGATTAGCCTATTGAGCCGCGGCGCCGGCCTTGAAATCTTTTTTAAAAAATGTAGATGACATAAAAATGGGAATATTAGTTTGCTTTCATCATTGTCATGTTGATTGTCTAAACTTACGTAGTTTGGGCTCTGACCAAATTAATGTCTTATATTTTAAATAATTACTGGCTGTCTTACTATTGCCAAGTAGGCTAAGCCCAAGACATGTTAGTGCCCTCCTCTCCGTGGAGTTCCTTAGGACAAAACTATCAGTGCTTTTAAACCAGAGGGTAATGATTGAGCTTTATTTTATATACGCAAAACATGGACTTGAAGTAACATTTAATATAAATCTTGGCCAAGATATCCCATTGTTCGTTATAGAAACTTGCTTTCAACTCAAACCTTGCTTCTCCCTGAGGCATGTCCTTTTCTGTGTTCTGTTCTAGGTGTAAGCCAGTTAGTCTGAAAAGTAAAAATGGTGTGCATCACTTTGCTTAATCTCTTTTCAACTTTAACTCAAGTTCAGTTGTTAGACCTGACAGAGTACTCCATGATTAAAAGCATGTAGTCCCAACTCTGAAGTCACTGTCCTATCAGAATACCATGACTTTGGTAGAAGCAAATGACAGATGTAGAAGTTGCCAAGTATTACAGTGCTTGTTTTCTCTGGCTCTGTTACTCAAACTCTGAAAAGATACTCATTTCATAATAAGGTGCTTGAACTTTGCCATTACAGTGTTCACTGCAGAACAGAGTTCAGGGATTTAGTTACAGAATTAGTGTAAGCAGCTTCATTCATTCCTTGTAAGCCGTTCTGGGAGTTCAACCACATTGTCCAGCATCAGAACATTTCTCTGTTATTCTTGAACTTTTTACTGCTTTGAAACTTTTGTTTTGAATTAGCTTTTCAATCTTAAAAGTTCCCTAATATTTGCTATGTATTTATTGATTTGTCACAAAGCACTTTTTTCTGTCCCTCTTCCCTCCACCTTCACCCTCTAGTCTTCTCCAAGTTACTTGAAGGAGATCCTGGAACAGCTTCTTGAAGCCATAGTTGTGGCCACAAATCCATCTGGACATCTTATTAGTGAACTTTTTCAGAAACTGCCTTCTAAAGTGGTAAGTGATATGATTGAAGATGGGTGAATTAAATGTTTAATTTTTTTTAAGTACCACAAGCATTTTATTAGTTGTGTGTTATTAGTATATAAAGTAAGTTTAGAAAGATGTTGGCGGCAGCCCAGAGCGCATCCTAGTGGCTTTAAGAATAAGCACAAAGGTTATTTTCTGTCATTTTACTTTACCAGAGGTTAAGGATTTATTTTTTAGAGATTTATTTTTTAAAGATTTATTTATTTATTTGAAAGATGAAAGTCACAGAGAAGGAAAGAGATCTCCTGTCTGCTGGTTCATTCCCTAGATGTCTTAAATGGCCAAGAGCCTCATCTGGGTCTCCCACATGGGTGGCAGGGGCTCAGTTACTTGGGCCATCTTCTGCTGCTTTCCAGGCACAGTGTCATGGAGCTGGAAGAAAAGTAGATCAGCTGTTACTCCCACCAGCGCTCATTTGTGATGGCATCCCAGGTGGTGGCTTAACCTATTGTGCCATGATACTGGCCCCATAAAACCTTTTATTTATAAGACAGGAAACTTTCTCTTTGCTCAGGAGACAGGATAAGAAGTCAGTAAATGAACTCTTCCCTCAGTTCTCCTTGATCTGGTGACAGAAGAGAGAGAGGGGCATGTTAGGTGCTCTCTACCCATAGCTCCCTGCTGTGGCCTGGGAAAGCAGTAGAAGATGGCCTGTGTCCTTGGGCCCTCGCAGTCTCATGGGAGACCCAGACGAAGCTCCTGGCTCCTGGCTTCACATTGGCCCACCTCCGGCCTTTGCAGCGGTCTGGGGAGTGAACCAGCAGATGGAAAACCTTATTCTCTGTCTCTCCCTCTCCCTGTCTTTAACTCTACCTCTCACATAAATAAATAAATCTTCAAAAAAAGAAAGAAAAAATAATGAACTCTACAGATGCTACTCACATCATAACCTCTTCACACTGCAGAAATTTCCATGGCCTCAGCTTTTTTATGTTTCTAAATAACAATATACTTACGAAAATTGTGATCTTTTACTTTTGTATCTACCTTCTTCCCTCCTTCCTGAATTTCTTGGGAATAGGAACTATCCCACTTTGCCTTTGTGTCCCTGTCATGTGGTTAGAATCCAGCATGTCATTGGAGTGAGAAATTGTTTTTGACTAATGGATGCCAGTTATCAATAACTAGTTATTTAATGCTGTTGTCTTGTCTAACATGTAGCACAGTTATGACATTAGAAATAAATGGGCCAGCACTGTGATGTAGCAGGTAAAGCTGCTGCCTGCAGTGCTGGAATCCTATATGGGCACCAGTTTGAGCCCTGGCTGCTCCATTTCCAATCCAGTTCTCTGCTGTGGCCTGGGAAGGCAGTAGAGGGAGACTCAAGGCCTTGGGCCCCTGCACCCACATGGGAGACCTGGAGGAAACTCCTGGCTCCTGGTTTCAGATTGGCCTAGCTCTGGCCGTTGTGGCCATCTAGGGAGTAAACCAGTGGATGGAAGACCTCTCTCTCTTCTCTCTCTGTCTGCCTCTACCTTTCAAATAAATTAATTAAATCTTAAAAAAAAAAAAAAAAAAAGAAATGTGATCATATTACCACTGCTATCCTACAGATGGGTCTGATTATGAAGATTAATGATTATGGGACAGGTGTTTGGCCTGGTGGTTAAGATGCTCACATACTGTATCAGAGTGACGGGCTCAGTACTTACCTCAGGTGCTTGACTCCAGCTTCCTTCTAATGAAGACCCTTTGGAGGTGGCAGTGATGGTTCAAGTAATTGGGTTTTTTGCCACTCAGATGGGAGAACTGGGTTGAGTTCCTGAATCCCGGTTTCTGCCTTTGCCCAGCCCTGGCCTTTCAGGCATTTAAGAAGTAAACTGGCCGGCGCCGCGGCTCACTAGGCTAATCCTCAGCCTTGCGGCGCCGGCACACCGGGTTCTAGTCCCGGTCGGGGCGCCGGTTTCTGTCCCGGTTGCCCCTCTTCCAGGCCAGCTCTCTGCTGTGGCCAGGGAGTGCAGTGGAGGATGACCCAAGTGCTTGGGCCCTGCACCCTATGGGAGACCAGGAGCAGCACCTGGCTCCTGCCATCGGATCAGCGCTGTGCGCCGGCCGCAACACGCCAGCCGCGGCGGCCATTGGAGGGTGAACCAACGGCAAAGGAAGACCTTTCTCCCTGTCTCTCTCTCTCTCACTGTCCACTCTGCCTGTCAAAAAAAAAAAAAAAAAAAAAAGTAAACTAGCAGGTGGGAACTCTCTCTCTGTCTCTCTGCTTTTCAAATAAAAAAAAAATTTTTTTTTTAAGATTTCATTGTATTTACTTGAAAGACAAAGTCACAGAGAGAGGTAGAGACATGGAGAGAGGGGGAGAGGTCTTGCATCCACTGATTGATTCCCCAAATGGCCACAACGGCTGGAGCTGAACCAATCTGAAGCCAGGAGCTAGGAGCTACTCTGGGTCTCCCACCTGGGTGCAGGGGTCCAAGGACTTGGGCCATCCTCCGCTGCCCTCCCAGGCGCATCAGCAGGGAGCTGGATCGGAGGTAGAGCAGCTAGGACTTGAACTGGTGCCCACAGCGCTGTAGGCTGGGACCCTAACCCACTGTGCCACAGTACAGGCCCCTAAATTTTTTTTTAAAAGATTTATTTACTTACTTGAAAAGCAGAGTTACGGAGAGAGAGAAGGGGAGAGAGAGAGAGAGGTCTTCCATTCACTGGTTTATTCCTTAAATGACCACAACGACTGGGGCTAGGCCAAGCTGAAGCCAGGAGCCAGTAACTTTTTCCAGGTTTCCCACATGGGTGCAGGGACCTAAGCACTTGGGCCATCCTCTGCTGCTTTCCCAGGCATATTAGCAGGGAGCTGAATTAGAAATACAGCAGCCAGGGCCAGCACCGCGGCTCACTAGGCTAATCCTCCGCCTTGCGGTGCCGGCACACCGGGTTCTAGTCCCGGTCAGGGTGCCGGATTCTGTCCCGGTTGCCCCTCTTCCAGGCCAGCTCTCTGCTGTGGCCATGGAGTGCAGTGGAGGATGGCCCAAGTACATGGGCCCTGCACCCCATGGGAGACCAGGATAAGCACCTGGCTCCTGCCATTGGATCAGCGTGGTGCGCCAGCCGCAGCGCGCTGGCCGCAGCGGCCCTTAGAGGGTGAACCAGCGGCAAAGGAAGACCTTTCTCTCTGTCTCTCTCACTGTCCACTCTGCCTGTCAAAAAAATAAAAATAAAAAATACAGCAGCCAGGACTCAAACTGGCCAGTATGGGATGCTGGCTCTGCAGGCCATGGCTTAACCCACTGCACCACAGCACTGACCCCTTGAATTTTTATAAAGGATTGGGGGGAGGCATTTGGTGCATCAGTTAAGACAGCACTTTGGACACCTTCATCTCGTATCAAGTGCTGGTTTGAGTCCCATCTCCTCTGCTTCCATTGTAACTTCCTGCTTAAGAGTGTGGGAAAGCAGTGGATCATGGCCCAGGTGCTTGAGTTCCTGCCAACCATGTGGGAGACGTGGATGGAGATTCTGACTTCTCTCTCTGTTACTCTACCTTTCAAATAAATTAAATACATGAATCTTTTCTATAAATTCTAAGAAAGATCAGTGAAGTCTTTACTCAGAATTTTTATGCCTAGTCTGCAGGAGATAATCAGTAGTTGTCAAACTGCAAAGGATGATTTGGAACAATGAAACCTAAGTATCTAGTTTCCCCCATTTCAGTAGGGCCTTCAGGGACATGCAGCAATGCAGCAGGAGTTGAGGGGGGGAAGCATTTCCCATTAAAACCTCAGAGTGGCCGGCGCCGCAGCTCAGTAGGCTAATACTCCACCTAGCGGCGCTGGCACACCGGGTTCTAGTCCCGGTCGGGGCGCTGGATTCTGTCTCAGTCCAGGCCAGCTCTCTGCTGTGGCCAGGGAGTGCAGTGGAGGATGGCCCAAGTGCTTGGGCCCTGCACCCCATGGGAGACCAGGAGAAGCACCTGGCTCCTGCCTTCGGATCCGTGCGGTGCACCAGCCGCGGCGGCCATTGGAGGGTGAACCAACGGCAAAAGACCTTTCTCTCTGTCTCTCTCTCTCACTGTCCACTCTGCCTGTCAAAAAAAAAAAAAAAAAAAAACCCTCAGAGTGTGACAGTACAGCAAGGACTGAGACCTGGCAGAGCAGAGCAGTTTTGCTCTTTCATGTATAAATCCGTCCCAGGCAGGCTGGCTGAGTGGAAGGAGTGAATTAGGAATACGTGGGTCAACAGCCTGGATTATTCTGTACCTTCTCCAGAGTGGTCTTACTATAATTATTATTCTTTCAAAAGTAGAGCTGGTGAAGAAAGGGGGCTGCAACAGGGTTTGATCCAAGCCAAGAAGAGTAGCATTATGATAGCAGTCAGATGAGGGATCGGGTGAGATGAAACATCACCAAAGTCATCCCTTGAGTTACATCACTGAGTGAGGGCCGGAGCCTCTTGTGTGCTGTTGTCATTTGGCTTTCTCTAAGATTGCATGAGATTTGCTGGGAGAGCAGTTTTCATGAACTTTTTCTAAGAAGACCAGCTTTTGATTTTTGATTGTCTTCAGTTGTGTCGCTCAAAGAGGAAAGCCTGTTGGGAAGCCTGAGAGAAGGGAATGACTCTAGCCCTTGCAAAAACCTCAAAACATTTTCATCTCCCTGAGATGAGCCAGTATTTGGTAATTCAGAAATTGCTAATAATTTTGCTTTATTTATGGTTTTATTTAAAAGAGACATTTTGAAAAATCTTTTGAGAGAAATAAATAAAAGTATTAAGCATGAAACTAACAAATCTTGCATCTGAGGTCTTAGAGTCTTAGGAAGGAATGTTTATATAAAATATAGTTGTTTAAATTGTAAAAGTAAAAGAGTTTGTAACAAGCCTGTCAACAACAGTTTTCTGCTTTATTTCTAAGCTTGAGACCTTAAATTATATAATTGTATGATTATGTGAATTTGTCTTTTTTTTTTTTTTTTTTTGACAGAGGTAGACAGAGAGACAGGAGAGACAGAGAGAAAGGTCTTCCTTCCATTGGTTCACCCCCCAAATGGCCGCCACGGCTGGCATGCTGTGGCCAGCGTGGGCGTGCTGCGCTGATCCGAAGCCAGGAACCAGGTGCTTCCTCCTGGTCTTCCATGTGGGTGCAGGGCCCAAGCACTTGGGCCATCCTCCACTGCACTCCCGGGCCACAGCAGAGAGCTGGACTGGAAGAGGAGCAACCGGGACAGAGTCCGGCGCCCCGACCGGGACTAGAACCCAGGGTGCCGGTGCCACAGGCGGAGGATTAGCCAAGTGAGCCACGGTGCCGGCCATGAATTTATCATTTTTTAAACATTCATTTACAGTATACTAGCCATATAACAATAACGATCAAATACCAAGTGTAGGCCGGCACCACGGCTCAATAGGCTAATCTTCCACCTGAGGCGCCGGCACACTGGGTTCTAGTCCTGGTCGGGGTGCCAGATTCTGTCCCGGTTGCCCCTCTTCCAGTCCAGCTTTCTGCTGTGGCCCGGGAGTGCATTGGAGGATGGCCCAGGTCCTTGGGCCCTGCACCCACATGGGAGACCAGGAGAAGCACCTGGCTCCTGGCTTCGGATCACCGCGGCGGCCGTTGTGGGGTGAACCAACGGTAAAGGAAGACATTTCTCTCTGTCTCTCTCTCTCTCTCACTGTCCACTCTGCCTGTCAAAAAATACTAAGTGTAAACTCCTGCATTCTGGTGTTATGTTTTATGAAACATAATATGGTATATAGCCATGTCTTCAGCTTTCAGTCTCATAAAGCTGTTCACTGGTTGTTTGAGCAAGAGATTGTCAGTGTCCTGCCACATTTTCTCGTGGGTGCTTTCACATACTGAGCAAAACTGGGTTTTTGTCTTCCAGCAATATCCAGACTATTATGCAATAATTAAGGAGCCTATAGATCTCAAGACCATTGCCCAGAGGATACAGGTATGAAGATGACCACATGTAATCCTATGTAGTCCGTGAAAATTGGCTTATGATCTTTCTTAGAGGCTTTTAGAAAAGACAGAAGCAAATGTCTGTAAAGGCTTATTGGCAAATAATGTAAGCAGATGAAAGAAGTGTTACTGATTGTAGCTTTACATTATGTTTTAGGACAAAAATTTAAAAGCATTGGTTGTAGACATTTCTGATTGTGAAAGGTACATTGGTAATAGAAGCTTTTTTAATTCTTTATTTGCTTCCAAAAGTTTTATGAATCTTAGAATAAAAGGTACCTGTAACAGATATGACAGCCTGAGATCATTGTAAAATGCTTTGTTCTCCTCAGCCTCCTCAGTGTCTCCCTCCCCACTGTATCTCCAGCAGCAGTAGCAGTTAGCAGGCGCATAGAGTTGCTGGTACCCAGCACTGTTCTAAATGCTTTAGCATTTATGGTTATTAGCTAATGCATTTTTACCACTCCATGAGGGAAAAGTTGTTATTCCCATTTTACACATTAGAAAATTGAAACACAGTGTTAAATGACATACCCACATCACCACCTAGTAAGAAAGCTAGGATTTGATTCCAGCAAGACTGGCTCCTGAATCTGTGAGCATAACCACTTTGTCTGCTATCTCTCCACAGAGTAAATGGTCAGCAAACATCAAGTGAGTGAATGACTAGGATTTAAAGTTTGATGATCAGAAGTTAAGTAAAGTGTAGGGAGAAAGCTAAATTATAGCAGAAATCCAGTTTTTAGAGTGATACTGGCGTGGTTCTTTATGCTTCTTACTGGTTATGTCACTTTGAGCAGGTAATTTGCCTGCTTTCTCTGCTGTTATGTTTGGAGTAGTATCACCACTTTGCAGAGTCATAGAGTCAGTTATAATGTGTGGAAAGCATGTTATGTAGCACCTATAATATGAGACCAGGGTAAATGCGAGTCAGTGACCTCCCAGGGTAAGTAGGGTTTACTGCTCCCAGGAGATAGATAAATAGGTAAGGGAATAGTAAATGTCGTGCATAGTCTCATTGAGAACTGAGACTGAATTGCAGTGCCAGAAGAGAGAATCTTCCTTCATTTTCAGCTCCCAGAGAGGAGTAAACAGTAGCAATATAATAATTACTGGTACATTTTCTGAATATATTTTCTTTCTTCTTAAAGAAAAAAAGGTTTATTTATTTATTTTGAAAGTCAGAGTTACAGGGAAAGAGGGGGACACAGAGAAAGAGAGACAGTCAGAGAGCTTCCACCTACTGGTTCACTCCCTAGATGGCCGCAACCATCCGCAGTGGGCCAGGCTGAAGCCAGGAGCCTGGGGTTTCATCCAGGTCTCCCACGTGGGTAGCAGGGACACAAATACTTGGGCCATCTGCTGCTGCTTTTCCCAGTCAATTAGCAGGGAGCTGGATTGGAAGTGGAGTATCCAGGAAACGAACTGGCACCCATATGGGATGCTGGTGTTGCAGGCCATGGCTTTACCTGTTAGAACACAATGCCAGCCCCCATGGATGCATTTTCACAGAATATTAAGATACAGATTCCCTGTTGTGTCATGTGACATTTAAAGCAGCCAAAAATTTAGGCTACTGAGAATGACCCAGATCTAGTAAATCCCTGAAGTGTAATGTTTTCGTAATACTGAGAATCAAATCAGATCTTTAAACAGAACTGCCTCAGCCCCAGTTTTCTCTCTCTGACTTCTCTTACCTTATGTTGTCCTTTCTTCCCTCACGAAGTCCCAGGGATGTTTTGTTTGGTTTGTTTGTTTTTCCATCACCCTGATCAGAATCCTTGTCCTCTAATCTCCAAATTATTGGAATAGTCTTCCTGCCTTTCTGGTGCAAAGCTTTCATCTCGTCCATCCTACACCTTCTTTCCTGACCTTGGCTGCTTTCCTGCCTTTCCACTGCCTAGACTTACGTCACTTGTTTTCTAATGTTGCAGTTCCTTATACCACTCAGCAGTAACTCTGTCTGAAGCAGGACAGAAATTTATGAAAAGGGTATCAGATAGATCAGAATTGTTGGGATGGTACACTTGTTACAGAAACCTGGAGTGGGAAAAGTTTGTTCATTCAAACAGGCACCAGAGACAGTGCAGAAGCGAAAGCAGTTTGTTAACGCCAGCAGGCTCAGTGGGAATCATTTCCTGAGAACTGAGCATCAAAATCAAATTTCTTACAGTATTTATAGGTTCATTAGCATCATAACTTAACCATTACAGCATTGGTGGGCTTAAATCTTAGCTTACTTGATCAGGACCACACTTCAGTGGTCGGTCAGTCAGTCGATTGGTCCGGTAGACTTAAAAGAGATACGTGGGGCAGATTTGTAGGATAGATTTATGCCTGGAGTTACTGAAGGCAGAGCTTAGGACATCTTCCCTCTCTAGACAAGATAACCATGCGCAGCTGCTTCACCAGGTAACTGGGAGCATCTCCCCCCCCCTTTTTTTTTTTAAGATTTATTTTACTTATTTGGAAGTCAGGTTTACGCAGAGAGGAGAGGCAGAGAGAGAGAGAGAGAGGTCTTCCATCCTCTGGTTCACTCCCCAATTGGCTGCAGCGGCCAGAGGGGAGCAGCCACTTTGCAAGGTTAGTGTCAGGAGTCCACTTTCCTTCCTTTGTCTCTGGTTGCAGCCATATTTCTTTACAGGCTAAGGAACTATTCTTTGGAAATTGGGCAGAACTCTGAGACATCAAGGCATTAGCTGTAGCTGTTACTGTCCTTTTCCCCTGTGGGCCCTGTGGGCCCTGAAAGCTTGCTGTTCCACTGCCAGACTTTTTTCCTCTGCAGAAGTCAGGAATGAATTGCTGTCAGTCCCTGGCAGTTGTCTTAGTCTCAAGTGCCCAGAGCATGAACTTGCTGATGTGTGATTGTTTCCCTTTCCCCTGGCTGGTTTGCCAGCAGCCTTCTCTCATTGACTTTCTCATTGGAGGTAGGATTTTCCCTGTCACCTGTGCCTAGCATTCACTCCAAATCAGGACGCTCAGGTGCTGGGTGGTCCCACTTAACAAGTAACCCATTACTCTCCTTTGCCTGGCTCCCTGGATCCTGCCTCCCTTGTCCTTCCTCTGTCTTTGCAACTTATGCTTATGGTTCTACAATTCCCCCACCCTCCACTTCACTCATTTTGGTTTCTTCAGTCTCACTTGAGCATGTCTTCTTCATTGTGTACTTTTTATCATTCGTCATGTGTATCTTTTCCCAAGAGTGTCTCCCTCCTTCATTGCCTTTTAAATTGAGGAAAGTAGGAATACCCCTGGGTTATTTTGGACTGAATGAGCTTTAGGATGTGACAGCTCACAATAGGTAGTTACAAAATGGTAGCCTCTGTTCTTGACTGGTCCGGATAATTAGAAGGAGTTTTACTTCCCACTCTAAAGCACACCTTAATGATTTAGTATTATAAAGCACTTAGAACAATTCTTGGCACATCATAAGCACTTTGTGTTTGCTAAATAAAACTTTTTTACCTTGTTGGATTTTTAAAAACTTCATTTTTAATGAAAATATTATGTATAGCAACAAATTATTTGTAAATGAGTAGTAGTAACAGTCTGCAAAAGCGAAATGACTTGATGACATAGTTTATGTAATTACTTTCCAGAATCTTGGAATATGTTGACAACTTAAAAATACGTGGAGTTCTTTTTTTTTTGCAGAGGTTATACTGATTAACTCTTACTAAGAGGGATTGCTGTATTTTGTTGTTTGCTATAGAATGGAAGCTACAAAAGTATTCATGCAATGGCCAAAGATATAGATCTCCTAGCAAAAAATGCCAAAACATATAATGAACCTGGTTCTCAAGTATTCAAGGTTAGTTTTTTGATGCCATTTTTATATCTGTATATTCTAATTTAGGGTCAATCATTTTTATAGAACTACTTTATTGATATATAATTCAAAAACCATACATTTCACTCCTTTAAAATCCACAATTTAATGGTTTACAGTATATTTCCAAAATTGCACATCCATTACCTGGAGCAATTAGCCATCACTCTTCATTTCCCCCCAAGTCCTAAGCAGCCACCTATGATCTGCATGTTTGCTTTTCTGGATATTTCATAGAGATAGACTCATACAGTATGTGGTATCGATTTCTTCATGTTTTCAAAATTCATCCATGTTGTATCCTGTGCCAGTACTCTATTCTTTGTATTGCTAAGTAATATTTTTTTAAAGATTCATTTATTTATTTGAGAGGCGGGGTGGAGCGGTCTTCCATCCATTGGTTCACTCCCCAAATGGCCACAACAGGCAGAGCTGTGCCAATCCAAAGCCAGGAGTCAAGAACTTCTTTCAGGTCTCTGATGCGGGTACAGGGCCCAAAGACTTGGGCCATCTTCTACTGCTCTCCCAGGCCATAGCAGAGCTGGAAGTGGAGCAGCCAGGATTCAAACCGGCACCCATTATGGGATGGTGGCACTGCAGATGGCAGTTTTACCTGCCATGCCACAGTGCCGGCTCAATACATTTTAAATTTCCACCAGTGATGTAAAACTGTTGAAGTTTCTTCACATGCTCACCAACCCTTGTTTTCATTTTTGTTTTTATTTTATTCTATGCATGCTAGTGGGTGTGAAGTAGTATGTTATTGTCGTTTTGATTTGCATTTCTATAATGATTGATGATGCTAAACATCTTTTGTTGTGCATATTGGCTATTTGTATGTATTTGGAGAAATGGCTGTTCAAGTCCTTTGCCCATTTTCAAATTTTAAATTAGGTTACTTGTTATTTTTTACTTGTAACAGTTCTGTATATATTCTGGATATTATCAGATATGTGATTTTCAAACACACCTATTCTTTTTAATTTCATGATATTGTCCTTTGACACACAAAAGTTTTTTTTATATTTGATGAAGTCCAGTTTGTCTATTTTTTTCGGTTGCTTGTGTATTAAGTGTCACATCAAAGAAAGCATTGCCTAACCCAAGGTTTTCTTCTTCTTCTTCCTTTTTTTTTTTTTTTTTTTCCCGGCCAGGCGGAGTTAGACAGTGAGAGAGAGAGAGAGACACACACACAGAGAGAGTTATAGACAGTGAGAGAGAGACAGAGAGAAAGGTCTTCCTTCCATTGGTTCACTCCCCTAATGGCCGCTACGGCCAGTACTCCGCTGATCCAAAGCCAGGAGCCGGGTGCTTCTTCCTGGTCTCCCATGCGGGTGCAGGGACCCAAGCACTTGGGCCATCCTCCGCTGCCCTCCCGGGCCACAGCAGAGAGCTGGATTGGAAGAGGAGCAACTGGGACTAGTACCTGGTGCCCCAACTGGAACTAGAACCTGGGGTACTGGCACTGCAGGTGGAGGATTAGCCAAGTGTGCCCCGGGGCCGGCCCCCAAGGTTTTCTTCCAAGAATGTTTTAGTTTAGCCCTTATATTCTGATCTTTAGCCCAGTTTGAATTTCTTTTTCTGTAGTTAAGGAAGGAATCCAAATTCATTCTTTTCATAGGATATCATTCCAGTGCCATACATTGAAAATACTATTCCTTCCCGCATTAAACTGTCTTGGCACCCTTATTGGAAATCAGTTGACCATAGGTATATGGGTTTGTTTTTGGATTCTTGGCTCTACTCCATTCATCTAAAAGTCTTTTCTTATGCCAGGCAAGGTTAGTTTTTGTTCCTTTTTTTTTTTTTTTTTTTTTTTTTTTTTTTTTTTTTTTGTTAAATATTGATTTAGTCCCGGTATTTAAACTTTGTAAATATAAATAGTAATGTGTGGTATAATTCACAATATAAAATGACTGCTTCATTCTCTTCTGATTTCCTTTCAGAAGTTTTGTTATTGAATAGTTGCTTATAGAAATGGCTTCAATTAATCATACATATATCATTTTGAGATTCTTAGCAAAGGGTACTCAGAAGACCTTTTGGTGGTAAAACCATTTGGACTTTCTGAATGCTGACTCCAGTGCTCAAAATTGCTACTAATTTTTGGAAGTTAATATTAACTTTTATCATTTGTCTTTTAAGAAATTTTGAAAATCAATAATGAATTCTAGGGTCCTTGTATTTTCAGTCCTTGATGAGATATTTTCATAGTACAGTACTAATTGTTGATTAAGAATTTTACTTTTGATCTAATTTTCCCTGAATCTCATTCCAAAGAGAAGAGAAACTTTTGATTTGATATGTTAATATGCTGCTATTTAAGTGAGTAAATTCGTCCAAAATCTATGTGCATAGCCTTTTTTTTTTTTTTTTTTTTGAGAGGTAGAGCTACCAGTGAAAGGGAGAGACAGAAAGAAAGGTCTGTCTGTCCGCTGGTTCACTCCCCAGAAGGCCACAATGGCCTGAGCTACGCCGATCTGAAGCCAGGAGCCAGGTGCTTCCTCCCCGTCTCCCACGTGGGTGCAGGGGCCCAAGGATTTGGGCCATCTTCTACTGCTTTCCCAGACCATAGCAGAGAGCTGGATCAGAAGAGGAGCAGCCAGGACTAGAACCAGCCCCCATATGGGATACTGGCGCCTCAGGCAGAGGATTAACCTATTGCGCCACAGTGCCAGCTCCATGTGCATAGTCTTTAATCTAGAAGTACAACTTTGTTTCAACATGTAGGTCAGTGTATACAAATAAAATTCGTTGTGTTTTATCATTAGATCTTTATTTACATATTACTTGACTAATTATAAAAGGATGCAGAACATTTTAACTTTTAATTGTGGACATCTTTATGAATATGTTTTAGAAGCTTGTGGAAAGGTTAGAGGATGCAAGTTTGTGGATATTGAGAGGAAGTCTGGTGCTTACACAAAGAGCACCATAGAAAATGCCCAATGCATGAATGAGAATATTTTAAACTCCTTTTTTCAGTTCTTTTTAAAAAATTTGATAATTTTATCTTGACAGGATGCAAATTCAATTAAAAAAATATTTTATATGAAAAAGGCAGAAATTGAACATCATGAGATGGCAAAGTCAAGTCTTCGAATAAGGTAGGTTAAAATATATGTAAAATTTTTTTAAAGATTTATTTATTTATTTGTTTGAAAGTGTTACAGAGAGGCAGAGGCAGAGAGGGGGAGGGGGTCTTCCATGCACTAGTTCACTCCCCAGATGGCCACAACAGCCAGAGCTGTTCCAATCCAAAGCCAGGAGCCAGGAGCTTCTTCTGGGTCCCCTATGCAGGTGCAGGGGCCCAAGCACTTGGACCGTCTTCTACTGCTTTCTCAGGCCAGAGCAGAGAGCTGGATTGGAAGTGGAGCAGCCGGGACTTGAACTGGTGCCTATGTGAGGTGCCGCCACTGCAGGTGGTAGTTTTATCTGCTAGGCCACAGCGCTGGTCCTAACAAGTCTTAATTCTGGGATTTTGTTTTCTCCTACCTGAAATGGGAAGATTGGCTGACCACTTTCAAAGTTTCTTTTGAGTCTGAGATTTGTTTCTGCCCTAGGTTCTCTTGTAACCCATAGGACTGGTCCTGGTCCGTTTTCTCCAGCTTCCCCATGACCTGGAGTAGAACCTGCTGTGTAGTAGAGGTTCAGAATATTTTAGCATTTCTATTTAGAAAAGAAGAAAATAGTTGTCTTCCTTTTGTTTACCCAACATTCTGATTTCAGCTATCAAGCTTCTGAACTATCTTGTCTTATCTCTGGATAGGACTCCATCAAGTTTGGGTACAACCAGGCTGACAGGTCCTGCGCACAGTAAAGGCAGCCTTAGTGAGGACAGAAACCCCGCCAGCAAGTATTACCGGTGAGAAAAGAGTGTTTTGTCTGAGAGCTAACCCGTGTGTAAGGATAGGCATACTGATGTTTGCCTGATAGCTATTTGGAAGTAATATTTTTGGATATACTTAGATTATTATGGGGTTTGTTATCAAATGCTTTATTTAAAAGATTGAAGTGCTATGGGTGGTTTTTAAAAAGTAAGTAGAAATGTGTATTATGAGAAACTATGCATGCGTTTCAGATTTTTTTGCAATAAAGTAAGCTTTTTTTTCCCCCTATTTTGAGAGGCAAAAAGACAACTTCCATCCACTGTTTCACTCCCAGAATGCCTTCCGTGGTCAAATCTGGGCCAGACTGGGAGCTGGGAGCCCATAACTCTCCTAATGCATAGCAGGAACCCAGCTACCTGAGCCTTCACCGGCTGCCTCCCAGGGTCTGCACTAGCAGAAAGCTAGAATCAAAGCCAAAGCCGGTACTTAAACCGAGGCACTCTGAAATGGGCCATGAGCATGTGGGTTGCTAGACCAAACACCCACTCCAAACTTACCTCATTCCATTTTCCATAAATGTTTTAAAGGACCCTCATAGAGCAGGCCCACTCACTTCAGACAATGCTAAAGCCTTGTGTATAGTTACCAATAAAATGTGTGAAGTTACCAATAAAACTAGAAGGTTTTGTGTCCATATGAGAATCTTAGCAGAGAATAAGCAGTAACTGTGAATGAGTAATTATTTTCCATAAAGTAGGGCGTAAGGAATGTTATACTGCACTCAAAAAGTAAATTGTAAGTAGCTTCTTTATTTTTCTAGGCTATCAGCACTCCTTCATTTCGGAGAGGAAAAAAAATACTTTTCTTGGCTAAGATTAATTGTGGGAAATATTAAGCACAATATTAATCACAGGAGGCGGTTGAATAGATATTAGTTTTCTATTAATGTTTTGTTAGCAGTTCATATTTTTTATGTAGTAACCAAATTATTATACCATTTCCTGTCTGAGAATTGTTTGTTTTTCCTTGTAGTAATAAAAGAACAGTCCAAGGGGGTCGTTTATCTGCAATTACCATGGCACTTCAGTATGGCTCAGAAAGTGAAGAGGATGCTGCGTTAGCTGGTAGGTATTAGGATGTGATGAATTAAATACCTTCTGAATGGCTCCTTCTGGCTAAGGGAAATTGCAGTGACTGGTCTAGCCTGGAGTTATTGGTTCTTGGAAAATGTACTATTTGGTTGTGTGATTTACCAAAAGCTTATTGCTTTCTTTTGTGTTAAAGCTCATATCTGGGGAAATAAATACTTTTGCAAACACAAGTGTTTTGATAATATAGTAGATCCCAGTTTAAAACCTATAAGAGGCCGGCGCTGTGGTGTAGTGAGTGAAAAGCTGCCTGCAGTGCCAGCATCCCATATGGGCGCCAGTTCGAGTCCTGGCTGTTCCACATCAAATCCAGCTCTATGCTATGGCTTGGGAAAGCAGTAGAAGATGGCCCAGTTGCTTGGGCCCCTGCATCCATGTGGGAGACCTGAAAGAAGCTCCTGGATCCTGGCCTTGGATCTGCATAGCTCCAGCCATTGTGGCCAACTAGGGAGTGAACCAGCAGGTGGAAGACCTCTCCCTGCCCCTTCTCTTTCTTTGTAACTCTTTCAAATAAATAAATAAATCTTAAAAAAAAAAAAAAAACTATAATAATAAATAGTGAATACCTGTGAAACTGTTAAGAAATCTCAGAAAGAAATCTGTATCATGTTAGGTTTTCGATCCATTGGCTTCTGTTTCCACTGGGGTCCAGCATCTTCCTTGACCAGAGCTTATGGTTTAAAGTTAGATAGAAGTTACATTCAGAGCAGTGTGGTAAATTGGCATTTCAGTGGCCGGTAGACAATATTAGGCACCAGAAATCAGTGTAAACACAGTTAATTTATTAAAAAAAAAAACATAACCCATAGCTATTAAGGTATGTTTGATTTCTTTGTCTTCTCTTAAGTATGATACCACAATATGTGATTTCCTTTTACTATAGGTATTTTTTATGTGTTGAATTATTCTAGCATACAATATGATTTTGTAATTAGACCATGACATACCAAATTAATTGTTTCGTATTTTTTACAAAATCTGTTGTTTTTAAGATCTGTTTATTTATTTGAAAGGGAGTGCTACAGAGGGAGGGACAGAAAGAATCTTTCATCTGCTGGTTCACTCCCCAGATGACTGCAAAAACCAGATTTGGACAAAGCTAAAACCACAAGCCAGGAACTCCATCCTGGTCTCCCACATGAGTGGCAGAGGTTCTGCTTGGGCCATCTTCCTGTGCCTTCCTAGGCAGTGTTAGTATTACCTGAGACTGGTGCTTACACATGACACTGGCCCAGAACAGACAACTACTTAGTAATGTTCTTACCTAGGAGTACATAACAATTATGGTTATTCTGATTCATCAAGAAAATTCATAGTTCTTAGATACTGTTATAAGAATCCAGGGAAGGGGTTGACATGGCATAGCAGGTAAAGCTGCCACTTGTGTTGCTGGCATCCCATATGGGTACTGGTTTGTGTCCCAGCTGCTCTACTTCTGACCCAGCTCCCTACCAATGGCCTGGGAAAAGCAGAGGAAGATGGCCCAGGTGTTTGGGCCTCTGCCACCCAACTGGGACACTTGTATGAAAGCTTCTGGCTCTGACCTGGCCCAGCACTGGCCATGGTGGCCATCTGGGGAGCAAACTAGTGAATGGAAAGTCGGTCAAGCTTTGTTTCTCTCCCCCTTTCTCTCTCTAATTCTTTCAAAATAAATAAATCTTGAAAAAGATATAAAATTCATGAAAATGAACAATATGCCTTACATTACTGTAGGAAGGATTACGTGTTTTATTTGGGAGTTTCTATGGTTAGCTTCTACCGCAAAATTACTTTGAGTAGGGAATATATCATTCTTCTTATTAGATCAGTGGAGTAAAACCACAGAGACTTAAGGCTAAACTCTGATAGTATCAGCACAGTCTAAATTGATAGCATCCCAAACTTGATATTCTTGCTTTAGTTCTGAGATATCTGAATGGCTACTTGCTCCCTTTGTCCAAACATAGCACGAAGTTTCTGAAGAAGGCACGTTTAAAATTATTTGCAGTTTTTTTAAAACCAGTGTTAACTTTTAGACTGTAACATTCTATTTTTGTGTAATATTTCTCTAAACATGTAGTTGTATTAAACATTATCTTTAGGTTACAAGCTATTCTTTTAACATAATTACTTTTAAATATCCGTAGTTAAATCTGGAAGGTGTTAAGCTTTATCGTTCTTCTGTCCTTTATTTCTTTCTTCCCCTTTTAGAAACTTTTTTTTTTTTTTTTTTGTCTTTCCAGCTGCCCGTTATGAAGAAGGAGAGTCAGAAGCAGAGAGCATCACTTCCTTTATGGATGTTTCAAATCCTTTTTATCAGCTTTATGACACTGTTAGAAGCTGTCGGAATAACCAGGGGCAGCTAATAGCTGAACCCTTTTTCCATTTGCCTTCAAAGAAAAAATACCCTGATTATTATCAGCAAATTAAAATGCCCATATCACTACAACAGATCAGGTAAGGTCTCTCTGCTTACTTAGTATACATCCATTTCTTGTGATTGAGCCTGAATGTACATGTTCTTTCCTAGAATGGATAAAGATTTTAAAGGTTAAAGAATGCTTTTTACCTCAGATTTTAATGGTTCATTTGTCTTACAATTGAGCAAAGTACAAAAATCTTTTCACTTGCACCTTTTATTAGTATTTTAATTGGGGCCAGTGTCATGGTACAACGGGTTAAGTTGCCTCTTACCATGCTGGCATCCCATATGAACACTGGTTTGAGTCCCAGCTACTCTGTTTCCAATCCAGTTCCTTGCTAATGTGCCTGGGAAAGCAAATAAAAAACAAATCTTAAGAAACAAACCAGGCTGGCGCCGCGGCTCACTAGGCTAATCATCCACCTTGCGGCGCCGGCACACCGGGTTCTAGTCCCGGTCGGGGCGCCGGTTTCTGTCCCGGTTGCCCCTCTTCCAGGCCAGCTCTCTGCTGTGGCCAGGGAGTGCAGTGGAGGATGGCCCAAGTGCTTGGGACCTGCACCCCATGGGAGACCAGGAGAAGCACCTGGCTCCTGCCTTCGGATCAGTGCGATGCGCTGGCCACAGCGCGCCGGCCGCGGCGGCCATTGGAGGGTGAACCAATGGCAAAGGAAGACCTTTTTCTCTGTCTCTCTCTCTCACTGTCCACTCTGCCTGTAAAAAAAAAAAAAGAAAAGAAAAAAGAAACAAACCGGCCGGCGCCGCGGCTCAATAGGCTAATCCTCTGCCTGTGGCGCCGGCACCTCGGGTTCTAGTCCTGGTTGGGGCACTGGATTCTGTCCTGCTTGCTCCTCTTCCAGACCAACTCTCTGCTGTGACCTGGGAGTGCAGTGGAGGATAGCCCAGGTCCTTGGGCCCTGCACCCACATGGGAGACCGGGAGAAGTACCTGGCTCCTGGCTTCAGATCAGCGCGGTGCGCCACCTGCAGCAGCCATTGGGGGGTGAACCAACAGCAAAGGGAGACCTTTCTCTGTCTCTCTCACTGTCCACTCTGCCTGTCCAAAAAAAAAAAAAAAAAAAAGAAAGAAACCAACCAACCAACCATAATGAAATATTACTTCATATCCGTTAAGATGGCTAAAACAACAAGAACAACCAGAAAATAATAAATATTGGCAAGGATATGGAGAAACTGGGACCCTTTCTGTTGGGAATAGCAATGTAAAATGGTGTTGCCTGGGGCTGGCACTGTGGTGTAATGGGTAAAGCCACCGCCTGCAATACCGGTGTCCCATATAGGCGCCGGTTTGAGTCTCAGCTGCTCCGCTTGCGATCCATCTGTCTCCTGTGGCCTGGGATGGCAGTACAAGATGGCCCAAATCCTTGGGCCCCTGTACCCACGTGGGAGACCTGGAGGAGGCTCCTGGCTTCAAATCATTTTAGCTTTGGCTGTTTTGGTCATTTGGGGACTGTACTAGCTGGATTGAAGACCTCTCTCTCTGGTTCTGCTTCTCTCTGTAACTCTTGTCTTTGAAATAAATAAAACAATTATTAAAAAAAAAAAATCCGAGCCCTGCTCTTGATTTCGAATAAATGATGGCTCAAGTATTTGGCTCCCTGCTACCCATGTGGGGGACCTGAATTGAGTTCTGGGCTCCTGACTTCAGCCTGGCCTTCCCTGAGTGGCAGTTGGGAAGTGAACCAATGGATGAAATTCTGTTCTATCTCTCTGTGTCGTTCAGATAAATAGATTTTAAAAATTGAAGCATAGAGCAGATGTTGTGGCACAGTGGGTTAAATCAACATGCCTATATCCCTTATCAGAGCAGTGGTTTGTCTGTGCTTCCAATGCAGCTTCCTGCTAATGTACCTGGGAGGCAGCAAGTGATGGCTCAAGTACTTGGGTTCTTGCTACCCATGTGGGAGACCTGAATGGTGTTCCTGATTCCCAGCTTAAGCCTGGCCCAGCCCTGGCTGTTGTGGGCATTAGGGGCATGAACCAGCAGATGAAAGATCTCTTTCTCCCTCCTTCCCACCTTCCCTCCTTCCCTCCCTTCCTTCCTTCCTTCCTTCCTTTCAAGATTTATTTATTTGAGAGTTACACAGAGAGAAGGAGAGGCAGAGAGAGGTCTTCCATCCGCTAGTTCACTCCCCAGTTGGCCGCAATGCCTGGAGCTGCAGTGATCCAAAGCCAGGATCTAGGAGCTTCTTCAAGGTCTCCTACACAGGTGCTTCTTCCTGGTCTCCCACACAGATGCAGGGGCCCAAGGACTTAGGCCGTCTTCTACTGCTTTCCCAGGCTATAGCAGAGAGCTGGATCGGAAGTGGGGCAGCCAGGACTTGAACCGGTACTCATATGGGATGCCGGCACTGCTGGCAGTGGCTTTACCTGCTGTGTCACAGCGTCACTTTTCATATATCACTGCTTTATATATACTCAAAAGAATTGAAAGCAGGGGAAAAAAGGAATTTGAATCAGGTTCTGAAAGAGAACCTCATTGTTCACAATAACTGGTACATGGAGCAGATGAATAGATAAGCAAAATGTCTAAGCAATAGACTTTTTTTAAGGTTTATTTTTAATCTTGTTTGAAAGGCAGAGTTACAGAGACAGAGACAGAGATCTCCCATCCGCTGGTTTACTCCCCAAATGGCCGTAACAGCCAAGGCTGGTTGCCAGACCGAAGCCAGGAGCCAGGATCTTCTTTTGAGTCTCCCATGTGGGTACAGAGGCCCAAAGAATTGGGCCATCCTCCACTGCTTTCCCAGGTACATTAGCAGGGAACTGTATCAGAAGTGGAGCAGCCAGGATTTGAACCAATGCCTATAAGGGATGCCGGTGCTGTAGGTAGTGGTTTTACCCACTACACAACAATGCTGGCCCCAGAATGATGGAATTTTTTTTAAAAAACAATCCTCCAGATTTTTTTTGTTTAAGATTTATTTATTTATTTGAAGGACAGAGTTACAGAGAGAGAGAGACAGAATGAGTGAGATCTTCCATCCACTGGTTCACTCCCCAGATGGCCACAATGGCCGGAGCTGGGGCAGTCTGAAGCCAGGAGCCAGGAACTTTTTCCAGGTTTCTCATGTGGATGCAGGGACCAAGCACTTGGGCCATCCTCCATTGCTTTCCCAGGTCATTAATGCGGAGCTGGTTTGGAAGTGGAACAGCTGGGACTCAAACTGATGCCCACATGGGATGCTGATGCTGCATGCGGTGGCTTTGCCCACTACGCCATGCCTCTGGCCCCAGCAATAGACTTTTTTTTAAAATTTTTTTAAGATTTATTCATCCATTTGAAAATCAGAGTTAAACAGAGGGAGAAAGAGAGGTCTTCCATCCTCTGGTTCATTCCTCAGTTGGCTGGAGCTGCGCTGAGCCAAAGCCAGGAGCCAGGAGCCCTCTCTGGGTTTTCCACGCAGGTGCAGGGGCCCAAGGACTTGGGCTGTCTTTTAGTGCTTTCCCAGGCCACAGGAGAGAGCTGGATTGGAAGTGGAGCAGCCAGGACTTGAACCACTGTCCATATGGGATACCGGCACTGCCAAATAATGGCTTTAGCCCTACGCCACAGCGCCTGCCCCTAGACTTTTTAAAAGGAAAGAAATTCTGGTATGTGCTATAACATGAATAAACCTTGAGAAGTTTTGCTAAGTGAAATAACTCACTCACAAAAAGATCAATACTGTATGATTCTACTACGTGAGATACTCAGAAATCATAAGATGGGGCAGACGTAGACATCTGGCACAGTGGTTCAAACCCCACTGGGGTACCTAATTTGAGTTCTGGTTCCACTTCACACTTTCTTCTAATGCAGACACTGAGAGGGAACAGGTCCCCATCACTCACATGGGAGACCTGGTTGGAGTTCTTGGCTCCTGACTTTAGCCCGGCCTGGCCTGGCCTTTGCTGCTGCAGGGATTTGAGGAATGAATCAGTGAATGAATATTTCTCTGCCTTTCACATATAATGGGTGCTATTTAAATTTTAAAAATCATAGAAACAAATTAAAATGGTGATTCTCGGGAGCAAGAAGTTTAATGTGTTGGGTCAGTTTTACAATGCAAAAAGATTCTGGAGATGGATGGGGGTGATGATGGTACAACACTATGGATGTATTTAATACCAGTGAACCATGTACTTTAAAATGGTCAAGATGTTCAAGTTTATATGTGCTTTACTACAATAAGAAAAGAGAAAATGAGAGAAAAATGGTAATATTTTCCTCAACACCCATATTCTACCAAGACTTTTTCCTTTTCAGATTTATTTTTTTCTCTTTTATGACAGCTTACAAAAATTAGTGATGTAGTATATTCTTGGGCTTTCTGTTTTCCAGACAAAAACAAAGCTCATGCACCTTTTATAAGTAGATCTTGAACTAATATAAAAATTGAGATCAGGTAACCAATATTCATCGTAAAAATTCAGAACATTCTAAAGAATAAATAGCTTCAAGAAAAGTAAACTGAGAATCCTAAGTTAAAATCAGATGCTTTTTTTAAAATCATTCAGTTTGTATTCTATGTTTTAATCAGTCTCTGTGACACTTGATGTTTCCTGTATGTTTTGGCTCCTTTCATACATCTTCTCATAAATTTTCAGTGATATAGTACTTTCTAGAAATCAATAAAGATTTCCTAGACTTTTGTGTGGGAAAAATAGTGGGGAAAAAAGGACTTGATTGGTCCAGCTGTGCTGCCTTTGTTTCAATTAAAAATAAGTTTAAAATAAAAACATGAGGGATGTGTGTGTGGCATAGCAGGTAAAGCCACTGCCTGCAGTGCTAACATCTCATATGGACGCCGGTTCAAGTCCCAGCTGCTCCACTTCTAGTCCAACTTTCTGCTATGGCCTGTGAAAGCAGTAGAAGGTAGCCCAAGTCCCTTGGGCCCCTGCACCCACATGGGAGACCTGGAAGAAGCTCCTGGCTCCTGGTTTCAGATCCCCCCAGCTCTGGCTGTTTTGTCCATTTGGGGAGTGAACCAGCAGATGGGAGACTTTTTCCCTCTGTATTTTTCTGCCTCTGTGTAACTCTGCCTTTCAAGTAAATAAATAAATCTAAGAAATAAAAATAGTAAAAAATAAGTACTATTGTTAAAGATGGTATTTTGTAACTTCCAAGATGTGAGTTAAGTTTTGGAGTATAACCAGATACAGTCAAGAAGCAGATCAAAATATCTTAATGGTCAAGATAAGCATAAACTAGTGTTTACCTGATGTCTTCATTCTGGATAACTAAGCTTCTACATAGTAGGAATTAAAAATTTATATACTTGCTGAATTCTGGGATAGAAGGTGGACTAACAGTTTGTGGTTTTGTCTTTGTAACTTCTGTTTCTATCATTTGATCAATAAAATTTGTGCTGTTTTTATTTAATCCAGCCTTTAGAAATCTTGTATACAAGCAGTTTATTTGGCATTATTACAATAACACAGAAATTAAAGCTGTTACATTCAGGGGCTGGCACTGTGGGATAGTGGACTAGGCCTCCACCTGTGGTGCTGGCGTCCCATTTGGGTGCCGGTTTGAGTCCTGGTTGCTCCTCTTCTGATCTGGCTCTCTGCTACGGGCTGGGAAAGCAGTAGAAGATGACCCAAGTGCTTGGGCCTGTGTACCTATATGGGAGACCTGGAGGAGGCTCCTGGCTCCTCGCTTCAGATCAGCGCAGCTTAGGACATTGTGGCCATTTTGGGAGCTAACCAGCAGATGCAAGACCTTTCTCTCTGTTTTTCCCTCTCTGTCTCTGTAACTCTTCCTCTCAAATAGATAAAATCTTCTTTTTTTTTTTTTTTTAAGATTTGTTTTATTTATTTGAAAGACAAAGTTAGAGAGGCAGAGAGAGAGAAAGAGGTCTTTCATCCGCTGGTTCACTACCCAGATGGCCACAATCGCCAGAGCTGCGCCAATCCAAAGCCAGGAGCTTCTTCCAGGTCTCCACGTGGGTGCAGGGGCCCAAGCACTTGGGCCATCTTCTACTGCTTTCCTAGGCCACAGCAGAGAGCTGGACTGGAAGAGGAGCAGCCAGGACTAGTATCATCACTTGTATGGGATGCTGGTGGTTCAAGCCAGGGCTTTAACCCACTGCGCCATAGCACTGGCCCCAAATAGATAAAATCTTTAAAAAAAAAAAAATGCCAATACAGTCGCTAAGAAAATAGTCTAGAAATTCGTTTTTTATATTTGTTGCCTTGGAAAAGATGTGCAAATGTGTACAAATGTGTAAATGTTGAGAAGTTCTCTTTAATTGAATAAGTTTTATCCTTAGTTTCTTTTTTCCCTTATTCTTTTATTAAATTCAGTTTAGTTCAGGGGAAGAAAAATGAAATCCTCATCTAGCTCAGTCCCCTAACTAGAACCTTCTTCCAACATGGAATTTTCTGATGTAAATGCTGCTTAGTTAAGTAGTAATTCTGTACGTTTCCTCCACTTTTTAAAAGATTTATTTATTTATTTGAAAGAGTTACACAGAGGCTGGCGCCGCGGCTCACTTGGCAAATCCTCCGCCTGTGGCGCCAGCACCTGGGTTCTAGTCCTGGTTGGGGCACCGGGTACTAGTCCTGGTTGCTCCTCTTCCTGGGCCACAGCAGAGAGCTGGACTGGAAGGCAATGGAGGATGGCCCAAGTGCTTGGGTCTCTGTACCCGCATGGGAGACCAGGAGGAAGCACCCGCCTCCTGGCTTTAGATCTGCATAGCCCCGGCCGTAGCAGCCTTAGGGGAGTGAACCAACAGAAGGAAGACCTTTATCTCTTGTCTCTCTCTCACTGTCTATAACTCTCTCTGTGTGTGTGTCTCTCTCTCACTGTCTAACTCTGCCTGGCAAAAAATTAGAATTAAAAAAAAAAAAAGAGTTACAGAGGAGAGGCAGAGAGAGAGGCCTTCCATCCACTGGTTCACTCGCCAGTTGGCCGCAACAGCCAGAGCTGTGCCGATCTGGAGCCAGGAGCTTCTTCCTGGTCTCGCAAGCGGATGCAGGGGCCCAAGGACTTGCACCATCTTCCACTGCTTTCGCAGGCCATAGCAGGGAGCTGGATCAGAAGTGGAGTAGCAGGGACTCGAACTGGTGCCCGCATGGGATGCTGGCACTGCAGGCAGCAGCTTTATCCAGTACTCAACTGCGCTGACTCCTCCTCCACTCTTGGCATGCAAGTTGGGCAGTATGAAGAATAGGAACATGGTTTAAGGCCTTGCTGCTAACATATTGAAGTTTGAAAGGTGAACTGTTAGGATATCTGATTTCCTTCCAAGGGCACTGAGCCAGAGGTGTCTTGATAGACCTGCCGTGCCTGGTTTCTCTTCCATCAATGCATTTTATAGAAAAACAGGGAAGTCTAGGGCAGTGCTGTCCTCCAGAATTTGCTATAATTATGGAACTGTTTTTTATTTATGTTGTCCAATGTGATAACCATTAGTCACATGTGCTTTTGAGTGCTTCAGATGTGGCTGATAGAATTGAAGCTCTAGATTTTAAATTTTATTCAGTTTTAATTTATTTATTTTATTTTATTTGAAAGTCAGGATTACAATGATGGAGAGATCTTCCATCTGCTGGTTTATTCCCCAGATGGCTGCAATGGCTGGGGCTGGGTCAGGCCTCTCATGTGGGTGCAGGGGCCCAAGCACTTGGGCCATCCTGTGCCAGTTTTTCCAGGGCACCAGCAGGGAGCTGGAGCAGCTGGGACACAAACTGGCAGTGGCACCAATATGGAATGCCAGCATTGTAGGTGGTGGCTTCAGCCACTACACCACAATGCCGGCCCCTAGTTTTAATTTTAATAGCTCCACGTGGCTAATCTCTCTCATAGTGTGTGTTATAGTTCTAGGAAGGAAAGACTACAGAAGGAAGACAGGTGAGTTTCCAAAAGCAACAGAAATGGAAGAGTGAGCAGGAGCCACTGTAGTTCCACATACCACTCACACTGAAGTTTGTCCCCCCCCCCCTTTTTTTTTTTTGCATGTTTTTCCTTTCCTTCCCCCTGCCACTCATGATTCCCATTAGCCTGGTAAATATTTGCAGATTTCTTATAGGTTGTCATTTACAAGTTTGGGTTTTCAGTCTTCTTTGTGGGTGTCAAAAACACCCAGCACATCATCCTTTGAGTTGGCAGCAATAAAGCATGGGCTGTAATCTAAACTCCGAGTGCTGGCCATGTAAGTTGGTACCAAAAGCTGAGTTTGTGCTGAGTTATTTTTTTTTACTTCATCCTACAGATGTTCTCTAGTATTTGTTTCTTTAAGCATTACACAGAATCCTAATATAATTTTGAGAAATTTTAAGTAGAGGAATCAAAATAATGCCATTCTTAGAGTAGGAAATCTCTACATTCTGTGAAGCTCTTTACACATATTGTCATTCTTAATACTGTTTTTGATTTTGATTACTAGCATACAGGCGCTTCAACCTAAAGATTCCAAGTCTTTGTTGTGTAAATTCTTAGAGTTCCAGCAAACACTGATTCTTCACTTTTTACCAAGTATAAAGCCTTCCTGAAAGTTGTTAGTAATAGTGATAGTGTCTTTTTTTATTAAGATTAATAAAAGGGAGGGAAGGAGGGAGGGAGGGAGAAAGAGGGAGAGATCTTCATCTGCTGATTCACTCCCCAATTGGCTGCAGTGGTTGGAGTTGCACTAATGCAAAGCCAGGAACCAGGAGCTTCTTCCAGGTCACCTGCGTGAGTGCAGGGGCCCAAGGACTTGGGCCATCTTCTGCTGCTTTCCCAGGCCATAGAAGAGAGCTGGATCGGTAACGGAGCAGCCAGGACTTGAACCGGCACCCATATGGGCTGCGGTGGCTTTACCTGCTACGCTACAGTGCTGGCCTGTGTTGTGGGTGTTTAAGGGATAAACCAGCAGGTGGAGAATTTACATGTTATGTGTTTCTCTCATGTCTCTGCCTTTCAAATGAGGAAAAGTACTCATAAAGGTTAATTTAAAGGGGGGGGGGGGGCAGTGCTGTGGCACAGCAGGTAAAGCCACCGCCTGCAATGCCGGCATCCCACATGGGCGCCGGTTCGAGTCCTGGCTGCCTCACTTCCGATCCAGCTCTCTACTATGGCCTGGGAAAGCAGTAGAAGATGGCCCAAGTCCTTGGGCTTCTGCATCCCCGTGGGAGACCTGGAAGAAGCTCCTGGCTCCTGGCTTCGGATCTACGCAGCTCTGGCTGTTGTGGCCAATTGGGAAGTGAACCAGCGGATGGAAGACCTCTCTTTTTCTGTGCTCCTTTTTCTCTCTGTGTGTATTTCTGACTTTCAAGTAAAATAAATAAATCTTTAAAAAAAAAAAAAAATGGTGCTGGCACTGTGGTGTAGTAGGTAAAGCTGCTGCCTGCAGCACTGGCATCCCATATGGGTTCCTCAGTCCGAGCTGGTCTACTTCCAGTCCAGCTCCTTGCTAATGAGCCTGGGAAAGCAGCAGAGAATGGCCCAAGTGCTTGAATCCCTTCACCCTCATGGGAGACCCAGAAGAAGCTCTTTGTTCCTGGCTTTGGAATGGCCCAGCTCCAGCCCGTTGTGGCCATTTGAGGAGTGAACCAGCAGATAGAAGAGCTCACTTGCTCTCTCTCTCTTTTTAACTCTGCCTTTCAAATAAGTAAATAAATTCTAAAAAAAAAAAAAAAAAATTAAGTATACATAATTAGAAAAAAAGCTTAAAAAACAAATGAATAGTTCACTCAGATTCTTCTAAGTAGCTTCAAAGCTCTGTGATTTCAGTTCCTTCAATGTTTGCATATTATCCATTATCAGAATTCTTCCATTAAGGATTTCCTTGTATGTTTGCTTTGTAGTTGACCACTTTTAGGTCCTCTTATTACTTCTTAGAGTTTTAGTGTATTCTTTAGTATTTTCAAGTAAAGTGTCATATTACTTAAATGCACTGGTGCTTTTGCCTCCCTCTTTTATGTCTTGAAAATAATTTTTAAGTCCTCTAATAGACCATCTACTGCTTGTCAAGATTTTTGCATTGGATTTTAAGGGAGAATGTTTCATAATGTTTCAAAATTATTTCATAATTTTGTTTGCCTTTCACAGAACAAAGCTAAAGAATCAAGAATATGAAACTTTAGATCATTTGGAGTGTGATCTGAATTTAATGTTTGAAAATGCCAAACGCTATAATGTTCCTAATTCAGCCATCTACAAGCGAGTTCTTAAATTGCAGCAAGTCATGCAGGTATGATTTCTTGGTTTTGTTAAATATGTTGCAGGTACGATTGAGATAATCTTACATGGTTTCTGTGTGTTCTTTTAACATGTGTAATTTTCCCTCCTACCCATATCACATCCATTTCTACCACTAGTACTGCTGAGTTTTTGTTTTTTGAGTTGTCAAGACCATGTAGAGTGAAAATAATAGTTTAGAAAGGACTAGTTTTGTGAGTTGAGACAACAGGGTTTTACCTCTGGTGGTAGTTTTAGGATTGTCAGAATGTTACCTTTTCTAGTCACAGGTTGTATTCCATTTTTAGATGTTATCTCTTTGGTTCTGGACTTCGTTAAAGTAGGGCTGATCATAGGAGGAGACACATCTGAAAGGTCATGATAGGATAGCATCCATCAATTTTCAGACCTTCTTTGAGAAGCACACCCTGAAGAACATCTGAGGTCATGGGTAGGTAGGGTCTTTAAGACAAAAAGGTGGCTATGAAATACAAATTGAATCTCTGTCACAGTTTTTTTTTTTTTTTTTAATTTTTTGACAGGCAGAGTGGACAGTGAGAGAGAGACAGAGAGAAAGGTCTTCCTTTGCCGTTGGTTCACCCTCCAATGGCCGCCGCGGCCGGCGCGCTGCGGCCGGCGCACCGCGCTGATCCGATGGCAGGAGCCAGGAGCCAGGTGCTTCTCCTGGTCTTCCATGGGGTGCAGGGCCCAAGCACCTGGGCCATCCTCCACTGCACTCCCTGGCCACAGCAGAGAGCTGGCCTGGAAGAGGGGCAACCGTTTTTGATAGAGACATTCTAAAAAGATAGTTGCAGAGCAAGGAAGCAGCAACAATCAGCCATAGAATTATTTTGTATGATCGGCACTGTGATCATCAGAGCTGTGAGTTTCAGGTGTTTTTAGTACCCTGTAATTTTATATTTCCTAAGCCATCTTTGCTTGGATTTTCAGCTCTGTTTGGTAGAATATCTTTAAAATGGATGTGTGTAAAAGGAGATTTTCTGGGGCCAAAGCTGTGGTATAGTGGGTAAAGCCACTGCCTGTGATGGTAGCATTTTATATGTGTGCTGGTTCTTGTCCCAGCCGTTCCCCTTCTGACCTAGCTCCCTACTAACGATCTGGGAAAAGCAGTAGAGGGTGGCCCAGGTGTCTGGGCTCCTGCCACCCATGTGGGACACTGAACGAAGCTCCTGTTTCCTGGTTTCAGCCTGGCCTAGCCTTGGCCGTTGCAGCCAACTAGGGAATGAGCCAGCAAATGGAAGTGCTGTCTCTCTTACTCTTTCCCTGTTTCTCCCTTTCTCTCTTTAACTCTTTCAAATAAATGAATAAATAAATGTCTTTTTTAAAAAATTAATCTTTTACTTCTCACATTGAACTTCATTCTTACTCACACTACCCCATAGAATTCAAGAGTGCGGGGGTTGGCCTTGTAACATAACAGGTTAAGCTGCTACTTGCAATGCCAACATCCCATGTGGGTGCTTTTAGAGTCCCGGCTGCTTCCCTTCCAGTCCAGCTCACTGCTAATGCATCTGAGAAAGCAGCAGAAATTGACTTGAGTCCTTGGGCTCCTGTACCCATGTGGGAGACCCAGAAGAAGCTTCTGGCTTCTGGGGTCAGCCTGACCCAGCCTAGCCCTGGCCATCGTAGATATTTAGAGAGTGAAACAATGGATGGAAGACCTGTCTCTCTCTAATGCTCTCAAATAAATAAATAAATCTTAAAAAAAAAAAAGTCAAGGATGCCAAAATCTCTCTTTGCATTGCCTTCCTTGAATATGGCCATTGGAACAGGATGCTTCTACAGCTTGCATCTGTGCTTGTACTCTTAAATGCTCTAGCGAGCATAGATTCCTCAGCTCTCTAGATCCATTTTTTTAGCCTACTTTCCTGTCATGCAGATTTTTCATTAAGTTGATTTGAAATGTTTAAATACTCTCTAATTTTGTGCATCCCATGTGTGATTTTTGTACCTTTCTGAGTAAATCTGATGTGTCTAGCTCTTTAACATTCATTTTATTCATAGCAGTGTTCAGCAGAGTGAACTTGACTACCAGGATCTGCTCTGTTTCCAGGCAAAGAAGAAAGAACTTGCCAGAAGAGACGACATTGAGGATGGAGACAGCATGATCTCATCAGCCACCTCTGATACTGGTAGTGCCAAAAGAAAAAGGTATATGTGCCTCTTATCACTGGAGACATCTCTGTTCCTAGATTTTGTGTTTTTTTTCTTTCTTTTGGATAACTGTAGAAAAAATTTATAAACTCAAATATGAATTCTTTAAACTTTCAATGTCTGATAAATTATCTTTTATAAATTGGATGATTAGCTTTTTTTTTTACAAGTACCATGAAGCTATTAGATGAAACAGATAAAAGCCATCATATGTAGTTTGACATAAAATATTGCTTTTTTTGCTGTCCAGTCTTGATTGTTTGTTTAATGTGGCATTTCAAGAATACTGTCAAAATCTAATTAGGTAATTTCTACATTGTGAATTACAAAGATGAAATGTGAATTAAGAGATATAAAGAGAAATTCAGTACTACCACTGCAGTGCAATAAGTCATTGCTCTTAACCCTTTTCTTTTTCCTTGTTAATGTGATCTTTATTCGCCATTTTATGATTGTCTGATTGTAAATATCAAATCATAACTTCTTAATAGTTCATAAAATGTTAAGCTAGATATTAGGGGTTTTTGTTTTGCTTGTTACCTTTCTAAACTTTTCAACCTCCTATTTCTTCCTCTAATGGGATTTATGGAAGGGGCCCTTACTGTGGGATTCTGAAGCAGGGAAACTAAGAAATCATACAAGGCCATCTCTTATCTGTGCCTTCCACCTGGAGGAGTTTCTACTCTGATCATTGTGGAATACCATGTTCTCCCTCACCCTGTCTTACCATTTTTGCAGCAGCAGTCTATCCAGGGAGATACATCCTTAAACGGAGAATTAGCCAACCACTAATGGCAGAGCCTGACAGATTCAGAATTGAATGAAGAAGTTATTTGTAACTACTGACAAATTTTTTATATGTATTAAGAGATCTACTAAGAGCAGAACATTTTAAAAAGTCATTTAGAAAGGCTAAGCTGTCCTGTCGTTGCCTCTCACAAGGAACATTTGGGAACAAAAAATTTTTTTTAATTCTGAAAATAACATTGCTATGCTGTGCCATGGTAACTAAATTGATTGGTGTACCCTGAGATGTGAGTCTCCTCCATTACTGGCCTATAAATTTCATCCTTCCAAGTTCTTAATTCCTTGTTACACCAGGGACAACGGAGGAAACATGTGAAACCAGATCAGAGACATCACATCAAGAACATCTTTGAGTGTAATTATATAATTCTACTTCAGCATCACCTGTGTTTTCCAGATCAGTCACCAATCAAAGATAAAAACTTCTCAGGCAAAAGAAGGTAATGGAGGCAAAAGTGATGGTACAATTAGTGCCAACACTAGATGAAAAAGAGAGATCTTAAAATAGCTGAGTGTTAAGAAAGCAGTTCTAAGGACGCATTCACCCAAGCCAGTACATATCTTTTTGGCTTGTAGTTTGTGGGCATTGAAGTAGATGAAATGAAATTTTTTGCATTAAAACCTCCTGTTTAAAAAATAAAACACCAAGCTCTATGTTTTTGAAATTATAAAATCTTGTTTCAGACAGAAAGTTTATAAACAGATTTCCCAGGACGTGTTTTGTGAAATAAACTGAACAACTATAAATCATCTGCCGGAGCAATAAAAGAGCAAACATGGGTTGGAAGTATAGGCTTGAGGGGACGTTGAGAGACAAAGAATTAACTCCTCGACTTTGGGCTGTCACAAGAAAGTAGTAGTATAAGCCTTTTAGAAGGTAGTTATGAGGAGGAGTTTTGGCAATAAGAAACCAACTTCTCTGGAAGTCAGGCAGATGGCAGCCTGGGGAAGGTTAAGTTGGCTTGGCCAGAGAAGTCAGGGCCACGTTTTCCAAGTATCACTTGACTTGACTCCTAGATACTGTGTGTATATGATTCTCTTTGCCTTGTTTTTAATGTCAGAGTATGAGAAAAATTGGATGTGGATATGTTCTCTTCCTTCTGGGAGTGCATTCTTTCCCTCCACCTCTATCCAAAAAATCTACTTTGTCTTCCATGCTAAAAGGTTCCAAGTATTATGATCTTTTATCCTTCAGACTGAATAATTCTTTTTCTCAACCATATTTGGTTTATGCATGACCCTCCAATGTTGCTTGTTTTATTTCTCTTCACATGTAATGTTTGTTTCTGCTTTCCCAGGAACACTCATGACAGTGAGATGTTGGGTCTCAGGAGGCTCTCCAGGTGTGCAGTCCTTTTTTATGCATAAACATACTTTAAAAAGTGTAACTCTTCTGACATGGTCAGTACTGACTAGGGGGAAAATGAAGCCTTAAGCACTTGAAAAAAACTATTTCAGGTACCAGTTTATTTGAATAATGGAAGCAACACAGCTAAGAAACCTAGTTATTAAAATAAGTTTTCTTAGCTTAGGTATGTTCAGGAGTAGCCTTAATTTGTTGTTGGGTTTGCTGGAGGCGGGGTCATCAAGGCTATGCTTCTGTAGCAAGAGGAATGGATACGGTGACCAGGAGCTGGCGGTGCTTATTCCCTTTCAGTGATGTGGGGTGATGGAGGAATCAAAATCAACATTGACGATCAAAGTGATATCAATGCATTTGGGCCCCTGTGCACTGAGTTATTGTACAAGCACGAATATATTTCCTCAGTCTCTGATCTTGTCATTTCTTTAAACATCCATTCTTTTGCATGTTATTTAGGATTTTAAAAACAGCTGTGAGTTTCCATGTCGTAGTACTAGTGATAATATGTAATGCTTTTGTTTTCACATTTGCCATCTGACATTCACAGAGTATCACTTGCTTATTGATCACCAGACTGCTCTTACAGATCATGAATGAGAGCAGTAGTTATATTCTGTCTGCCAGGAACTTAGAGGCCAAGAAAAGAAGCAGGCTGGAAACAAATGAAATTGCATAGAAGGCCGGCGCCGCAGCTCACTAAGCTAATCCTCCGCCTTGCGGCACCAGCACACCGGGTTCTAGTCCTGGTCGGGGCACCGGATTCTGTCCCGGTTGCCCCTCTTCCAGGCCAGCTCTCTGCTGTGGCCAGGGAGTGCAGTGGAGGATGGCCCAAGTGCTTGGGCCCTGCACCCCATGGGAGACCAGGAGAAGCACCTGGCTCCTGGCTTCGGGTCAGCGTGATGCGCCGGCCGCAATGCGCCAGCCGCGGCGGCCATTGGAGGGTGAACCAACGGCAAAGGAAGACCTTTCTCTCTGTCTCTCTCTCTCACTGTCCACTCTGCCTGTCAAAAAAAAAAAAAAAATTGCATAGAAGCACTGTAGTAAAATAATTGCGTGAGGTATACAACGTGTACTTATATAGAAATGTTGCACAGTTGTCCAAATAGCTTTAGGAAGGAATATTTCCCCACTGTGCTTTTCCTTTGAAAGTTAAGTGTTTTAAAGTTACCTGCATGTTACTACCGTATCTGGTGCAGTCTACAAAATTACTGTTATCATTGTCTTCCTAATATTTTCCTTAAAAAAAGTTTTTTAGTTAAATGGTCAATTTAAGGAAAGATGATGGGGGCTTGTGTTGTGGCATAGCAGGTTTAGCTGCCACCTGCAGTGCCAGCATCCCATATGGATGTCTGTCTGTGTCCTGGCTGCTCCACTTCAAACCAGCTCCATGCTAATGCATCTGGGAAAGCAATGGAAGATGGCCCAAGTGCTTGGTTCTCTGCACCCACATGGGAGACCCAGATGGAGTTCCTGGCTTCAGCCTGGCCCAGCCCTGACCATTAGGGCCTTTTGGGAAGTAAGTAAATAAAAAGACCCTTTAAAAAATTAAGAAAAAGACTACGGATTATATTTTTTTTTAAGAAGTCTTTTATAGTGTATAGTACTAACTCTAGGTGGTGGTAGAAATAAAAATGCCGTCTTAATTAGGTAGTGTTATAACTATGAGCTGTAGAGCTTAACTGCCCAAGTTCAGATCATATGTTCCCTTTCTTTCTTTCTCTCTCTCTCTCTCTCTCTCTCTCTCTCATCATTTGTTTCAGAGGAAGATTGATGAAGTGTACCCCATCTGCTGGTTCTCTCCCCAAATGCTCATAATAACCAGGACTGAATCAGGCTGAAGCCTGAAGCTGGGAACTCAATCTAGATCTCCCACATGGGTAGCAGGAACCCAAGTACTTGAGCCATCACTATTGCCTCTCAGGGTCTGCATTACAGGAAGCTGGAATTAGAAGGCAGAGTTGACAGTGGAACCTAGGCACATTGGTGTGAAATAGGGGCATCTTAATCAGTTTCTTAACAGCTAGACTAAGCACCACCATCTAACTGCTCTTCATGAGTTCTGTAACCTAAACCTTGTGTCACCTTACTCCTCTGCAAAAGAAGGTGATGACAATACCTACATAGGTTTGCCAAGTAGACAAATTGGTTACCATGTGTAACACTTTTAGAACTGTGTCTGGATACAGTGAATAGTTTGGTAAATCTAGTTCTGATTTTTGGAAGTACTACCTGTTGACATTGGGACTAGTAGATTTCATTTTGTTCTTAATCAGGTATTACCAGTCTGGGAAGACACATTGGAGCAGATGAATGAAAGGTGTTGGGTCTTGAAAACTTGAAGATGAATATAGCAAGGCTTATAAAAGAAAGAGCCTTTGGGTTTACTTAGCTTAACATCAAGTACCACTGTAGCTGTAAGGACTGTGAACAGAAGTTGACTGATTAGAAAGGTCCTTGGTAAACACCAACTCTGGGAAAAGTGAGACGTGATAAAAGGGACCTAGTGCTTATCAGCTCATTTAAGTATGTGTTCTGAATATTCACTTTGTGGCCCTAGATATACATTTCATCTAAGTCTATTTTTGCATTATAAAATTGGAATGATATTTGTACCTGATTCTCAGAGTTTGAAGATTAAATGAGAATGTGTAGTGTTTAGCACATTGGTAGAAATGGTGGCTATAATTATAAAGCACCATATGATTTTAAATATGCAAATATAAATAATAGATCCAGAGGAAGAATAATGATAAGGGCATTTGGAAAGGTAGTCCTGAAACGGATCAGAAGTAGCACTGGTACAATTGAAAGTCAGATCTGAAAGTGCTGTGGCGGTCTTTTAGGACTTGATAAGCTAAGGAGAGCAAGAAGTAGTGGATTCCGATGTTTCAGGTTGGCTTGAGTTGGAGATGATGGTTTGGGGCGTGGTCCTAGAAAATTAGGGATTCAGAACAGAACTTCTGCTGGCTCATAATCTTTGTGCAACTTAGAAGAGACACCCATTTCTCAAAACTTTTGACACCTAGATGTTAGAAAATTCCTATAATATATTGATTTTTTAGCATAGGACCCATGGTGGTCCATCTCCTGGAAAGTCCTCAAAGAGTATATTGATTAAGACAAATGTTATGATCTCAATTGGTATCCCTTAAATATGGCCCCTTTAGGATGATCAACCCTGGTTCTGAACTTCTGTAACATGTGTTTTACTTTAGTATATTCAAAAGTGCTGATTAAGAATAGAAGAATGTTTATGTCATTCACATTGTCTGGAATTAATTTTATGTACCTTTCCAAAAATAGAGGCAAATGAATAACTCTTGCCAGTTAGTGGTTTGACAGAGAGGTGGGATTAATTCATAGCGGGATTCTAAGAAGAACCTGCAAAGCAAAATGATTTTGAAAACAGCAGCCAGAAGGTCAAATAGGAAACTGTGATGGCTGTTTTTTTTTGTAATGTAGTTTGTCTCATTTGAAGTATTTGAAGGTTTCTGTAGTCATGGATATAATAAGATAAAGCAAACATACCAGCCGACCAAGTAAATAGAGTTATTATAAAAGAATGAAGTTTACCTCGTGAGTTTCTTTTCTGCCAGCCAGATTAAAATTAATATATTAGTGGTTCTCAGTCTCAAAGGCAAGATAAGGACCTGAGAAAAAATGTAAACAAAATAAGAAAACTATTTGTTCAGAGAAGGATATAAGTGATCATAGTAATAAATGTTCTTTTTGCCTTTGAAGATGAAAGTGAGTTATACTTCACTCCTTTAGGAAGTGAATGGTACAGATGGAGAAAGGATACAAGTAATATGAGTGCTAAACCAGTAAATTTCAGTTGTTAGATTAGAACAGTTTCTTATGAACAGGTAGATTTTGCATTCTGGATATGTTGCATTCTAAGCTGCCAGATGTCAGTTACTGGCTTTGAAAGAATAAATATATTTGCTCTTATTTTACTTTGTTTGCAAAATCCGATTGTAAACTTTCCCTCCTCTTTACTGTCTTGTAAAAGTCTGCCCTTTATTCACTTCCCGATGAAAATACTTATAGTAGCTTCATTCAGAAAAACCTAATAGTAATTAGGTGATATGCCAAAAAATGGAAGGGTATAGAAATGATCTCCTTCTGGTCCAGGTCAGGGCCTGGACCAAACTCTGTTGCACTGCCTGAAATTCCAGAATGAAGATTGGTTTTATTCTGAATTGATGATTACAGAAATCTTTTAAGTTTAGGACCTCAAAATTGAATTCTTGAGTCTTGATTTTAAAGTCAACTCACACACATGAGACTTAAATCATATCTTACATTAGTAGTTTCAAGTATAGATTTCTGTGAATCCAAATTCAAGTTCTCAAATTTTCCTTTAGAGATTTCCTGAAGGTTACGGTCATCTGTCTTTTAATTTCCTACCCAGATGTGTGTGGAGCTCTTTGTTATTAGAGCTTTGTTCCAACTTCCTGTTACCCACTTGGTAAATACCTGGAATGAGAGAACTCTTCCTCTCACATCATTGCCCTAGGATGCCGCCCTGGAAAAATAGGTTTTTTTTGGTTTTTTTTTTTTTTTTTTTTTAATTTTTTGACAGGCAGAGTGGACAGTGAGAGAGAGAGACAGAGAGAAAGGTCTTCCTTTGCCGTTGGTTCACCCTCCAACGGCCACCGCGGCCAGCACGCTGCGGCCGGCGCACCGCGCTGATCCGATGGCAGGAGCCAGGAGCCAGGTGCTTTTCCTGGTCTCCCATGGGGTGCAGGGCCCAAGCACTTGGGCCATCCTCCACTGCACTCCCTGGCCACAGCAGAGAGCTGGCCTGGAAGAGGGGCAACCGGGACAGAATCCGGTGCCCCAACCGGGACTAGAACCCGGTGTGCCGGCGCCACTAGGCGGAGGATTAGTCCAGTGAGCCGCAGCGCCGGCTGAAAAATAGTTTTTATAGATGCCATTTCTCCTAGGTTGCCACAGTCTAATAGACACTTGACAGACAGGTACAAAAGTACTATAGAGAGAAAATGGCAGGAATGACCTCAGGACCACAAAGGGAAGTAAGCAGTTAGAGTGAAGAACAAGTGAAGATGATCCCCACCTAGAAATGGATCTTTTCTTTTTCTTTCCTGATTAGCTCACTTCCAGTTTGCCCAGAGTTCCATAATGCTAGAAAGATTAGACATCTTAAAAATCTTAAGGATAAATATTTGGTTTTTTGACTGCTGATTATTTATTTGAGTTTTATCTCTGGTTTTTAGAAGGATTTCTTTTTTTTAAGATTTTATTTATTTATTTGAGAGGTAGAATTACAGACAGACGGGGAGACAGAAAAGTCTTCAATCCACTGGTTCACTCCCCAGATTGCTGCAACAGCTGGAGCTGGGCCCATCCAAAGCCTGGAACCAGGAGCTTCCTCTGAGTCTCCCATGTGGGTGCAGGGGCCCAAACACTTGGGTCCTCTGCTGCTTTCCCAGGCCACAGCAGAGAGCTGGATCAGAAGAGAAGCAGCTAGGACACAAACTGGTGCCCATAGGGGATCCTGGTGCCACAAGCAGAGGCTTAGCCTACTACGCCACAGCACCAGCCCCTAGAAGCATATCTTGAGCCTTGGAAAGAAAATATCTGGCTTTTAGCTTCTTCATGTCTCAGCAGTAGAGCAAGTAGTCTGAGAATTGGACTAAGAGACCTGTAGTGCAACCACATAGTCTGATTCCAGTAATGAACTTCCTTTCATCTATAGGATAGGACATGAATTTTTAAAATTTACCTCTAATTATTATATTATCAGATCTTATATATTTGTTGAACTGAAATTAAATCCTAAGTTGTTTCTTATTATTACCTACCTGACTCTTGACTTCTAGTATGTTAGTTAGAGTCTGGCTAGAATTTTTTGGTATAACTAAACATATCTCTTGGCTTCAGTGTGATGTTTTGATATATGTATGCATTGTGTAATGATCAAATCAGAGTACTTAGCCCATCTGTTACCTCAGACATTTATCATTCCTTTGTAGTGAAAACTTTCAAAATCCTCCCCTAGCTATTTTAAAAAAGTATATTATTACAGACTGTAGTTACTTTGACATGTGAAACACCACCAGAATTGAAGAAACATGGCTAAAATTTCTTTACCAATGTCCTGAAGATATGAGAACATTTGACCAGAAGCATACTAAAAGATGACCTCTTCTAGTAATTTACTGAACAGCTCACCTTGGGCGAATGATTTAGTGTCTCTGAGCCAGTTTTCTCAACAATTGAGTCACAAGACCATCTGCTCTGTTGGTCCCGTTTTTTGTTTTAGTTTTTAATATCATGCACAAATGTCAATCTCACCATGTTCTTTATTTCTAAAGATTTATTTATTTGAAAGAGTATCAGAGAGAGGGATAAACAGAGAAGAGAGAGCGCGTCCATTTCTGCTTCACTCCCCAAATCTGTGCAACAGCCAGGTGTGGGCCAAGCCAAAGCCAGGTTTCCCACTTGGGTGGCAGGGTCCTAAGTATTTAGGCTATCATCTGCTGCCTCTCAGGCACATTAACAGGAAGCTGCATCAGAAGCCAAGTAACTGGGACTCAAACCAGCACCCCAAGCAGCAGTGGGCATCCCAAGTAGCAGTTCACCTTCTGTGCCCAACACATACCCTCGGGCCCTTTTTAAACTCTGATTGTAATGTGTGGTTCCTTGTATTCTGTTCGACCATTCACATCACTTTCTCAGCATCACATCTCATGGAGGGCAGTTTGGAGAACAAGTCAGGGATTCACAGTTAAGGATGAAAATATAGAAACTCAGGTGACCCACAGAGCATTTCTTCTTTAAGCTAGGCTGGGATCATGGAGTAATGCTGATGGAGGTGGGAGCAGGGACTGATCATGACCAGATCAGTACAAATGAGATGTACCCATTGTTGAGATACTAAGTTAGTCTCCTTCAGTTTTGTTGCATCTAGAATGTATAGATATTCAAGAGTGACTGTCTGGAGAGATTAAACATTTCCCTTTGTTAGATTATTTTGTTTTTTTCTGCTTGGAAGTTAGGATGTTAGTAGCAATAGGAAATCACTAGTTTTATTGAACTTTTGTTCTGTTTGTCTTCAGTAGTTCAGTTGATCGTAGAATTTTACTTCGTTATGGTATCAGGTTCTTCTTTTAAGCATTGCATTTAATAAAATCTTCTAAATAAGTTTGGCTACTTCTGCCAGAGTCACTGTATTTTAACTATTTTGGAAATTTTCCTAATATTTGCTTATAGCTTCCAGCATGCTGTGTTTGTGGCATATATAATCAACAAATTTTAATCATTTTGAAGCACCTTCCCACAAGATTAATGTGTTTCATTTCATGTTCGTCCTTGTATAAAGGAAACTGAACCTGTTCTCATTTTTCCCTTTTTCTGCCTCCACCCAAAACAGTAAAAAGAACATAAGAAAGCAGCGAATGAAAATCTTATTCAATGTTGTTCTTGAAGCTCGAGAGCCAGGTTCAGGAAGAAGACTTTGTGATCTGTTTATGGTTAAGCCATCCAAAAAGGACTATCCTGATTATTATAAAATCATCTTAGAGCCAATGGACCTGAAAATAATTGAGCATAATATCCGCAATGACAAATATGCAGGTGAAGAGGGAATGATAGAAGACATGAAGCTGATGTTTCGGAATGCCAGGCACTATAATGAGGAGGGCTCCCAGGTAAGGACGGGGTGGGTGAGGCGATCCTTGGGTGGTACATTTTCTTGTGGGTATTGGTAGATGATGCATTTTTGAGAGACCAACTCTAGGGATTGATGCCTACATTAATTCTTTATCTCTCAATCGTCTAAAGTGGGAGGCAATATGTTATAAAGGTTCAAAGTTCATGCTTTGGCCAGCGCCGCGGCTCAATAGTCCAGTCCTCCGCCTAGCGGCACCGGCACACCAGGTTCTAGTCCCGGTCGGGGCGCCAGATTCTGTCCCGGTTGCCCCTCTTCCAGGCCAGCTCTCTGCTGTGGCCCGGGAGTGCAGTGGAGGATGGCCCAAGTGCTTGGGCCCTGCACCCCATGGGAGACCAGGAGAAGCACCTGGCTCCTGCCTTCAGATCAGCATAGTGCGCCGGCCGCAGCACGCCAGCCGCGGCGGCCATTGGAGGGTGAACCAATGGCAAAAGGAAGACCTTTCTCTCTGTCTCTCTCTCTCTCACTGTCCACTCTGCCTGTCAAAACAAACAAACAAACAAAATTCATGCTTTGTAATCTGATATCCTAGATTTGAATCCTGCTTTAATAATGCTGCTCTGATAATCTTGCTTGTCTCTGAATTACAGCAAAGAATAGTACTTGTTATTGCAGATTAAGCATGAGAGTGCAGACTAAGGGGTTAGTGCAGCACTGCATAAACACTAGAAAGAAAGCCAATAGCATAAAATCTTTTTAAAAGATTTATTTATTTATCTGACAGTCAGAATTACAGAGAGCGAGCGAGAGAGCGAGCTTCCGTCCACTGGTCCACTACCCAAATTGCTGCAACATCCAGGCCAAAGCCAAGAGCCAGGAGCTTCTTCCAGGTCTCCCATGTGCGTGTAGAGGACCAAGTACTTGGACCATCTTCTGCTGATTTCCCAGGCACATTAGAAGGGAGCTGGATGGAAAGTGGAGGCACCGAGACTCCAACCCATGCCCATAGGGGATGCTGACACTGCATATTGCAGTTTAACTCGCTGCACCACAGTGTGAGTCCCTGTTGCTCATGTGGGAGACCCAGATTGTTTTTCCTGGCTCCTAGCTTAAACCTGGCCCAGCCCTGTTGATTGTGGCCATTTGAGGGTCAAATGAGTGGATAAAAGATCTTTTTCTTTGTCTGTCTGTCTCTCGGTCTCTTTTCTCATCTCCCAACTGTCACTCTGCCTTTCAAATCATTAAATAAGTAAACATTTTTAAAAATGCTTTTATCTACTTTAAATCCCCCAGAAATAAAATACCATGTTCAAATCATATATTTCCTTTCTTCTGCTATTATATTTGAAAATAAACTATATACTGAAAAGACTTACAAATCAAGGAAATGATTCTCAGTATCATAAGGCTCACTATCTGTGGTAGAGTAAAAAGCTACCCTTAAGAGAGGAGGCCAGAGAAGAGAGGTTTACTTATTCTCTCAGTCCCTGTGCTCTGATGTGTGGTCCAGGGACAACATAGCCTCTGCTGGGGCTGTAGGAAGAGGCAACTCTGAAGACAATGCCATGTAATTTTTTTGGCCACATAATTATCCCTTTGGTGCAGTCTTCAGAGAAAGAGCCCAGGGAGGGACAACTATTTAACAGGTAAGATCCTGCACTATGACCTCAGATTTGAGAATTTAACAGTATTTGAGGTATGGCTCTCCAAGTACAAATTTTGAATTTTGAGTAGAGTAAATCTGCTGCTACCTTGAAGGTCCAGTAGAAAAGATGGGTTTTTGAGAAAAATAGTACATGTAATGTGTTTTATAACTTCCCTTAAATCCTGCAAGAGGAGCCAGCCTTATGGTGCTTTAGGTTAAACCATAGCTTACAGTTCTAGCATCCTCTCCCAGAAGACCAATTTGAGTTCCAGCTGCTCCACTTCCAGTCCAGCTTCCATCTAATGTGCCTGGGAACACAGCAGAAGATAGTTGAAGTGGTCGGGCCCCTGCACCCATGTGGGAGACTAGGCTGGAGTCCCTGACTCTTGGCTTTAGCTTGACCCTTGGCTTGTGATCATTTGAGAAGTCAACCAGCAGATAGAAGATCTGTGTGTGTGTGTGTGTGTGTGTCTCTCTCTCCCATTCTATCTCTCCCCCGCCTTCTCTCTCTCTGCCTATAAATAAATAAATAACTTAAAAAAACCTGCTAAGAAAAAGAAACAAAAAATAAAACCTGCAATGATGCTTTGAGAACACTGGTTCTCAAAGATGAGCGTGTGCGTCAGTCATTTGGGAAGCTTACAGACCAGCCATTTGAGAATCCAAGATCCTCTTCACAGAAATAGTGTTTTTATTACTCTCCTGTGTTTTTAAAACTTCTTTACATATGTATATTGTATTATATCTTAGTTGAAAACTTTTTAGAAAATAATTTTAAATGTATTTTTGGAATCTAGGTATATAATGATGCCCATATCCTGGAAAAATTACTCAAGGATAAAAGGAAAGAGCTGGGCCCACTGCCTGATGATGATGACATGGCTTCTCCCAAACTCAAGCTGAGTAAGGCAGCCTTATATTTTGTTGTTCATTTTAGTCTCTCAAGGAGAGGTTAGTTATTTGCTGGAATAGTGTTTGATTCAGTGGTGAATATATTTAACTCATCCACACTACAACATGGAGCTTATTCCCTCTTCTCAACCACTCTCTTCTCCTGTACTTTAAATTGTGAAGAGCATGTGAGTAATAGAATACAGTGTCAAAGGTTTTATTTGCTTTCTTGAATGTGGTGGGCATTTTATAAACACTAAATAGTAAGCACTTTGTACAGTGCCTGGAAAAGTTTTGTAGAGAGTATTTATGTATTTGTTTAGTTATTACTAAATATGAATCCCAGCGGTTCTGCTGGACAGAATTTGAAAGGTTATAGATGTACTGTACTCAACTGTCATTTGAATGTGGCATATGGGTGGTGGTTTTATTAAAAGATGTATGGAAAAAAAAAGATAGCAAGAGCAGTTCAGGCCAGCGCCCTGGCTCACTAGGCTAATCCTCCGCCTGCGGCGCCAGCACACCGGGTTCTAGTCCCGGTTGGGGCACCGGTTCTGTCCCGGTTACTCCTATTCCAGTCCAGCTCTCTGCTGTGGCCCGGGAGTGCAGTGGAGGATGGCCCAAGTGCTTGGGCCCTGCACCCCATGGGAGACCAGGAGGAAGCACCTGGCTCCTGGCTTCAGATCAGCGCAGTGCGCCAGCCACAATGGCCATTGGGGAGTGAACCAACGGCAAAGGGAGACCTTTCTCTCTGTCTCTCACTGTCCACTCTGCCTGTCAAAAAAAAAAAAAAAAAAAAGGCAGTTAATACCATTGGACTACTTCAAAGTATGTAAATAAAATATCAAGCAAATGATAGTGTCACAAAATTGTTAGGTGTTCTTTAGAACCAAGTTTTACACAAGGTGGAAAAACAAACACTTTTTAAAGATTTATTTAGGGGCCAGTATTGTGGCTTAGCAGGTGAAGCTGCTACTTGCAGTGCTGGTATCCCATTTGGGTTCCAGTTCAAGTCCCAGCTACACCATTTCTGATCCAGCTCCCTGCTAATGGGCCTGGGAAAGCAATGGAAGGTGATCCAAGTCCTTAGGCCCCTGCACCTATATGGGAGACCCAGAAGAAGCTCCTGGATCCTGGCTTTGGATCAGCCTGGCTCCAGCCATTGCAGGCATTTGGGGAGTGAACCAGCGGATGGGAGATCTCTTTCTCTCTGCCTCTGCCACTCTGCCTTTCAAATAAATAAATAAATCTTTTTAAAAAATTTTAGCCGGCGCCGCGGCTCAATAGGCTAATCCTCCACCTAGTGGCGCCGGCACACCAGGTTCTAGTCCCGGTCGCGGTGCCGGATTCTGTCCCTGTTGCCCCTCTTCCAGGCCAGCTCTCTGCTGTGGCCCGGGAGTGCAGTGGAGGATGGCCCAAGTGCTTGGGCCCTGCACCCCATGGGAGACCAGGAGAAGCACCTGGCTCCTGCCATCGGATCAGCACGGTGCGCCAGCCGCAGCATGCCAGCCATGGCGGCCATTGGAGGGTGAACCAACGGCAAAAGGAAGACCTTTCTCTCTGTCTCTCTCTCTCTCACTATCCACTCTGCCTGTCAAAAAAAAATTTTTTTTTAATTAAAAAAATATATATTTACTTATTTGAAAGACAGTTACACAGAGAGAGAGAGAGAGATCTATCTATCTGCTGGTTCATTCTCCAAATGGCCAAACAGCCATTGTTGGGCCAGGCAGAATCCAGGAGCCAGGATCTCCTTCCAGGTCTCCCAAGTGGATGGCAAGGGCCCAAACACCTTGACCATCCTCTGCTGCTTTTCTAAGGCCATTAGCAGAGAGCTGGATTGAAAGCAAAGCTGCCAGGACACTAACCTGTTCCCATATGGGTAGCTGTTGTTGCAGGTGGTGGCTTTGGGCACTATGCCACAACACCGGCCCCACACTTGTTTTTTATATGAAATTACTGTGAACTGGATTTCATAGTAGCATTGGGCATGATTTACTGCTAAGTGATAACTCTTTTTTGTTAAGGAATTTGACTTTTTCTGGAATTACAAAGCATGCAGAAAAGTAAAACCTTTATTCTACTTTTATAGGGATATAATACTTTTTTTAAGATTTTATTTTATTTATTTGAGATGTAGAGTTAGAGAGGGAGAGACAGAGAAAAAGGTCTTCCATCCACTGGTTCACTCCCCAGAGCAACGGCCAGAGCACTTGGGCCATCTTTTGGTGCTTTCCCAGGCCATAGCAAAAAGCCAGATTGGAAGAGGAACAGCCAGGACTTGAACTGGCACCCATGTGTCTGGCTTCACAGGCAGAGGCTTAGTCCACAATGGCACAGTCTGGCCCTGGATATAATGCTTTTTAAAACTAGAATTAATTCTGTAAGTTGAGTAAGGAGACTAGTTAGCAACAGACAGTTTAACAGATATTTATATATGTAAATAAATGTACACATACGTCTTTTAAAGTTCAGGGCAAGGTGACTTTAATGCAGAATGTTAATTTCCTTTTATTTCTCTCTTTTTTTAGTGAAAAATTTCAAAAATAATACCTGGGTCCAGCGCTGTGGCATAGTAGGCTGAGCCTCCACCTGTGGCGCCAGCATCCCAGATGGGCACTGGTTTGTTGCCCAGCTACTCCTTTTCCCATCCAGCTGTCTGCTTGTGGTCTGGGAAAACAGTGGAGGATGGGGCCCACTACTTGGGCCACTGTACCTACATGGGAGACCCAAAGAAAGCTCCTGGCTCCTGCCTTCATATTTGCCCTGCTCTGGCTTTTGGCTATTTGGGGAGTAAACCAGTGCAGGGAAGACCTTTCTCTGTCTCTCCTGCTTTTTGTCTGTAACTCTGCTTCTCAAATAAATAAATAAATAAGTAATATTTTTTTAAAAGTACAATGAACCCCTGTAGTTGCCTTTTCAACATTTATCAAGATCATGCAATACTTATTTTCTGTATCCCCTTTTCTCCTTTCTTTTCTAAATTATTTTAAAAGTAGATCCAATTATGTCATTTTCTTTCTACATCATTTGGTTTGACATTTTCTTAAATAAACATGAAGTCATTACTGTACCTAATGAGATTAGCAGTTCCTCGGTTTTCATGTATTACCTCACAAATTTTCAAGTTTTGCTGGTTATCTCACATGTATTTTTTTTAAGATTTATTTATGGGGTTCAGTGCTAGAAATAAATAATTTATTCATTTATTTCAAAGGCAGAGTTGAAGAGCAAGAGATCTTCCATCCGCTAGTTCACTCCTCGAGTGGCTGCAATGGCCAGATCTGAGCCAGGCTGAAGTCAGGAGTCAGGAGCTGCTTCTTGGTCTCCCAAATAGGTCCAGGGGTCCAGGGATTTGGACCATCTTCCAATGCTCTCCCAGGTGCATTAGCAGGTAGCTGAATCGGAAGTGAAGCAGCCAGGACTCCCAGCTGGTGCTGATATGGAATGTTGGGGTCCCAGGCAGTGGCTTAACCCGCTATGCCACAATGCTGGCCCCCTCACATGTGTTTTTATGGTTGATTTCTTCAAATCAGGACCTAAATAAGTTCAATATATTACATTTGATTATTGTGTCTTTAAACTTATACTCTACAGCAATCTTCTCCCTTCTCTTTCCTCTTGTTACCAACTCATTATAGAAAGCAGGTCACTCTGGTCCTAATGTACTAAAAGTTCTGGATTAGTCGTTTTTACTACATTGTGGGATCAGTTAACTGTTTGCTTTACCTCCCTCCTTTCTTTATTTATCTCTCTCTCTCTCTCTCTCTCTCTTTCTTCTCTTTTCCTTTTTTTTTTTTTTTTTTTAAAGTTATTGGTTTATTTATTTGAGGGAGAGACAGAGAGAAAGGTCTTCATCCACTGGTTCATTCCCCAAATGGCTGCTACAGCTGGAACAGGGTGGATCTAGAGCCAGGAGCCAAGAGACTCCTCCATGTCTCCCCCATGGTTGCAGGAGCCCAAGCACTTGGGCCATCCTCCACTGCCTTCCCAGGCCATAGCCTAGAGCTGGATCAGAAGAGGAGTAGCCAGGACACAAACTGGCACCCACATGGGATACCAGTGCCACAGGCAGAGGCCCAGCATGTTATGCCACAGCACAGGGCCCTATCCCACTTGTTTCTTTTAAATGGAAATTAACTTGAAATGCTTCATTAGATTCAGTTTCAGCTTGCCGGGGATCTACCTCATAAGAAATTTTCTTACTTATTTTGAAACACATCTTGGAATGATGTCTGATTAAGATAGAATGCAAATAAGGTCCATACAATGCATTTAGTTGAAACTTAGTCTGTGAACACTCCTCCAGCTCTCACTTCCCCCAACCCCCACAGTTTACCTGTTGAAGACACTGAGTTTGTACTTTGCTTTCCCACACTCTGGGTTTTGCTAATTGTGCCTCTTTGTTATAGTTTAACATGTTCTTCTGTCCTTAATATTTCCTATAAATTGCAAGTTGAGACCAGAGGTTTGATTTCCCACGTCCCTTCCTTTTTGTTCAAAAACCAGCTTCACGGGGCCGGTGCCCTGGTGCACTTGGTTCATCCTCCGCCTGCAGCACCAGCATCCCATATGGGAGCTGGGTTCTAGTCCCAGTTGCTCCTCTTCCAGTCCAGCTCTCTGCTGTGGCCCAGGAGAGCAGTGGAGAATGGCCCAAGTGCCTGGGCCCTGCACCCGCATGGGAGACCAGGAGGAAGCACCTGGCTCCTGGCTTCGGATCAGCGCAGCGCTGGCCGTAGCAGCCATTTGGGGGGTGAACCAACGGAAGTATGACCTTTCTGTCTGTCTCTCTCACTGTCTAACTCTATCTGTCAAATTAAAAAAAAAAAAAAAAAAAAAAAAAAAACAGCTTCACAGGAAACCCGTGCTCTTCCAGCAGGTGGTACATGATCATCTGTTGTGAACAAGTACTGATGCTTCTATTTCATTCACTCCTTGTAGGGGCATGAAATGGTGATGATTCAATTTTATCACTCCATGCTTCTGTATTAGATGAATTATTTCTTTTTTCTTTCTCAAGATGTATTTATTTATTTGAAATACAGAGTTGCAGAGAGAGAGAGAGATCTTCCATCCACTGGTTCACTCCCCAGATGGCTGCAATGGCTGGAGCTGTGCCAATCCAAAGCCAGGAGCCAAGAGCTTCTTCTGGGTCTCCCACGTGGGTGCAGGGACCCAAGGACTTGGGCCATCTTCCATTGCTTTCCCAGGCCACAGCAGAGAGCTAGATTGGAAGTGGAGCAGGGGGCCTCGAACCTCTACCTATATGGGATGCTGGCACTGCAGGTGGCAGCTTTACCCACTACACCACAGCGCTGGTCCCATGGATTATTTCTATATAAAGAATTTTTTTCCTTGTTATTTGGTTAAGCAGTGGTACAGTTTTTTGTTTGTCTTGTTTTGGAAGAATAAAAGCCTGATTTTTTTCTCTTTTTTTTAACCAGTTTTTATGATAGTATATCGGTTTACTAATACCCTCTTTTTTTTTTTTTTTTTTTTTTGCCAGGCAGAGTTAGACTGTGAGAGAGAGAGACAGACAGAGAGAGAGTTATAGACAGTGAGAGAAAGGTCTTCCTTATGTTGGTTCACTCCCCTAATGGCTGCTACAGCCAACACTGTGCCAATCTGAAGCCAGGAGCCGGGTACTTCCTCCCAGTCTCCCATGCAGGTACAAGGACCCAAGCACTTGGGCCATCCTCCGCTGCCCTCCCAGGCCACAGCAGAGAGCTAGACTGGAAGAGGAGCAACTGGGACTGATACCCAGTGCCCCTACTGGAACTAGAACCTGGGGTGCCGGTGCCGCAGGCAGAGGATTAGCCAAGTGAGCCACGGCACTGGCCCCCTCCAATTTGTTTTTAAAGATTTATTTTATTTTATTTGCAAGTCAGAGTTACACAGAGAGAGAAGAGGCAGAAAGAGAGAGAGAGAGGGGTCTTCCATCTGCTGGTTCACTCACCAGTTGGCCGCAACAGTCAGAGCTGCGCTGATCCGGAGCTTCTTTCAGTTTCTCCCACGTGGTCGCAGGGTCCCAAGGACTTAGGCCATCTTCTACTGCTTTCCCAGGCCATACCAGAGAGCTGGATAGGAAGTGGAGCAGCCGGGCCTCAAACCAGCCCCCATATGGGTTGCCAACGCTTCAGGCCAGGGTGTTAACCACACTGCACCACATTGCCGGCCCATCCTCCAATATTTAACTACGTTTTTGTTGGTCCTTTTTTTTTTTTTAACAGGCAGAGTGGACAGTGAGAGAGACAGACAGACAGAAAGGTCTTCCTTTACCGTTGGTTCACCCTCCAATGGCGCTGTGGCCGGCGCACTGGGCTGATCCTAAGGCAGGAGCCAGGTGCTTCTCCTGGTCTCCCATGCGGGTGCAGGGCCCAAGCACTTGGACCATCCTCCACTGCACTCCCGGGCCACAGCAGAGAGCTGGCCGGGAAGAGGGGCAACCGGGACAGAATCTGGCGCCCCGACCGGGACTAGAACCCGGTGTGCCGGCGCCACAAGGCAGAGGATTAGCCTATTGAGCTGTGGCGCCAGCCAGTTTGTTTTACATGTATATGTATCATTATTAACAGCTAGCTTTATTGCTGACTTCAATCCATTTTAGTTATTCTCCTTATTGATGCTTATGTTGTCTCAGGCTGGCTCCTGTATTCTTTTAATGTGACCATCGTAAAAAATAGTTGATAGATTTTTTACAATGTGTTGTTTCAAGATACACCAGACTTGGAGTCAGCCATTTGTGAAGGAGTCCTAAACTTTGTATGTTTCTGTTAAAAGGCCAGGATTGTTTGAAATTAACGTTTTAAAACTGTGGTCCTGAGATATACTTCTACTAAGCTGGTCATTATTTCTATGACTTTCAATGGACAGACCTAAAAAATTGAGCATGTCTATGTATATGTGTTTATATTTAAAGATAAAATGCATCGTGGCTCAGTTGATACATTCAATTGCGATTCCAGGCTATGGAGCTTTTATCCATGTTCTTGGTTTTAACATCTGTGTCTCTCCTTCTCCCACAATGAAATCTCAGTTCTGTGGGGTTTCAGAGATGATGGAATAAGTATGCCACGTATCTACTGACTTGCTGTATCCCACATTATTCACAGCTAGCTGAGCGTGACAGTACAAACTGTCCGTTCAAAAATTTGATTTCTGAAAACAGTTAAATAATCTTTTGTAATGTATTTCACTGAAGATATGTTACTGTGTTTTGCAAATCACTTGTTCCTTTCTTATGGTTATGCTACCAATTGTATACAAATTTATATTCATTTATTTCATTTAATCCATTTAACATAAAATTTCTTTCTTTCTTTAGGTAGGAAGAGTGGCATATCTCCTAAAAAATCAAAATATATGACTCCAATGCAGCAGAAGCTAAATGAAGTTTATGAAGCTGTAAAGAACTATACTGATAAGAGAGGTCGGCGCCTCAGTGCCATATTTCTGAGACTTCCCTCCAGATCTGAGCTGCCTGACTACTATCTGACAATTAAAAAGCCCATGGACATGGAAAAAATTCGAAGTCACATGATGGCCAACAAGTACCAAGATATCGACTCTATGGTTGAAGACTTTGTCATGATGTTTAACAACGCCTGTACATACAATGAGCCCGAGTCTTTGATCTACAAAGATGCCCTTGTCTTACACAAAGTCTTGCTGGAGACTCGGAGAGACCTCGAGGGAGATGAGGACTCTCACGTCCCAAATGTGACTTTGCTGATTCAAGAGCTTATCCACAATCTTTTCGTGTCAGTCATGAGCCATCAGGACGATGAGGGAAGATGCTATAGTGATTCCCTAGCAGAAATTCCTGCAGTAGATCCCAGCTTTCCTAACAAACCTCCTCTTACTTTTGACATTATTAGGAAAAATGTTGAAAATAATCGCTATCGGCGGCTCGATTTATTTCAAGAGCATATGTTTGAAGTATTGGAAAGGGCAAGAAGGATGAATCGGTATGTTTTTAAAGCCATTTCTTTTTGAGGATGTGATGTTTAGTGCCAGGCAGTTGAGTGGAAATTGCTTTGATTCAGCTTATGTGTGTGATTATAGTTGTTACCATATTATTCTGACTTAATTAGGCTGAACTTCAAGAGTGAGATATTCCATGGAGAAGAGAGGGCACACTTCTTTCTGTTTTTTGTTTTTTTTTTTTTTTGTTTTTAAGATTTATTTATTTATTTCAAAGTCAGACTTTTGGAGAGAGAGAGAGTTACACAGAGAGGCAGAGAGAGAGAGGGCTTCCATCCACTGGTTCTCTCCCCAGTTGGCTGCAATGACCAGAGCTGCACCAATCCAAAGCCAGGAGCTGCTTCCGAATCTCCCACATGGGTGCAGGGGACCAAGCAATTGGGCCATCTTCTACTGCTTTCCCAGGCCATAGCAGAGAGCTACATTGGAAGTGGAGCAGCCGTGACTCGAACCAGTGCCCATATGGGATGCTAGCACTGCAGGTGGTGGACTCACCCGCTATACCCCAGCACCAGCCTTGAGGGCACGCTTCTTTTTTTTTTTTTTTTTTTTTTTGGAAAAAGTTACAATGAGGCAGAGAGAGAGAGGTCTTTCATCCTCTGATCCACTCCCCAGATGGCCACAGTGGCCAGAGCTGTGCTGATCCAAAGCCAGGAGCTTCTTCTAGGTCTCCCACGTGGGTGCCCGGGCCCAAGGACTTGGGCCATCTTTTACTGCTTTCCCAAACCATAACAGAGAGCTGGATCGGAAGAGGAGCAGCCGGGACTTGAACTGGCGTCCATATGGGGTGTCGGCGCTTCAGGCCAGGGCTTTAACCCACTGCACCACAATGCTGGTCCCAACACTTTGTAATCATACAAGTTAGGGCCCATGGGAAGGAGGAAAACAAGTGAAAATCTCTTTTGTAAAGTGTAAACTTAAAATACAGCCCTTTTATAGGACTTTTTTTAAGGATAAATACTCATAATTTAAAATTAGAATTTGAAATAGTGACAGAGCCAGCGCCATGGCTCACTTGGCTAATCCTCCGCCTGCGGCGCTGGCACACCGGGTTCTAGTCCCAGTTGGGGCGCCGGTTCTGTCCAAGTTGCTCCTCTTCCAGTGCAGCTCTCTGCTGTGGCCCAGGAGTGCAGTGGAGGATGGCCCAAGTGCTTGGGCCCTGCACATGCATGGGAGACCAGGAGGAAGCACCTGGCTCCTGGCTTTAGATCGGCACAGCGCGCCGGCCATAGCGGCCACTTGGGGGGGGGGGTGTGAACCAACTGAAAAAGGAAGACCTTTCTCTCTGTCTGTCTCTCTCTCACAGTCTAACTCTGCCTGTCAAAAAGAAAAAAAGAAATAGTAACAGGACTTTTATGGTTGGACATCAATCCAAGAATTTTTTTATTTTTTTTTTATTTTTTTTTTGACAGGCAGAGTTAGACAGTGAGAGAGAGAGAGACAGAGAGAAAGTTCTTCCTTCCGTTGGTTTACCCCCCAAATGGCCTCTGCAGCTGGTGCACTGCGCCGATCTAAAGCAAGGAGCCAAGTGCTTCCTTCTGGTCTCCCAAGCAGGTACAGGGCCCAAGCACCTGGGCCATCCTCCACTGCCTTCCCAGGCTACAGCAGAGAGCTGGACTGGAAGAGGAGCAACCGGGACTAGAACCCGAGGTGCCGGCGCAGCAGGCGGAGGATTAGCCTAGTGAGCCGTGGCACTGGCCCAAGAATTCTTTGAATAAATAGCCATAAGTTATTGATGTGAAGTTAGACTGATAATTTTTTTAAAGATTTATTTATTTATTTGAAAGGCAGAGTTATAGGCAGAGACAGAGGAATATCTTTTTTTTTTTTTTTTTTTTTAGCTGATTTACTTACTTGAGAGGTGGAGTTAAAGACAGAGAAAGGGAGAGACAGAAAAGTCTTCCATCTGCTGGTTCACTCCCCAACTGGCCACAACAGCCAGAGCTAGGCCGACCCAAAGCCAAAAGCCAGGAACTTCTTCCAGATCTCCCACACGGGTGTAGGGGTCCAAGCACTTAAGCCATCTTCTGCTGCTTTCCCAGGCCCTAGTGGAGAACTGGATCAGAAGAGGAGCAGCTGGGACTTGAACCAGCACCCATATGGGATGCCAGCACTGCAGGTGGTGGCTTTAACTGCTATGCCACAGTGCTGGCCCCTGATGATAAATTTTTAAATCACCATTTCAAGTACCTATATAAGGGCATCCGATTTACTTATTATTTTTTATTTATCTGAAAGGCAGAGTTGTAGAGAAAGGGAGAGACAGAGAGTTTCCATCTGCTTTTTCATTCCCCAAATGGCTGCAACAGCCAGAGATGGACCATGCTGAAGCCAGGAACCTGAAATACCATCCGTGTTTCCCACATGGTTGGTGGGGACCCAAGTATTTCGGCTGTCTTCTGCTGCCTCTCCAAGCAATTTAACTGAGAGCTTGATGAGAAGTGGAGCACCCAGACTCTAACTAGCACTCTTGTGGGATGCCATTGTTGCAGGAAGCAGCTTAACCTGCTGTGCCACAATGCCAACCCCAGGACTTCTTTTTCTTTCTTTCTGTTCTTATTTCTTACTTTTAGAGCCTGTGGCAGATAGTAAATGTTCTAAAAGAAGCAATCAAGTTTCATTTTACCTCAAATTTCAGTTTTCTTCTAATTTTGGTATTTTTTGCCATATATTAATAGTGTACTCAACTGATAAACTCAATTCAGCAATAACATTGTATCTTCTGGGGCCAGTGCTGTGGCACAGGAGGTTAATCCCCCTCCTGCAGTGCTAGCATCCCATATGGGCGCCGGTTCTAGTCCTGGTTGCTCCTCTTCCAGTCCAGCTCTCTGCTGTGGCCTGGGAAAGCAATAGAAGATGGCCCAAGTGCTTGGGCCCCTGCTCCCACATGGGAGACCTGCACCTGGCTCCTGGCTTCGGATCAGCGCAGCTCTGGCCGTTGAGGCCATTTGAGGAGTGAACCAATGGAAGGAAGACCTTTCTCTCTGTCTCTCCCTCTCACTGTCTGTAACTCTACCTCTCAAATAAATAAATAAAAATCTTTAAAAAAAAAAAAAAAGTGTATCTTCCTGTCCTTATAAGGGCACTTGGAAGATTATAAAAGTTAAAGATAAAAACCCTGCCTTCCTGCAGCCAACAGTCTCTCATGCTAACAGCTAGACTTTTAAGCAGTAAAATTCCACTTGAGGAATCTGTGAAGCCAACATTTGCCCTGTATCTTGAAAAAAAAAAATAATGTTTGCTATTGCTGTTCTTTGTAAAATGTCAAGCTTAGCACTTCATGTGGATCAGGAGTAGGGAACATCCGGTCCTGCCAGAGCAACTGCAGGCAGCATTTGAAACTGAATAAATGTATAGCGCGCTAATTCTTAAGTTGACAGTTTTATATGGCCTAAGATTGATGTTACAAATATCCAGATGGCCCTTAGTGGAAAAATAGGATTCCCACCCCTGTTACAGATAATAGCTAACTCTTAAAAACAGTCAGCCTAGGTAAGTGACCATCTTTTCAGTTTACAAGGGAAGAATTGGAGGCATAGGCAGAGAAGTTGCCCAAAGTCACATAACTCCTAAGTGGTGTGCCTTGTCTCATACCCCACTACAGAGAGCTGTTGCTGAGCCAGTTACCGGGATGCCTGTCAGGGGAGCACTGCCATAGAAAATAAGCCTTGAGCTCTGTGATAGATGGCACAGGTCCTATACTTAGGGAAGAATTCCCCCAACATAAGAGCATGTCCCAATGTGATATTTAGTAGATAATGGCATGAGGAACTCTATGGGTTATTCTAAAAAGATTTGCGACATCAGGGAAGAGTCTGAGAATGAGAAGTCTTCAAATAAGATGAGAGGTATGAGGCGAGGCTTGGGGCTCATAAATTAATATGGTAGGTTCAAGAAACAGTAGTAGAGTTGAGGTCAGACCGGAAAGACCTTTGAGTTTAACATTTAAGAAATGGTCTGTATTTGACACTAGGAATAGAAATAAAGAGCAAAATAGAAAGCAAATCTTGCTGTCAAAATTTGGAAGAATTATTAATTTATCAACAAATTTTTGTTGCATGACTATCAGTTGATGAGCATATTCTAGATGCATAGGATACAGCAACGGGCAAAACAGACAAACCCAGCTTTCCTGGAGCTTTTGATTTGTTTTATTTCTTTGAAAGTCAGGGAGGTAGAGACAGAGAGGTCTTTAATTTATTGATTGACTCCCCAAGTGGCTGCAGTGGCCAGGGCTGGGCCAGGCTTAAGCCAGGAGCCAGGAGCTGCTTCTGGGTCACCCATGTGGATACAGGGGCCAAGGACTTGGGCCATCTTCTGCTTTCCCAGGCACATTAGCAGGGAGCTAGATGGGAAGTGGAACAGCCCGGACTGTACGGACTCCCTTATGGGATGCCAGCATTGCAGGTGTCAACTTTCCCTGCTGAGCCACAGCACTGATCCCTAACATTGATTCTTATAAAGTACACTATCTTTATTCACAAAGGAGGACTGGCTTCTTTCCATAGCAGATGGAAAATTTCTCACTCCCTCTGTCTGTATCTCCTCTCTGTTTGTCACTCTACCTTTCAGATAAATAAATAAATCTTTGGAAAAAAAAAAAAAAACAACAACAAAGAATCAACATGTTAAAAAGAAAAAAATAATTGATTTTACTGTATCAGTTTAGTGAATGATAATCAGTCCTGTGAATATTATATTACCGGTAATGAAGATAGGAGTCTGAGAAATAGTAACTTCATGAATTTAGTGATGTCCACATGCAGCAATTTCCATGTTGATCTTGTAAGAGTGTTCATGCTTCATCACCATGTACCCCTGTCCACCAGTGCTATCCAGCATCAGCTAGGCCTTCGTGCTCTGCAATAGACAGGAACCAAACAGTGAGACAAAACAGAGATGTTATCTCAGGTAACAGTGATTTGTCCATCACCAATATTCATTAACAGCACAGTACTGCAGGCCAGGTAACCACTGGCTTACTTACTAATCCGATAGTATCCCGGGATTAGGTGTTCTGGCTCCCTTGCAGTTAAGGAGTTACAGAAATACAGGGACAATGGTACCAGCATTGTGGCATAGCAGGTTAACCACCTGCTGCACACCAGTATCACATAAAAGCACTGGTTTGAGTTCCAGCTGCTCCACTTCCAACTGAGCTCCCTGCTAATGTGCCTGTCAAGGCTGCAGAAGATGGCTCGGGTACTTGGGCCCTCGCTGCCTACATGGGAGACCCGAATGGAGTTCTTGGCTCCTAAACCAGCCCCAGCCATTGCAGTCATTTGGGGAGTGAACCAGCGGATGGAAGATCTCTCTCTCTGTCTCCCTTCCTCTCTCCCTCCATAACTCTGCCTTTAAATCTTAAATAAATAGAAAAGATAAGGACAAGGACAGCATCAAGAGTATCCTGTTACAATGGTTACTTCCTTTTGCTGAGTGTCTGCCATATATAAAACAATGACCTACCAACTGAAGGGAATTAGAGTTAGTTCTCTTTCCATCTGGTGTTTTTGTTCTTGCATATTCAGTGAGCAGCTAGTCATTTAGATTGATAAATGATTCATAGTATTTAGAATAATATTGAATAGGGGCCAGTGCTGTGGCGCAGCGGGTTAATGCCCTGCCCTGAAGTGCCGGCATCCCATATGGGCGCCGGTTTGAGACCTGCCTGCTTTACTTCGATCCAGCTCTCTGCTGTGGCCTGGGAAAGCAGTGGAGGATGGCCCAAGTCCTTGGGCCCCTGCATCCATGTGGGAGACCCGGAGGAGGCTCCTGGCTCCTGGCTTCGGATCGGTGCAGCTCCGGCCGTTACAGCCAACTGGGGAGTGAACCAGTGGATGGAAGACCTCTCTCTCTCTCTCTCTCTCTCTCTCTCCCCTCTCTCCCCTCTCTCCCCCCTCTCCACACTCTCCACACTCTCCACTTTCTCCCCTCTCTGCCCTCTCTCCAGCTCTTCCCCTCTTCCCATAAAGAAAACAAAAGGTTTTCATTAGTGACGTTTTGTCCCAGCCCTCTCTCCCCTCTCTTTGTTTAACTCTGACTTTCAGATAAGTAAATAAATCTTTAAAAAAAAAAAAAACAAAGAATAATATTGAATAAAACAAAAGGAGTACATCAGTTGTGTTAGTGCCTTTTGTACAAACTTTCATTTCTAAGCAGTGTGACATGTTGGAATTCTGAATTTGACCTTTTAGTATAACATGGATTTACCAAAACTATTTTCACTTAAAATTGTAAGCTATTATAAAATGAGTTTTAATTTCAAGAGAATAGGCTTCAGACATATCTGTTCAGAAACCAAGCATCAAAATAGTGTCTTCAAGAGTTTCTTCTCTAATTTTGTTTTTAGTGCTTTCCTGTAAGTATTACCATATCTGCAACCACAGAAGATGTTTAAAACTTTTCCAGAAATACTTAGCTTATTGGCAGTGTTCTGAAATTTTTTGCTAGTTTACATTTGCTGATGGGGAGAAGCATTCTAGAAAGTTTGCTGAAGTTGGATGTGCCAGTGAGATGTGTCAGGTGGCTGGCTGGGTTTGCTTCGCCTGTCACATTGTCTAAAGAGGAATGTTTCATAGCTGTTCATAAGGTATTTGTGGTTAGCTTTCTGAATAATTTTTTAGGCACTAGTATTCTTAGTTAATAGGATTACATTTAAGCTTTCCTCAGTCCAGAGTAGATTAGAGATAAAAATGTCTTCCAATCTAAATTTTAAAATTTATTTTGCCCAGTCTCCTAATTTTATAAATGTCCTGAATGTGACACAGTTTTTCTCCCCTCTTTCAGTATGTTGCCTCTGACAGTTTCCCAGAATTACCATTATTTGTGGAAAACCAAAATGAACTAGAACTCCGAGGCCTGTAACTATTATAGGTTGATTGGTGGTTTAGATTCATCTATTCAGTCTTACCAGGCTAGGCAACCATGATGTTGACCAAAAAGAAGAGTGTGGATGTAGCTTAAATCTTACATAATGCATTATTCCACAATTAAGAGAAATAAAAATTAACCAAAGACAAGATACAAGTAAGGTTTGATCAGGATCTGGAACTTTGGTACTGCCCTTGATTCTGGCAGCCACCTTCTTTTGTTAGAATTAGTTGATGCGTGTGCCATGTATTTCTCAGGGAAAATACTTTCCTCCTACAAGAACTGTACAAGGATGAGCCTTGAGGAAAAGGAAACTAGTGGGCACGGGGCTCCCTGTGATAAAAATGACATCTTAAATTCTGTCCTGACCTCACCAAGATACACTTCTTAGAACTATGCAAATATTAAGAAGTATCTGACAGAATTGATCATATAACTGGTGTATTTAATTAAAAGAAACAGTTTGCGTGTCAATAGATACTCTTTATGCTGTTATAGGACAGATTCTGAAATATATGAGGATGCCGTAGAACTTCAGCAGTTTTTTATTAAAATTCGTGATGAGCTCTGCAAAAATGGAGAGATCCTGCTTTCACCAGCACTCAGCTATACCACAAAACATTTACATAATGATGTAGAGAAAGAAAAAAAGGAAAAATTACCAAAAGAAATGGAAGAAGATAAACTAAAGAGAGAAGAAGAAAAAAGAGGTTGGTTCCCTTTCTTTTTATTAAATATGAAGCAGTATTATGCTCTGTTCTAGTTAATCTCACAGTTAGTTGAGAAAAAAATCCTGTTAGAATGAGAATTTAGGGGTCGGCGCCGCGGCTCACTAGGCTAATCCTCCGCCTTGCGGCGCCGGCACACCGGGTTCTAGTCCCGGTCGGGGCACCGGATTCTGTCCCGGTTGCCCCTCTTCCAGGCCAGCCCTCTGCTGTGGCCAGGGAGTGCAGTGGAGGATGGCCCAGGTGCTTGGGCCCTGCACCCCATGGGAGACCAGGAAAAGCACCTGGCTCCTGGCTCCTGCCATCGGATCAGCGCGGTGCGGCGGCCATTGGAGGGTGAACCAACGGCAAAAGGAAGACCTTTCTCTCTGTCTCTCTCTCTCACTGTCCACTCTGCCTGTCAAAAAAAAAAAAAAAAAAAAAAAAAAGAATGAGAATTTAGGGTGTTGACTATTTCACAACATGATGAAATTAAAATATTTTTATCTTTATCAATTTGGTCATCTGATTAAAGAAGATTGAAAGTTACTGGTGACACAGTATCCTAGTGTTTCAGGAACAGTCAGTTAATTTACGAGTTTCTGCCATATCATCCAATCTCAAGGCTTTATTCTTACATACTCTGGGCTAGACAGAGTTGAATCACATATTTTGGTTCAGCACATACATAGGAAAAAAGTTTGATTTCAGTCATAACTATCTCAATATATTGCTTTCAGTCACTTGATTGAGTTTAGAAATAAATCTATGGTTTTTTAAAATTGATTTATTTATTTGAGAGAGTTATGGACAGAGAGAGAGAGAGAGAAAGGTCTTCCTTCCTTTGGTTCACTCCCCAAGTGGCCACAAAAGCCAGAGTTAGGCCAATCCTGAGCCAGGAGCCAGATGCTCCTGGTTCCGGATCAGCTGAACTTTAGCTCTTGCAGCCATCTGGGGAGTGAATCAGTGGATGGAAGACCTCTCTGTCTCTCTCTGTAACTCTGTCTTTCAAATAAATAAAATGAATTTTTAAAAGAAAGTGGGATATTAATAAAAAAAAAAGTCTTCCATCCACAATTTTGCTCCCCAAATGGCTGCAACGACTGCAGGTAGGCTGATCTGGAGCCAGGAGCCAGGAGCTTCTTCCAGGTTTCCCACATGGGGGTAGGGGCCCAAGCACTTGGGCCATCCTCCACTGCTTTCCCAAGCCATTAGCAGAGAGCTGGATCGGAAGTGGGACAGCCAGGATATGAAGTGGCACCCATATGGGATGCCAGAGCCACAGTGGAGGCTTGGCCTGCTGCACCACAGCACCAGCCCCAATTGAAATGATTTATACCAAATACTGAGACCTTTTGGCCCTCCTTACTTTTGAGCTCCTGGAATGCTGGCAGCCATACTGTAGTTCAGAGGCAGAAGATTTTCTCTTGAGAAATAGATAAATCAGTGAGGAAAAACTAAAAATAATAACATCTGGGGGTCTTAGTGAAACCTGTCAGTCAACTAGTTCTGTACATGCACAGAGATCTTCCCTTTTTGTGTGTTTTTAAAGATTTTTTTTATTTATTTGAAAGTCAGAGGTAGAGAATGAAAGGCAAAGAGAGAGAAATCTGTCCGCTGGTTCACTCCCCAATTTGCCACAAAAGCCCAGAGCTGGGCCATTCTGAAGTCAGGAGCCAGGAGCCTCTTCCAGGTCTCCCACAGGGGTGCAGGGCCCCCAGGACTTGGGCCATCTTCTATTGTTTTCCTAGGCCATAACAGAGAGCTGGATCAGAAGTGCAGCAGCTGGGACTTGAACTGGTGCCCATATGGGATGCTGGCAGTGGAGACATCTGCTTTACCCACTATACCACAGCGCCGGTGTCAACACAGAGAACTTCTAATCAGCTTTTTTAACAGTTCATTCTTAAGAGCAGGTGTTTATTTAAATAAGACCCAGTATTTAAGGAAAGTTCCTAAAGTGAATGATTTTCTAAAAAAAACAGGTCCTTGGAGAGATGACAAGTTGCTGCATGCATAAACAAAAATAAGAGGCTAAAGAAAATTGAATGTTCACAGAACAAAAGAATTTCTTAGAAATAAAAATTGTTTGGCCAGCACTGTGGTATGGGTAAAGCCAGCACCTCTTGTGCCGGCATCCCTCATGGATGCTAGTTCAAGTCTTGGCTGCTCCACTTGCAGTCCACCTCCCTGCTAATAGGCCTGAGAGAGCAGTGGAGGATAGACCAGGTCACTGGGCCCCTGCACCCTTGTGGGAGGCCTGAATGATGTTGCTGGCTCCTGACTTTGTGGCCGTTTAAGAAGTGAAGCAGTAGATAGAGGATTCTTCTTTCCCTCTGTCTCTAACTCTGCCTTTCAGATAAATAAATAATTTTTTAGAAAGAAAAAAGCAAAATGACGGATTTTTTTTAATGTTCTACAATAATTTTTAAAAACTGATAATGTCACATAAAACATTGAATTTATACTTTAGGTAAATTGTTTAGCGTGTGAATTATATTTCAGTAAAGCTGTTTTAAAAATATGGTAGCAGGGAGCTGGTGTGTGGCACGGTGGTTGAAGCTTTTGTATGCTGTATCAAAGTGCTGAGATTCAAGTGGCAGCTCTGTCTTGATTTTCAGCTTCCTCCTAATACACACCCTGGGAAGCAGCAAGTGATGGCTCAAGTACTTGGATCCCTGCCACATATTTGGGAGTCCTGTACTGAGTTCTGGCTCCTGGCTTTTGCCTCTCCCTGTCCCAGTTATTGGGGCCATTTGGAGAGTGAGGTTAACCAGAGATTAAAGATCTCTGGCTGGCGCCGCGGCACACTAGGCTAATCCTCCACCTAGTGGCGCCGGCACACCGGGTTCTAGTCCCGGTCGCGGTGCCGGATTCTGTCCCTGTTGCCCCTCTTCCAGGCCAGCTCTCTGCTGTGGCCCGGGAGTGCAGTGGAGGATGGCCCAAGTGCTTGAGCCCTGCACCCCATGGGAGACCAGGAGAAGCACCTGGCTCCTGGCTTCAGATCAGCGCGGTGCGCTGGCCGCGGCGGCCATTGAAAGGTGAACCAACAGCAAAGGAAGACCTTTCTCTCTGTCTCTCTCACTGTCCACTCTGCCTGTCAAAAAAAAAAAAAAAAAAAAATCTCTATCTGCCTTTCAAATAAAAATAGATTTCTAAAATCAGTTATTTCCATTTAAAATATATATAATGGCACAATGGAAACATCTCATCATGCTTTTTAGTCAGAGAAAAATTCAGACTATAAAATGGAAGAAATCCCCCCATGAAGTGGAACAGCAACAAACAGGAAACAAAGAAAAATACAACTAAAAGATCAGGCCAGAATGCAGTTCCACTAACTGTCTTGCCACTATGTAACAAGGATTGCTTTTCCTCTACTTTCTAATAGTACCTTCCTCATTTCCTTCTGAGCTTTCAGTTGCTAAGTATTCAATGTCCATTTTTTACTAATAATCTGTGGTAATTTAAGCTTTTATATCATGCTTCTCAAATTTTTTCCAGTCTTTGATCAATACCCAATTCCAAAATCACTTCCATATTTTTTAGGTGTTTGTTATAGCAGCACTCCTGTAACAGGTACCAAAATCTCATGGTCCTGAATCTTAGCACGCAAGTCATTTAAATTAAGTATATGGATGAGACTCTGAGATATAATCCATCCTGGGACACAGTTTCTCTGGATCTATGAACCTATAAAAATGAAGAAAAAATAGTTCTTTATTATTTTAATACAGTGATGAAACATGCATAGGATAGCAGTTACAGATATTCCTTTTCAGAAAGGGAAAGGTGGAAGGAAATGTACTGGTTGCAAGCAGTTTGACATCAACTGGCTTGGGTTTCCTGGGCCTGAGAGCAATCCTCTATAGCTCAACACTGTGCCCGCTGATTGATCTCTTTTCGTGAAAGGTAGCACACTTGCAAATTCAGTCGTGTTGTCAGCCTGTTTGCTATCTAGAATTTGGAGAATGGACTGCCTTCTTTTGTTTCATACTCTTTCAATTGAGCTGTTTCTGCTGATATAAAATTCTTGAGAACTTTGAGGGTCTTCTATGTCCCGGTGATTGACTCAATTACTCAACTACTAGATAACACTTTTCAGAGGCTGATAAAATATTTTTTAAAAGTACACTGTCAGCGTTAGAGTATGGAGAACCTGGTAGCCAGACAGCGAGGGACTTAAATTGGTACAGCTTTTTGGAGATCAGTTTGGAATATGCATTTTTTAAAACTTATAAATTTTATTCCTGGCTGTTCCATTTAAGGGAAATTGTCCTAAGAAAGCAAAGAAGTAGACAAATCTTTATCCTAATAAACAAACAAGTCAAACCTGTGGTAGGGTGGGCATTTAGCCTATTAGTTTAAAATGTCCACATCTCCTTTCAGAGTGCCTTGATTTGATAGCCACCGCTAGTGCCTGACTCCTTCCTGCTGATGCAGACCCTAGAAGGCAGTGCTGGTGGCTCAGGTGGTTCGGTTCCTGCTACCCACATGGGAGACCTGAATTGCATCCTTGGCTTCCAGACTGTAGCAGGCATTTGGGAAGTGAACCAGCATATAGGAGCATGCTCTCTCTTTCAAATAAATTATTTTAAAATAAGTTTTTAAAGGGCAACGACGTTGTGGCAAAGCAAAGTAAGCTGCCACTTAGTACACCTGCATCCCATATTTGAATGCTGGCTCAAGTCCCAGGATATTCTTCTAATCCAGCTTCCTTATAACGTGATTCTGGGAGACGGCAGATGATGGCTCAAGGACTTGGATCCCTGCCCCCCATATAGAAGACGCAGCTGGAATTCTGGGCTCTTGGCTTCATTTTGGCCCAGCCCTGGTTGCTGTACACATTTGGAAATGAACCAGCAGATGGAAGATCTCTCTTTTCTGTCTCCCCTATCCCTGTGCTCTGCCTTTCAAACAAATGTTTTAAAAAAATTTTTTGGGGAGCATGCGCTGTGGGTTAGTGGGTATAGCCGCCGGCAATGCCAGCATCCCATATGGGTGCCGGTTCAAGTCTCAGCTGCTCCACTTCCCATCCAGCTCTCTGCTGTGGCCTGGGAAAGCAGTAGAAGATGGCCCAAGTCCTTGGGCCCCTGCACCCACGTGGGAGATCCGGAAGAAGTTCGTGGCTCCTGGCTTTGGATCAGTGCAGCTCCAGCCTTTGCAGCAAGTTGGGGATGAACTAGCAAATAGAAGACCTCTCTCTCTCTCTGCCTCTCTTTCTCTCTCTGTGTAACTCTTTCAAATAAATAAATCTCTAAAAAATTTTGTTTTATTTTTAAGCCTGTGGTATTTGGAAATGATAGCTTATATTGGAACCATCAAAATGTCTTATTTTGATAAAAAGAAAAATCTTGCTGAAAAACACTTCATCTCAAGGGAAATATTTCTGATATAAAGTGTATATCTAGACATATACACAGTATATCCTATAATTTGCCTATTCCATATTTCCTCTGTTCTGAGATTCTATTTGATATGTCATATACATGTAATAACCGTTAGGAGAAAAGATGCAGAAGCATTAAGATGGAGAGGAAATTTGTTAGATTTTTTTCTAGGATTATATGAATTTGTAAGTAACATATTCTTCTTTATGTTTGTATCTTCCAGAATGACTCTTGGCATATGATTATTTTTGTTCTAGATATATATTTTGTTATGTTTTTAGGATCATAGGAATTGATTAGAATTCCAAAAAGTAATTTTGGGTAGAGTCTGTTGGGAATATGAAAATCATACTGTTTTTCCTGACTCCTGCTTTAGAATGTCACAGAAGGCTTAAATATATTAGCATGTGTTGTTGGAATCCTGCATCCGATTCCAGCATCCCTTTAATGAGTATGTTTTTCTTTTTCTTCTTCTTTTTTTTTAACCTAAGAAGCTGAAAAGAGTGAGGATTCCTCGGGTGCTGCAGGCCTCTCAGGCCTACATCGCACCTACAGCCAGGACTGCAGCTTTAAGAACAGCATGTATCACGTTGGAGATTACGTCTATGTGGAACCTGCAGAAACCAACCTACAGCCACACATAGTCTGTATTGAGAGACTGTGGGAAGATTCAGCAGGTAGGTTTGTTTGAAATCAAAGTACAAATTGGTGAAATTTTATTCTTCCTTGGTCCTTAAGGAAGATTTTAACTCAGAAATCCTATGCCTTCCAATAATAGTTGTTTTGTTGTATTAGTGAATAGAAATAAGCACCTACCATATGAAAAATACAGGATTTTAGTACTGGGAGGCAGTGTCACAATTGAGTCAAAGGAAATACAACTTTTTTTTTTTTTTTTTTTTACTTTAAAGAATTATAGAGAGAAAAGGAGAGAGAGAGATCTTCCTTCCACTGGTTCATTCCCCAAATGGCCACAATGCCCAGGGCTGGGCCAGGCTGAAACTCAAGCCAGGAGCTTCTTCTGGATGTCCCGCATGTGGGCAGGGGCCCTAGCACGTGGGCCATGTTCCGCTTCCTTCCCAGGCACATCAGCAGGGAGCTGGGTTGGAAGGGGAGCATCAGGAACTTGAACCAGTATCCATTTGGAATGCCAGCACTGCAGACTGCGGCTTAACCTGCTGCACCACAGTGCCAGCCCCGAAATACAACTTCTTAAAGTTTAATTGAAATTCATTCATTTAATTAATTTTTTAAAGATTTACTTATTTATTTGGGAGACAGAGAGAGGGAGAAGCAGATAGAGAGGGGTTTTCCATCCACTGGTTCACTCCCTAAATGGCCACAGTGGAGCTGGACTGATCAGAAGCCAGGAGCCAGGAACTTCCTCTGGGTCTCCTGTGTGGGTATAGGGGCCCAAGCACTTGGGCTACTTCCACTGCTTTCCCAGGCCAATGGCAGGGAGCTGTATCAGAAGGCAGGACTTGAACCAGTACCCACATGGAAAACTGGTGCTGTAGGCAGAGCCTTGACCTACCACACCATAGCACCAGCACCACATTTAATTAGTATTTTTTTAATTATTTATTTTACAGAGTTAGACAGTGAGAGGGAGAGAAAAGTCATTTTTAAAATTTTTTATTTATTTGACAGAGTTAGACAGTGAGAGAGACAGAGAGAAAGGTCTCCCTTCCATTGGTTCACCCCCCAAATGGCCGCTACAGCTGGCACACTGTGCTGATCCGAAGCCAGGAGCCAGTGCTTCCTCCTGGTCTCCCATGCGGGTACAGGGGCCCAAACACTTGGGCCATCCTCCACTGCCTTCCTGGGCCACAGCAGAGAGCGGGACTGGAAGAGGAGCATCCGGGACTAGAACCCAGCACCCGTATGGGATGCCGGCGCTGTAGGTGGAGGATTAACCAAGTGAGCCATGGTGCTGGCCCAACACATTTAATTAATATTAAGAATATACTTTGAGCAAATTCTGTTTAGGAAGGTAGAGATTGATGTTTTTCCCCTGGCAAAACCAACCAATGGAGAAGATAACGTAAAAAATTATTATAGAGAGCCAGTGCCTAAGCTTACAATTTGTTTTTGTTGGGACCAGCATTGTTGTTTAGTAGGTAGAGCCACCCCCTGTGATACAGGCATACCATATATGTGCCAGTTCAAGTACCGGCTGCTCCACTTGCAATCTAGCTCCCTGTAATGCACCTGGGAGAGCAGCAGAACCTGACCCAAGTACCTGGGCCTCCACACCCACATGGGAGACCAAAAAGAAGCTATGGCTCCTAGCTTTGGCTCAGCCCAACCCTAGCTGCTGCAGCCATTTTGGAATGAACCAGCAGATGGAAAATAACTCTCTCTCTCTCTCTCAATCTTTTCTCTTCTCTCTATAACTCTCACTTTTCAAATAAATGAATCTTGAGGCTGGTGCTGTGGCCTAGTGGTTAAAGCCATCACCTGAAGCACCAGCATCCCATTTGTGCTCTGGTTCCAGACCTGGCTGCTCCACTTTCAATCCAGCTCTCTGCTATGGCCTGGAAAAGCAGTAAAAGATGACCCAAGTGTTTGGGCCCCTGCACCCACATGGAAGACCTAGAAGAAGCTCCTGGCTTCAGATCTATCCAGCTCTGGCCATTGCAGCCAACTGGGGAGTGAACCATCAGATGGACGACTTCTCTCTGCCTCTGCCTCTCTTGCCTCTGCCTTTCAAATAAGTAAATCTTTAAAAACTAAAATAAAATAAATAAGTAAAGATAAAAGAATTTGTTTTTGAAAAGGCTTCCTAAAACAGTTGCTTTTAAGTTGAAACATGGAGAATGAGTTAAAGAAGCCAAAAAGAGGTGAAAATGTGATCCAGGCAGTCCAGTTCTTTCAACTGCCCATGATGTAAAATATTTTTTCATTCCTTCACTTGATCTAAGTAAGTCCTTCAGACCAGAGGAAAACAGGTCTCCAACTTCCTCACACTATCCATATCTTTTAATTTGAGAGGAAGAGAAAAAACATTATTAAGGCCTCATTATCCTTCATTTTTTTAATTAAGAAATTGTTCTAAAATTATATTAAGAAACTGTTCTTAAAAGCACAATTCTAGAGACCAGCATCATGGACTAGTGGGTAAAGCCCCTCCTGCAACACCAGCATTCTGGCATTCCATATGTTCTCTGATTTGTGTGTCAGCTGCTCCACTTCCAATCTAGCTCCCTGCTAATGGCCGGGGGAAAGCAGCAGATGGCCCAAGTGCTTGAGCCTCTGCCATCCATGTGGGAGACCTGGGTGAAGCGCCTGGATTCGACCTGGCTGAGCTGTGGCAATTGCAGCCATCTGGAGAATGAATCAGCAAATATAAAATCTCCTTCTCTCTCTCTCTTTCCTCCCCTCTCTCCTTCGTCTCTCTCTAACTCTTTCAGAATAAATAAATAAATCTTAAAAAAATAAAAAAGCACAATGCTGGGTTTACACCAAAGCGAAATAGCTTGATGGAATATTTACTAATTTTGTAATTATGTGTAATATGTGGTTTCTGTTAATGATGTTTCTTTTTCTCTCTCTTTGAGGTGAAAAATGGTTATATGGCTGTTGGTTTTACCGGCCAAATGAAACATTCCACCTGGCTACACGAAAATTTCTAGAAAAAGAAGTTTTTAAGAGTGACTATTACAATAAAGTTCCTGTTAGTAAAATTCTAGGCAAATGTGTGGTCATGTTTGTCAAGGTAAGAAACTCCATTAATCCCAACAGTAATACTCATTCTCTGGGAATAAAATTTAAAAGCACAAAGAGTCTTTATTTATAAACTCAAGAACTCTACCATAAACTGGTTTTAAAGTTGTCTGTATAGTTATATGAAAAGATTTGGGAAAAAGTTAACCTGAAAATGATTGTGAAAGAACACTTGCTGCTGACACTATTTAGCTGTATCCAGTTAGCTTAAAAATTTTTTATATTGCCAGTTAATTTTCTTATGATGTTTTCTAAAAGATAATCAGTAAAAGTTGTCAGTTTGATTTTTAGGTAATAAATTTATTATTATTATTATTATTATTTTTGCAGCCCATTCATCTCATTAAGAAAGACTTTGCTACTGACATTTACAAATGTAGTTATTTGTGGGGCTGGCATTGTGTCGTAGCAGGTAAAGCCGGTATCCCTTTTGGGTGATGGTTCAAGTCCTGGCTGCTGCTCCACCTTTTTTTTTTTTTTTTTGACAGGCAGAGTGGACAGTGAGAGAGACAGACAGACAGACAGGTCTTCCTTTTGCCGTTGGTTCACTCTCCAATGGCTGCCGCGGCTGGCACACTGCTCCGATGGCAGGAGCCAGGTACTTCTCCTGGTCTCCCATGGGGTGCAGGGCCCAAGCACTTGGGCCATCCTCCACTGCACTCCCGGGCCACAGCAGAGAGCTGGCCTGGAAGAGGGGCAACCGGGACAGAATCCAGCGCCTCGACCGGGACTAGAACCCGGTGTGCCAGCGCCACTAGGTGGAGGATTATCCTATTGAGCCACGGCGCCAGCTCATGTATTTGTCTTATGAGCCCTTTCTAAAGCTTTAAGGAACATTATAGCTATATGAAATATTAATGTATATTCAAAGAAAAATTGGTAAGCTAAGTGGAATTATTCATGTTATAAGTTAGACGGTATTTATTTAATGATTACATTCTGTAGCCAAGGAAATGTTTCTAGTTCTCTTGCCATCGATCAGTTATTATTAACTGCTGGAAAGTCTTTTAACAGTTTAGCTTTTGTTTGTTTTCTTGGTTGGTTGATAGGTTGGCTTTTGCTTTAGTTTACTGATTTTTCAGAAAATTTACCTAATTGATTTTATCATTATGTCCTCCCCAGGAATACTTTAAATTATGCCCAGAAAACTTTCGAGATGAGGATGTTTTTGTCTGTGAATCACGGTATTCTGCCAAAACCAAATCTTTTAAAAAAATTAAACTGTGGACCATGCCTATCAGCTCAGTTAGGTTTGTCCCTCGGGATGTGCCTCTGCCTGTGGTTCGAGTGGCCTCTGTATTTGCAAATGCAGATAAAGGGGATGATGAGAAGAACACAGACAACTCTGAGGACAGTCGAGCTGAAGACCATCTTAACTTGGAAAAGGTATGGAGGTCATGACCGCACAGAAAAGAATTATACATCTTGAAATATTTATTCCAAAAATTGGATGAATGAATACAAACCCAGAATTAGAAAAATAGCAACAATGTAAAACCTTAGCCTAAGAGAAAGGAAAGAAAAAATTAATACTTAGAAAGCAGAACAGCAGTGGTATGTATAGGAACACTGAAAACTTCCCAAGGGCACCAGTTCAGTGCAGCAGGTTAAACCACCACCTCCAGCGCCAGCATCCCCTGTCAGAGCACTTGGTCAAGTCCCAGCTGCTTCACTTAGTATCCTACAACCCTCGTGGGAGAGCCAAATGGAGGTCCAGGTAAGGCTATCTGGGGAGGGAACTAGTGAATGGAAGATCTCTTTCTGTCTTCTCCTTTTGGTCTGTCGCTTTACCTTTGAAATAAATAAAGTAAATCTTAATTTAAAAGAAGAAAACTTTTCAAGGTATGTGGGTAAAAGATAAGTTAATAATGAAGAGTTTACAGAATAGAGTATGGTTCCATTATTATTCAGAAAACCCAAAAAAGTATGTTTACATATATGAATGTGAAAATCACAGAAAATTATTTGGGGCCAGCACTGTGGCGTAGCCACTAAAGCTGCCGCCTGCAGTGCCCGCATCCATATGGGTGCTAGTTCGAGTCCCAGCTACTCCCACTTCCCGATAGCTCTCTGCTATGGCCTTGGAATGCAGTAGAAGGTGGCCCAAGTGCTTGGGCCCCTGCCCCCTCTTAGGAGAGCTGGAAGAAGCTCCTGGCTCCTGGCTTCAGGTCGGCGCAGCTCTAGCTATTGTGGCCGGTTAGGGAGTGAACCAGCAGATGGAAGACCTCTCTCTGTCTCTGCCTCTCTTTCTCTCTCTGTGTAACTCTTTCAAGTAAAATAAATCTTTAAAAAAAAAAGTTTTTTTTTTTTTTTACTGCTTTCTACTGCTTTCCCAGGCCACAGCAGAGAGCTGGATCGGAAGAGGAGCAGCCGGGACTAGAACGGGTGCCCATATGGGATGCCGGCACTTCAGGCCAGGGTGTTAACCAGCTGTGCCACAGCGCCGGCCCCATAAAGACTAACTTTATAATAGAACCCATTCATTAAAGGAAAAAGTATTCTTAATCTCAGTAATAATTTAATTTGCTACTTTGATTCCCTCAAGTGCCCCCCACGTGGCATATACAGGGATACTTCTGAAAGTTCATGGAAAAATGGAATCAAAAAGAAATTTACTTTAATGCAGAAGATTTTGAAGTCCATGCATTTCTTTCATAATATGTATTTTATTTTTTAATTTTTTTGAAGATATATTTTATTTATTTGAAAGCCAGAGTTAACAGACCATGAGAGACGGAGAGAGGTCTTTCATATGTGGGACCTCTCATTATTAAGGATTTTCTAAGAAGGCCATTTCATTATCACATTTGAAGATCAGATCATTAAGTGAGATTAAAGGAGGTTTTTGTTTTTTTGAAGTGTGAAGTTGGTGCTGATGCTGTGACACAGTGGGTTAAAGCCCCAGCCTGCAGCACCAGCATCCCACGTGGGTACTGGTTTGAGTCCCAGAAGCTCCACTTTTGATCCAGCTCCCTGCTAATGTGCCTGGGAAAGCAGAGAAAGATGTCTTAAGTCCTTGGGCCCCTACATGCATGTGAGAGACCTAGAAGCTCCTGGTTCCTTGCTTCATATTGGCTCAGCTCCTGCTGTTATGGCCATTTGCGGAGTGAGCCAACAGATAGAAGACTCTCTCTGTCTCTGTGTGTGTGTGTGTGTGTGTGTGTGTGTAACTCCATCTTTCAAATAAGTAAAATCTTTAAAGAAAAGTGTGAAGTTTGAATATTCTCAGAGATGCACTAAAAAATTGGGGTCTGTGGAGTTTCCTCAGCTTTTGTGTTTTGGAGTTAATATAGTTGAAGCACTTGTGCCTGTTAAGAGCTGGGTCCTCAGTGAATGATGGTTCTTTCCTACATTAGTCAGAAGTGTCTTTTTTCCCTTTTTAGTCAGGACTTTAAAATAGCAACAATAGTAATGTTTATTAAATGGTTTTCATAAGTCAGTCATTATTTCAACCAGGAAGTATATCATTTAAATTTCTTAACAATACCAGCTGGTTGGGCATACTATCATTATCTTCCTTTTAACTTGCCCAGTATCACAGCAGCCACTAGGTGACAGACCCTGTGATTTATAAAAATTTTTATTAAAAAATATGTTTATGTCACAAAGATGATACTGTTCCTCTCTGTTTTATAATAAATCAAAATAGTAAGAATGTTACATCTGTCAATTGCTGGCATTGTGGCATAGTGGGTTAAACTGTTCTCTACATTGCTGGCATCCCATATGGGTGCTGGCTTGATTCCCATTTGCTCTTACTGTTTGTTTGTGTTTTTTTTTTTTTTTTTTAAGATTTATTTATTTATTTGAAAGGCAGAGTTACAGAGAGGTAGAGGCAGAGAGAGAGAGAGAGAGAGGTCTTCCATCTGCTGCTTCATTCCCCAGATGGCCACAATGACTAGAGCTGTGCCCCACCAGAAGCCAGGAGCCAGGAGCTTCTTCCGGGTCTCCCACACAGGTGCAGGGGCCCAAGGACTTGGGCCATCTTCTACTGTCTTCCCAGGCCATAGCAGGGAGCTGGATCAGAAATGGAGCAGCCAGGACTTGAACCAGCAACTATATGGGATGTCAGCACTTCAGGCAGCAGCTTTACCCACTATGCAACAGCACTGGCCCCTTGCTCCACTTCTGATCCAACTCCCTACTAATGTACCTGGGAAGGCAGCAGAACATGGACTAAGTACATGGGCCCCTGCCACTTATGAGGGAGACCAAATGGAGTTTCAGGCTCCTGACTTCAGCCTGGCCCACCTCCAGCTGTTTAGGGCATTTGGGGGAGTAAACTAACCATTGGGAGATAACTCTCCCTCTCTTTCTCTTTTTCTTTCTTCTTTCTCTGTCACTCTGCCTTTCAAATAAATAGATCTTTTTAAAAAGAAAAGAAATTAAGGGAGTTAAATAAATACAATAAAGAAGAAGCTTCTGTACAGTTTGGTCCTTATACTCTATGATAACATGGGAATGAATCTTCTTCTGCATACTAATAAGCCTCTCTTTAGAATTTTTCTTTCCTTGGGCTGGCACTGTGGTGCAGCAGGTTAATGCCCTAGCCTGAAGCACCGGCATCCCATATGGGCACTGGTTCTAGTCCTGGCTGCTCCTCTTCTTATCCAGCTCTATGCTGTGGCCTAGGAAAGCAGTGGAAGACGGCCCAAGTCCTTGGGCCCCTGCACCCGCGTGGGAGACCTGGAAGAAGCTCCTGGCTCGTGACTTCGGATCGGCGCAGCTCTGGCTATTGTGGCCATTTGGGGAGTGAACCAGCAGCGGATGGAAGTCTTTTCTCTCTGTGTACCTCTCTCTGTAACTCTGTCTTTCAAATCAATAAAATAAATCTTTAAAAAAAAAAAAAAAAGAATTTTTCTCCCTAAAGGCCCTGGGAATGCGGAAGGAGGGAAGGATAATAAAAAGCATCTTAGGGACCACATTATTTTATGAAAGTTAACTAGAAATTTAAAGTCAGTGTGATACTTGGTAAGACTTAGTTTGGTTTCACCAACCTAACTTTTTTGTTTCCTAGCCTTCATTAAAGCTTCAGTTAATGGTTGCTTTTTCTTTTAAGTTAATCTGAAGGAAAGTGTACTTTTCTTTCTTTGTCTACTCTCTGTTTATCAGCTTCCTTTTTTCAACTCATTTTCTTTACCACAGGAAAAAGAAGATGTCCCTGTGGAAATGTCCAACGGCGAACCCGGTTGCCACTACTTTGAGCAGCTCCGTTATAATGACATGTGGCTGAAGGTTGGTGACTGTGTCTTTATCAAGTCCCATGGCCTGGTGCGCCCTCGTGTAGGCAGGTGAGTGTCATTGAAGTAGGAAAAATGAGATTGGGGCTGAGAGATTTGGAGCCAGTAGAAATTCATCACTCTTCGGATGATGACTAAAGTCCTTCTGGCAGTTTCTCTGGCTTCTTCTTGCACCACATTTACCCTTTCACCTCTGACTAGATTTTCTTTAAATTCTCCCTATTGTGTGACTGACATTGTGACCCAGCAGGTTAAGCCTCTGCTTACATTGCCAACATCCCATAGTGGAGTCCTGATTAGATTTCCAGCTACTCTGCTTCAGATCCAGCTCCCTGCAAATGCTCCTGAGAGGGCACCAGAAAATAGCCCAAGCTCTTAGTCCCCAGCCACCCATGCAGGAGACCCAGAGAGAGTTCAGGCTTCTGGCTTCTCCACAGCTATTATAGGCATTTGGGGGAGTAAATCAGTGAAAGGAAGATCTCTTTTTTGTCTGTTTTCCTCTTTCGCTCTGACTCTCTCAATCTCACTTTTTTTTCTTTTTTTATTTGACAGAGTTAGACAGTGAGAGAGAGAGAGACAGAGAGAAAGATCTTCCTTCCATTGGTTCACCCCCTAAATGGCCGCTATGGCCGAAATTATGTCAGTCCGAAGCCAGGAGCCAGGTGCTTCCTCCTGGTCACCCATGTGGATGCAGGTGCCCAAGCACTTGGGCCATCCTCCACTGCACTCCCGGGCCACAGCAGAGAGTTGGACTGGAAGAGGAGCAACTGGAACTAGAACCCGGCGCCCATTTGGGATGCTGGCGCTGCAGGCGGAGGATTAACCAAATGAGCCACGGTGCCAGCCCCTTCAATCTCACTTTCAACTCTGCCTTTCATATAAATAATCCTTTAAATAAATAAGTAAATTGCTCCCATTGGCTCTTTTTTTTTGTTCTCCCACCATTCATTGAACTCTCCTCTCCGAAATCTCTCTTCCCATTTTATTTAATAAACTCCTTTGGTTTAAATTGAAATGATACTTTTCTTAAGGTAGGTTTTCCTGTCTCCTGCACATTCAGTTTAGTCTCCCCATTAATACACTCCTGTATTTCCTTCTCTTTGGAATATATTTCACATATTGGGGTTTATTTTGCTGTTGTCAAGTTTCCAAACCCTCTTTCTAGATGCCCTCAGAGTAGGAACTCTTCTGCTCCTCTTTATGTCCCCTACTCAAATCATAGTGCATGAAACATACTAGAGACTCAGATATTTGGGGAACAAGTAAATTGACAAAAGGGTGGTGTTACAGTTGAATCGCAGACAGTAGTAATGGAGTCTGGTGTAGGGTTGGACAGTAGAAAACAGTGGTTAAGAGCAGTAGTCTGTTTCAGGAGATCTTGGTTTAAGTCCAAGGTCTGCTAGTTGTGTGTCTTCAGTCAGATGATTTAATGCAATCATTTATTTCTCTGGGCTTTAGTTTCCTCCTCATACTTTTTCATCATGCAGTAAGCTTTATTACATTTGCTTTTTGCCAGGTCCAAGAATACATTAAGCGATAAAGCAAAAAAGTCTTTTTAATCCTTGGGAGCTTGGTTCCAGTGGAAAGACAAAATTAAACATCTTGAATAAGTAACATGTGTAGTATGTTAGATTCTGATACATGCTGTAGAAAAAGTAGAGCTGGGTAAGGGGAATTGGAGGTTCCAAGGTCAGAGTAGGGAGGATGATTCTATATAGATCTCACTGAGAAGTTGGCAGTTCAGCCAACAGTCGAAAAAACTGAGAGAATGAGTAATGTGGCTATCCAGGGAAAAAACATTCTCGGCAGAGGAAACAACAAATATAAAGGCCTGAGAGAGAGGCCTGCCAGGCCTGCAGCTTACTCCTGGCACACAGAGCCATTTGTGAGTTAGGTAAGAGATGAGGGCAAGGGATAACATTTTAATCGTGTAGTGTCTCAGCAACCATTACAGGGACGTGGGCTTTTACTGAGCTAAATAGACTACCATTGGATTGCTTCAAGCACAGAAGTAGCCTTTGTTTTGGTTCTTAATGAGATTGCTCTGCCTACTGGCCGCTGAGAATAGACAGTAAAGGGTCAAGGGTAGAAGCAAGATCTGTTCAGAGGCTATTGCAGTAATCCACACAAGATTGATAGTGACTCAAACCAGGGAGATTGCAAAGGGTACTCTTTTGAAGGGCAAGTTAGTAGTTTTCCTGATACATGGGATGTAGGCCCTGAGAGAGAAAAGGGGTTAAGAATGATTCCTGTAATTTGGCCTGGGGACTAGAAGGCTAGAGTTATCATTAACTGAGGTAAAGATGTTGTATCATATCAGGAATCTGAGAATATGGTATAGTAATACCAGCTTTATGTGTTGGTTGTGAAGAATGGTACAGTATCTGGTACACATCAGCCAGGTAAAAATTTTTGTTTGTTTCTGGGGAGGTAGTATACTGATTTTCATGAAATTATCAAGGATGAAGATCTGAGTTTTTTAAAAGGCTATGAACCAGGCCATACTCCATGGCACAGCAGTGAAGTTGCTGCTTGGGATGCCCACATACCATATGGGAGTGCCTGGGATAAAGTCCCCCCTCTGTTTCCTGTCCAGCTTCCTGCTAATGCACCTGGGATGATGGCTAAAGTTATTTGGGTTCCTGCCATCAACATGGGAGACTTAGAGTTCCTGGCTCCTGCCTTCAGCCTGACACAGCCCAGGTGTTGTGGGTATTTGAGGAGTGAAACAGTGTGTAGAAGATATCTCTGTCTCCCTGTGTCTCTCAGCCTTTCAAATAAATAAAAGTGAATAAATAAATGTTTTTGAAAAAGATTGTGAGCATTATCATAAAGGACTATCTGCAACTTGTGATCTGACCCCAAATATTGATGGTTTATATCTTTATTTGATCAAATCCAATGACAGATGTTAAGTTGTTTTTTTTTTGGACAGGCAGAGTAGACAGAGAGAGAGACAGAGAGAAAGGTCTTCCTTTGCCGTTGGTTCACCCTCCAATGGCCGCCGCGGCCGGCGCATCACGGTGTAGTTCTGTTTCCATCATGAGCGACTTGGTGGAAATCAATGAAATTGTCTTATGAAAACAGCAAGAGAAATTTCTCTTAATGGCATGAATTATTAAGTTTTTGGTTAACAGACTTTTTGTTAGATTAATTCTTCAAGAATGAAGCTATTTTAATTTAATCTCTCTATTTTTCTCCCCAAGAATTGAAAAAGTGTGGGTCCGAGATGGAGCTGCATATTTTTATGGCCCCATCTTCATTCACCCAGAAGAGACAGAACATGAGCCCACAAAAATGTTCTACAAGAAAGAAGTGTTTCTGAGTAATCTGGAAGAAACCTGCCCCATGACATGTATTCTGGGTAAGAATTTAGCTTTCTCATTTAATCACATTCATCTCATCAAAATTGAGTACTATGTCTGAGCTAGGCACTGTAAGTAGGTATTATGTAGAGCAGTGAGCAAATCGATATATCTGTCTTGCAAAAGGCTTACATCAGTTCGGAGGTTGGGGGTCAATAAGTAAGTTTAAAAATACAGAGGTATAGATCCTCAGGTGGCAATTAGGGCTATGAATGAAAATAAAAGAGTAAGAGGATTTGGAGTAGTGTTGAGGTGAGATCCTGTAGTCAGAAAAGGGCTTGCTATTAGGTGGCATGAGTGGTAGAGTCCTGTAGAAAGAAAGGAAATCATTGTAATATCAGATTTTGCTCCCTATAGGCACAGCAAATGCCACATACAAAGCCCTTCCTTCCAGTAGTGTACCCAGGCGTGTTTGAGACCTTGTAAGGAAGCTGGATGGCCAGAGCCAGGCAGTGGGTATGTTAGGGGATGAGCACTCAATCATGGTAGGCTCTGTAGACGGGACAGAGATTGGGTTTGGACTGGATGGGAAGTCCTGGGAGTGGTTTGAGCAAAATGGTGATATTGAACTACAGACCTTAGAGGAATCACTGACTTATATGGAGCATATGCTGTAAGAATGTGAACCAGGCCAACCACTGAAAAGGCTGGTAGCTTCTGATAGCATCTTACCCGTCTCAGACTCTGTTAGTTTCTGTTAAGTTATCCTACTGAGAGATCACAGTGACATTCTGTTCCTTAGACCTGGGTGCATGTATCTTATACTAGCATTGTTTTCTACCATTGTGTTTCTTCTGACCCTGAATTACTTCTGCAGCTTATATCTTTTGCAGTAGCTTTCAAAAGAGTACTAGTTAGAAGCTTTACATTAATTGCTCTTGATTTTAAAGAAGCCACCACAACCATAAAGGAAATTGATGATTAAAAAGCCTTTTATATTTTTTTATTTTGATTTTGTTTGATTACTGTAATGGTTCCTAGCTAGGTTCTTTGAGTTTTTTTACAATTGGATATCATAAAAATGTCTGATTGGCTAATAGTTCAACATGATTTCCCTTCTCCCATGTGGAGAGAGGGTTCAAACACCAGTGAAGTCATCAACTTCTTGAGTTTCCGTAGCAGAGAATGTTTTCTTTTTAGGTTGCGATCCAGACTTAAGCATTGCCCCTGAACCTTAGTTTCTAGAGTAAAACCTACCAGGGACCCAGCAGGAGTGTGACAAATGTGGAGCTGAAATCTCCTTTGAGTAGGACAATTACATCTTTTTTATTTTTTTATTTTATTTTATTTTTGACAGGCAGAGTGGACAGTGAGAGAGACAGACAGACAGAAAGGTCTTTCTTTGCTGTTGGTTCACCCTCCAATGGCCGGTGCAGCTGGCGCGCTGATCTGAAGCCAGGAGCCAGGTGCTTCTCCTGGTCTCCCATGCAGGTGCAGGGCCCAAGCACTTGGGCCATCCTTCACTGCACTCCCTGGCCACAGCAGAGAGCTGGCCTGGAAGAGGGGCAACCAGGACAGAATCTGGCACCCTGACCGGGACTAGAACCTGGTGTGCTGGTGCCACTAGGTGGAGGATTAGCCTATTGAGCCGCGGCGCTGGCAAACAATTATATCTTTCTTTCTTTTTTTTATTTTTTATTTATTTTTTTATTTAGTTATTTTCTTAGTGGGGAACCACAAATCATGTCTGAGATTTATGACCATTTAGTTTGAATTAATATCAGCTTAGCTTCACGCAGGAACTTGGCTCCATCCTTCCCTTTCTGTAGTGGTTTTGTCACATTTATGTGCCTGTTCATACAGTTTTTTTAAATTGGTCTTGAAAATCACGTAGAAAAAAAGTAGAGTTATAAACGAAATATAACTTTTTATATTTACCTTTATGGTTACATCTATTGATTTTTTTTTTAAATTTCTTTGTATAGCATCAAAGTATTGTCTAATGTCTTTTCATTTCAGCATGGACTTCCTTTAGCATTTCTTGTAGGACAGGTCTGCTAGTGACATTCTCCCCTGTTTATCTGGCGAAGTCAAATGTATTCTCCTTCATCTTTTACAGTGAAGGAGCCTTGCTTTCTTGTTTCTTTGTGTGCCTCATAATTTTTTGTTGAAAACTAGACATTTAGAAAACTGTAATATGATAATGGGAAATCACATTTTCCCAACCTCTCAAGCTTTTTTGTTTCTGTTTGTTATGGTTTGTAGTTGTTTGTTAAATAGCTTTTCTGAGTTGATTTTTGAATATTGTATTCTTTATTGTATATGGTCACTGAAAGCTCTGTTTTTGTTAGCTTTAGTGGTCAACTAGTGATTTGGCAGAGATCTATTTAACTGCCTGAAACCAAAAAAAGTAAAAAACTCTAAGTCTTTGCAATTGAATTTTCTTTATATGTTGGAGCAAACCTTAAACATTTAGCTCCCACATGGGTGCAGGGGCCCAAAGACTTAGGCCATCTTCTGCTGCTTTCCCAGGCCATAGCAGAAGAGAGAGAGGACCAGAAGAGGAGTAGCCGAGATGCAAACCTGGCGCCCATATGCCGGCATTGCAGGCTGGGGCTTTAACCCGTTGTGCCACAGCACCGGCCCCTTTTTTTTTTTTTTTTAATATTTATTTTATTTATTTGAAACAGTTACACAGAAGGAGAGGCAGAGAGAGAGGTCTTCCATCCGCTGGTTCACCCCCCAATTGGCCTCAATGGCAGGAGCTGCGCCAATCCAAAACCAGGAGCCTGGAGCTTCTTCTGGATCATCATACGTAGGTGCAGGGTCCCAAGTCTTGGGCCATCCTCCACTGCTTTCCCAGGCCATAGCAGAGAGCCGGATCAGAAGTGGAACAGCCAGGACTCGAGCTGGCGCCCATACGGGATTGCAGCATTGCAGGCAGTGGCTTTACCCATTAAGCCACAGAGCTGGCCCCTAATGGTTTTTAAACAAATGAAAATATGCCCAACCTCAGCCATTAGAAAAATGCAAATTTAAACTACACAGGTACCTTTCTTTTTCTTTTTTGTTTTTTAACCTATCAAGGGGCCTGCACTGTGGCATAGAGGGTAAAAGCCACCACCTGCAGCGCCAGCATTCCATATGGGTGCCAGTTTAAGTCCCAGCTGCTCCACTTCCAATCCAGCTCCATGCTATGACCTGGGAAAGCAGTAGAAGATGGCCCAAGTTCTTGGGCCCCTGCACCCATGTGGAGGACCTGGAAGAAGCTCCCTGGCTCGTGGCTTCAGATTGGCGCAGCTCCAACTATTGTGGCCAATTGAGGAGTGAACCAGTGGATGGAAGACCTCTTTCTCTCTCGCTCTCGCTCTCGCTCTCGCTCTCGCTCTCTCTCTCTCTCTCTCTCTCTCTCTGTGCCTCTCCTTCTCTTTCTGTGTAATCTGACTTTCAAATAAATAAATAAATCTTTAAAAAATTTACATACAAAATGGTATAAATAATGTTACCATTTGTAGGAGTTTTTTGTTGTAATAAAATACATATAAAATCAACCATTAAAAACCATTTTTAAGTATACAGTTCAGTGGTATTAATCTGTTGATAATATTATGCAACCATTACCACTATCCATTCTAAAAATTTTTCATCATCCCAAATAGAAACTTACTTTCTGGCTTTATGAATTTTGCCCATTCTAGGTAATGCATATAAATGAAATCATAATATTTGCCCTTTTGTATCTGGTTTATTTCAGCTGGCATTTTTTTAAAAGATTTATTTGAAAGAGTTACACAGAGAGAGGAGAGGCAGAGAGAGACAGAAGTCTTCTAGCCACTGATTGACTCCCCAATTGGCCACAACTGCCAGAGCTGTGCCAATCTGAAGCCAGGAGCCAGGGGCTTCTTCCAGGTCTTCCACACAGGTGCAGGGACCCAAGGACCTGAGCCATCTTCTTCTGCTTTCCCATGCCATAGCAGAGAGCTGGATCAGAAATAGAGCATCCAGGACTTAAAGTGGCACCTACATGGGATGCCGGTACTTCAGACAGCAGCTTTACCCGCTATGCCACAGTGCCGGCCCCACCTAGCATGTTTTAAGCTTCATCCATGTTTTTGTATTTTTTTTTTAAGATTTATTTATTTATGTTAAAGTCAGAGTTACACAGAGAGAGGAGAGGCAGAGAGAGAGAGCTCTTCCATCCACTGGTTCACTCCTCAATTGTCTACAACAGTTGGAGCTGCGCCGATCCGAAGCCAGGAGCCAAGAGTTTCTTCCAGGTGTCCCACGTGGGTGCAGGGGCCCAATTGGGCCATCTTCTACTGCTTTCCCAGGCCATAGCAGAGAGCCGGATTGGAAGAGGAGCGGCTGGGACTAGAACTGGCGCCCATATGGGATGCCGGCACTTCAGGCCAGGGTGTTAATCTGCTGCGCCACAGCACCGGCCCCCGTATTTCTTTTTAAGACTAGATAACATTTCGTTGTATTTATCACATTTTGTTTATCTGTTGATAAACATTCTGGGTGATTCTAATTCTTGGCTCTTGTGAATAGTGATGCTGTGATTATTGGCATACAGGTATTTGAGCCTCTGCTTTCAGTTGTTTTGTATATATATCTCATGGTCACTCTGAGGACCTGCTAGACTGTTTTCTTTTTACAACAAGTACACTATTTTACTGTCCCTCCAGCAACATACAAGTGTTCTGATTCCCCCACATAGTTGCCAACACTTTTGATTTCCTGGTTTCTTTTTTTCTAATAGTTATCCTAGATAAAAAGTTGTATCTCTGTGGTTTTGATTTGCTTCTCCCTAATAATTCATGATGCTAAGCATAGTTTCATGTGTTTATTGGGTTTGGAAAAATATCTCTTCAGATCCTTTGCCCAGTTTTTAATGAGAATATTTGTCCTGTTACTAAGTTGAACGGGTTCCTTGCATCTCCTGGATCTGTACTCTTAATAGATGTTAGATTTGTAAATATTTTCCCTTTATGTGTTGTCTTTTCACTAGTTTAGTTCAGTTTATAGAGCAGATCTTCTATCCACCGATTCATTCCCCAAATGTCCATAGCAAATGAGGCTGGGGCAGAACTGAAACCAGGAGCCCAAAATTCAGTCTGGGTCTCCCACATGAGTGGAAGGAACCCAGGTACTTGAGCCATCACTTGCTGCTTTCCAGGGTGTACATTAGCAGGAAGCTGGAACTGGAAGCAGAGCTGCACCTCAAACCCAGGCCTTCAATATGGGATGCAGGCTTCCCAAGCAGTATCTTAAATCCTATGGCAAATACCCAACTCTCGTTTTACATTCTTGGTAGTATCTTTTTTGTTTTGTTTTGTTTCGTTTTTAGATTTTAAGGTATTTTTTAGAATCATGGACCTTCAGCCGGAGCGGCATGGAGTGGGACTTCCAAGAGGAAAACCCAAAGGGGACATGGCAGTTGACTTTAAGTATAATTTCAAAGGGGAAAAAAAAAACTTGATCAGATTGGCATTGTTACCAGGCAGGGACAAAAACCATCAAAAGACCTCATTTACAATTCTCCATCCTGTCTGGCCTGCTGAGGGTAGCATCCTTTGGAGCACAAAAGTTTTTAATTTTGTTGAAGTCTAGTTTATTTTCTATGGCTGCTTGTGCTTTTTGTTTATCTGAGAAACTATTGCAGGGGCCGGCGCTGTGGCACAGAGGGTTAATGCCCTGGCCTGAAGCACTGGCATCCCATATGGGTGCCGGTTCGAGACCCGGCTGCTCCACTTCTGATCCAGCTCTCTGCTATGACCTGGGAAAGCAGTAGAAGATGGCCCACGTCCTTGGGCCCTTGCACCCACGTGGGAGACCCGGAAGAAGCTCCTGGCTCGTGGCTTCGGATCAGCCCAACTCCAGCTGTTGCAGCCATCTGGGGAGTGAACCAGCAGATGAAAGGCCTCTCTCTCTGTCTCTCCACCTCTGCCTATCCCTGTCTGTAACTTTGTCTTTCGAATAAATAAATCTAAAAATTAATTAATTAATGAAATAATTCTCTTGGAGCTAACTTTGTAGCACAATGTGTTGAGCCAGTGTCCCATGTAAGTGGCAGTTTGAGTGCTGGCTGCTCCACTGCTGATTAGCTCCCTGCTAATGTGCCTGAGAAAGCAGCAGATGGCCTGAGTACTTGGGCTCCTGGCATCCACAAGGGAGACTCAAATGGAGTTCCAGACTCCTGGAGTTCCACTGAACTAATAGGTAGAAGATCTCTCTCTCTCTCTCTCCTCTCTCTTCTCTCCTCTCTCCTCTCTCTCTCTCTCTCTCTCTCTCTCTAGCTCTGCCTTTCAAATACGTAAATCAGTCTTTAAAAAAAAAAAAATTTCCTTGTTTTTACTCTATTTATGTTCTTGAAAGAGAGAGATCTCCCATTTGCTGCTTTACTCACCAGATGCTGCAACAGCTAGGGCTGAGCAAGGCAGAAAACAGGAGCCAGGAACTCAGTCTGGGTCTCCCACGTGAGTGGCAGGACCCAAGTACTTGAGCTATCACCTGCTGCCTCCCAGGGTGCACATTGGCAGGAAGCTGGAATGAAGAGCAGAGCTCGGGGCTCAAACACAGCACTCTGATACAGAAGGCAGGTATCTCAAGCAGCAGCTCAACCCTGCAGCAAATACTTACCCTTCAGCTAATTTTTATAGATGGTTATGAGATAGGATTCCAAGTTCTTTCTTTTGCATTTGGAAATCCAGTCATCCCTGTATTTTAAAAAACCATCCTTGACCCCCACTGAATTGTCTTGTCACCCTTTTCACAAATCAATTGTCCATAAAAGTTCAATTGTATGAGTTTATCTCTAGACTTTCTTTTTTATTTTTAAAGATTTATTTATTTAAAGGCAGAATTACAAAGAGGCAGAAGCAGAGAGGGAGAGCAAGAAGGGTCTTCCATCCACTGGTTCACTCCCCACACAGCCACAATGGCCAGAGCTGAACTGATCCCAAGCCAGGAGCTTCCTCCAAGTCTCCCACATGGGTGCTGGGGCCCAAGGACCTGAGCCATACTCCACTGCTCTCCCAGGCCATAGCAGATGAAAGAGCAGTATCGGAAGTAGAGCAGCTGAGTCTCAAACCAGTGCCCATATGGGATGCCAGTGCCACAGAAAGCGGCTTTACTTGCTGTGCCACAGCACCAGCCCCTCTAGAGTTTCAGTGCTGTTCCATTGGTCTATATGGTCTATCCTAATGACAATATGTAATTTTTTATATTTTTAAGGGGGAAAATTAAACCTTGCTTATTTTCTTTAAAACCAGACAACTAGGAAATATATCACAACATTCAAACAGTAAACAGGCTATCTTACCATTTAAGTAACTTGGTTTAAAAAAAAAAAAAAGTTCGTCATCAAAAGTGATAAGGAACAGAACACTGCGTGTTACAAAAGCCCCAAGCGGAAGTGGTATTTACTGTGGGGCTGCCCTCCTTTGCTCTCAGGGAGTCATGGCTAGTCCTAGCCCAAGTTGCTTGCCTTTTTTCCCCTTGACCTTACCGTTGCATTTTGAACTATGTGATTGTATTAAATTAAAAAATAATAAAATTTTTAAACAGCTGTGAATTAGGACCACAATTTACTCTCTCAATTTCTCTCCAACTTTTTGCTGTTTCAGGAAAGTGTGCTGTGTTGTCATTCAAGGACTTCCTCTCCTGCAGGCCAACTGAAATATCAGAAAATGACGTTTTGCTGTGTGAGAGCCGCTACAATGAGAGTGACAAGCAAATGAAAAAATTCAAGGGATTGAAGAGGTTTTCACTTTCTGCTAAAGTGGTAGATGATGAAATTTACTACTTCAGGTAAAGCCTGAGTAACTAAAGCACTTCAGCTAAAAACAAAATAGTGTGTAGCCCTGTGTTTTAATGAGTTTTTAAACTAGAGAATTTCAAAGAGAAAATATTAATTAGATAATTAATTAGATAATTAATATTAATTAGATAAAGGTAAAAGAAAAATCCTCATCATCTGCTGAGACGTGGTAACTGCTCTTATAGTGCCCTTGACTCAGACTTCAGTCTGTGTTGTAGAGTGGAAACAGAACTACTTGGTTCTCATTCATATCCTTCCTGTTAGGACATTGCTCAGTTCCACAAATTATGAAAGCTCTTTGCCCATATGTAGGCAACTAGATCTGATTTTGAACTCTGCTTTTCTGGGTGTTCAGGAAGTTTTGTTGTTTTTTGTTTGTTTGTTTGTTTGTTTGTTTGTTTGTTTTAGTAACAGAGGGAAAGACAGAGAGAAAGGTTTTCCATCCACTGGTTCACTTTTCAAATGGCCACCATGGCCAGAGCTGAGCCAATCTGAAGCCAGGAGCCAGGAGCTTCTTCCTGGTCTCCCACAAAGGTACAGGGGCCCAAGCATCTTCCACTTCCACTTTTGGGCCATCTTCCACTGCTTTCCCAGGCTATAAGCAGAGAGCTGGATCAGAGGAGGAGCAGCCAAGACTGGAACCGGTGCCCATATGGGATGCTGGCACTGCAGGTGGAAGTTAATCTACTACACTACAGCACCAGCCCGTGGGAGAATTGTTTAAAAACAAGTGTCTCAGGGCAGGCATTGTGGCATAGTGGATTAAGCCACCTTTTGCATTGCTGGCATCCCATGTGACCACCAGTTCGTGTTCTGGCTACTTCACTTCCAATCCAGATCCTTGCTAGTGGGCCTAGGAAAGCAGTGAAATATGATCTAAGTGCTTGCGCTCCTGCACCCATGTAGGAGACCCAGAAGAAGCTCCAGGTACCCAGGTAGCCCTGGCCCTTGTGACTGTTTAGGGCAGAAACCAACAGATGAAAGATAATCTCTCTCTCCCTCTCTCTCTCTCTCTCTCTCTCTCTCGTATGTGTGTCTTTCCCTCTCTCTCTGAAATTCTGCCTTTGAAATAAATAAAAAGTAAATATTTGGGGGCTGGCGCTGTGATGTAGTGGCCTCATCCTCCACCTGTGATGCCAGCATCCCATATGGACACCAGTTCGAGTCTTGACTGCTCTTCTTTGGATCCAGCGATCCAGCTCTCTGCTATGTCCTAGGAAAGCAGTAGAAGATGGCCCAAGTGATTGGGCCCCTGTACCCATGTGGGAGTCCCAAAAAGTAAATCTTTTAAAAATAAATAAATCAAGCATCTCTAAGTAGAGGTGACTTCCTTAATATATATTTATTTAAACTCCCTTACTGCCCTTAGAGTGTATGTTGCAGATAGCAGGAATCTATTTCTAGATATTAAGGTAGAACACTGGTTTCTGACCAGTCCTGGAGTGGTGTTAGGTGATTTTAATTTTTTATGTTATTTTTTTCAGAAAACCAATCGTTCCTCAGAAGGAGCCCTCACCTTTATTGGAAAAGAAGATCCAGTTGCTAGAAGCTAAATTTGCAGAGTTAGAAGGTGGAGATGATGACATTGAAGAGATGGGGGAAGAAGATAGTGAGGTCATCGAGCCTCCTTCTCTACCTCAGCTCCAGACCCCCCTGGCCAGTGAGCTGGACCTCATGCCCTACACTCCCCCACAGGTGAAGGTGACAAGTTCCTGTACTGGTCTTATTCCCAGCTTTGGTTTGCAGCAGACTCAAACCAAAGTAAGGAAACATCTAGCTTCTCCATAGGTGGGCTTCCACTTAGAATACTGCAGGAAAGAACGGAATTTTTCTCCTTTCTCAGTGCCTTTGTTGATTTATTTATTTTTTGTTGATTGAAATTAAATCTATCATATTACTAAGCCAATAATAATCCATTGTTTATCATATTAATGCTGTTAATCATTTAAAATATGTATCTTTAAAATTTCATATTTGGTTTAATGGCAAGTTCAGTTAAAAGACTCCCTACTTTACATTAGAAAAGCAATAAGGAATGGCAATAACCTAGTACTCTAACTTTTATCACCTATATCTTTTTTTTTTTTTTTTGACAGGCAGAGTGGACAGTGAGAGAGAGAGACAGAGAGAAAGGTCTTCCTTTGCCGTTGGTTCACCCTCCAATGGCCGCCGCGGCCGGCGCGCTGCGGCCGGCGCACCGCGCTGATCCGATGGCAGGAGCCAGGAGCCAGGTGCTTTTCCTGGTCTCCCATGGGGTGCAGGGCCCAAGCACCTGGGCCATCCTCCACTGCACTCCCTGGCCACAGCAGAGAGCTGGCCTGGAAGAGGGGCAACCGGGACAGAATCCGGCGCCCTGACCGGGACTAGAACCCGGTGTGCCGGCGCCGCTAGGCGGAGGATTAGCCTAGTGAGCCGCGGCGCCGGCTCTTTTTTTTTTTTTTTTTACAGGCAGAGTGGACAGTGAGAGAGAGACAGACAGAGAGAAAGGTCTTCCTTTGCCGTTGGTTCACCCTCCAATGGCCTCCGCGGCTGGTGTGCTGCAGCCGGCGCACCGCGCGAATCCAAAGGCAGGAGCCAGGTGCTTCTCCTGGTCTCCCATGGGTGCAGGGCCCAAGTACTTGGGCCATCCTCCACTGCACTCCCGGGCCATAGCAGAGAGCTGGCCTGGAAGAGGGGCAACCGGGACTAGAACCCGGTGTGCCAGCGCTGCTAGGTGGAGGATTAGCGTGTTGAGCCATGGCCGCCGGCACCTATATCTTTTTAATGTCTCTTTCTTTAGGACCTCAACCAGGGTTAAGGTGATCCCTGTTTGTATTTGTTGTTGTTTAGAATTTTCTCAAGAATTAATTATGAGGTCACCATTATAGATTACAGTCATGGAATTCAGTGAAATTTTCATGGATGTCTTATATGGTAGGAGGCAAAGAAGAGATATACTTTGACCAAGAAAATGACCAGCTGTAAACTGAACATGTCTGTAAAACAGTAACTGTTGAATCCTATGTTCCTGGTTTCCAGAAACTGAGCGATTAACTTAATGCAGTGTTCTGATGCACTATAAAAGCTTTCTGTCTTACAGTCTACTCCAAAGTCTGCCAAAGGCAGTGCCAAGAAAGAAGGCTCCAAGCGAAAAATCAACATGAGTGGCTACATCCTGTTCAGCAGTGAAATGAGAGCTGTGATTAAGGCCCAGCATCCAGACTACTCTTTTGGGGAGCTCAGCCGACTGGTGGGGACAGAATGGAGAAACCTTGAGACGGCCAAGAAAGCAGAATATGAAGGTAAATAGAGACAATGCACAACTATCTCAGCTTTCTAAGCAAGGATGTGTGTATAGGAATGCACGTGCATAGACAGGTTTTACTTTCTTGTGCTTACCACTTGCACATGAACTTTGTGTTGGGGAATTCTCCAGATGGTACCTAGCCAGCAGTCTAGATGCCAGCCCTGACTGACTGAGCAGAGCGCTGCCCTTGACTTGACCCCTGAGGCTGGTGGTGTTCTCCCACAAGAGTTCTCAAACAGGAATACTTGGCTATTAAAAATTGCATGAGTTTCTTCTTCCATTGAGCCCTTTAAACACACATATATTGAGCTGGAGAATGATTATATAATGACGTTAATTATAATTTTGGTTAATATATTCATCAGAAAGGGGCCCTTTAAAATCAGCAGTCTTCTGTTATGGCTCTTGATAAGCCCTGTGTTTAAACTGTAGACTGAAGCTTGGCTGTAGTACTTGGTTCCTTTAGGCCAGTCCTGGCCTGTGCTGTGTCTTACTATGGCTATTTTTAAGGCAGCTGGGATCTGTTTGATAAAGCTCAACTGCCTTTATTTTCCTTTTACTTTATAATTAAAGTACTTTGGTCCATGAGCTATCATTCAAGGACTTGATGATTCTTACCATTAGGGACAGATACTTCAAAGAGATTTTTGTCTTTTTAGTTTTCTGTTCTTTTTAAAATATCGATTATGCCTTTAATAAATGAATAGTAAACATTAGTTTAGGCAGGACTATTGCTCTTGGAACTGTATTTTTCCCTTGGAGGTTTATGTGTTGGTTCATTTTCCAGTTCAGAGCCATCCTCTGTGGTGGTCAGTTATTACTTACCTCAGCTAGGTCCAAATCCATTATTTTCAGCAAACATCAATTATTAAAGTTTCCCCCTTTATTAAAGTTTATGAAGTCTCCAAGAAAACCCTTTTTTGAAAATTCCTTTCATTTGTTACAATTAATTGATGATTACAAAATTACCTGACAGTCTTCCACAGAGATCTTCTGCTGTACCCTAATCCTCCTGAAGGCTGCTCAGCAGAAAAATATCCTGTGGCAAGACCAGTCTGGGAAGCATTCCAAGCTGTTTCTTGGAAAGTCACTGCACATATTACCATGTTAAAGGCTTAAGGAGCTGTAGTTTTTTAAAAAAAAAAAAAAAAAAAAAAACACCTCTTTGGTTATCTGTCATTTTCTGAAATTTGACCAGGTATTCATGTAATGTCTATTAGTATAATAAAAAAAATGATACCTTGTGCAACATTCTTTGAGTTCCTATAGAACTATCTTAGGGGAGCTTTGATATTTCTGACCTTAGTGCAAGCTAAAACCAAGTATACCTGGTTAGAAATGAAGCTAACAGGGGTGTAAAACCTGTTCCCTGGCCCAAAAAGCCAGTACTGTGTGACAGGTAAATTAGGGTGTGAACAAGAGAGATCCATCTGAAGTGATGGAAAGGTAAAAACATTGGAGCAGAGCTGATGAGAGGAAGAGATGAGAGATTCAAAGGAGAGTGTGAAATTCCTTGAGAACCCAGTGAGAATGAGACACAAAAACTGAACTTTTGGTGTTCTTACCCATTGAATTTAAAACACAGAATTTGAAGTTTGACTGGCTTTGTTTTAATAATTTTGTTTTCTGAGACAGCCCAGTTGGGTTTGTCTCAGAGCCAACAGGTAGCCAGTCCAGTATTCCATCCACAGCCCTAAATTTTTCTTTTTTTCAGCTTCATTTTTTTGCTCTCTCATTCTATTGTATCATTTGTAATGAAAATACTAAAATTTAATGTGGGGGTTTAGAGTCTTTTTGTTTCTTGGCTTTTTTTTTTTCCTGCTAACTGAGGAAGTAGTTGTTCTAATGGCCTTTGTTCCTCATACTCAATTGTATTGAGTGTACAGAGTCTATAAGCTGGGACAGTGGTAGTGAGTGCAGTCCATGTAGGCGACTCTGTCACAGCGACGGGGCCTTTGACTCACTCCGCTTTCCCCACACTGTTGCACTAAAGGAGGACTAGGGCTGTAGCTTCTTGATTCTCTTTTAGGCAAGGTGATGTTGAGCTATTTGACCCCTCCTCAGATTAGCCGTAGCCCTTTGAACACCATGTTGGAGGGTTAATGTGTGGCAGTTGGGGTGTGATATCAGGAGTCAGAGTCATAGATTGCTGAGTTCTCTCTGTATCTTTGGACAAATCATTACCGGTCTCCCACCCTCCGTTTGCCCATGTGAAGAGCGGGGAGGATTTCCTAATTATGAATGGTAACTCAGAAAAAAGCCTGTGTGGTGGGAGCTTTGGGAATATATACGGCACTTCAAGAGTTCTCCAGTAGGGACAGTTTGCTAGCTCCCAGAAAGACTAGGCATGTGATTGTTGGGGTGCTTGGCTCTGGAGGTGCGTGCAGAGTAGCTCACGGGAATGAGGAGGATAGCAGGGTGTGCTCCATCACACAGAACTGCCACAGACAAATGCTCCTCTTGCATTTTGGATGACGTAGAAGTGGATTCTGGAACTTTCACTGATTGAGGAGGATTTATGGTCAGTACTGAGCTGCTCTGCTTCAGAAAATCTAGTTCTTTCAGTACCTTGCCCATTGCTACATATGTATATCACATTTATAGAGAAACAGATATGTATTCCCTGCTTCTGATGATTGTAGCCTGGAGTATCATGCATTTTTCCCCTGAGGGTTTATTAAGCATGACCTCTTTGCTCCGTGGGAGTGTAGAAATTAGCTGTTTACTTTCCTTAAACCTTTGTATAGGAGGCAATACGTTACTTTTCCCTTACAGAGTTAATTTTCTTCAGCTGCTAAAGTCTGTATGACACTAATGATAAAGAGTCCTCAAATCTTAGGAAAATTGGGTACAAGGAATCAGGAAAATATAGTAAGTAACAATTGTGCCAAAAATTATAATGGGCCATGGAATTGCTTCATGTTGAAATTATAAATAATCTGTAATGCTATTAATACTAGAATAATGGTAGTGCTTCTCATCTTCAGGGTGCCTCATGAGATTAACCTCATTGGTTACGCTGGTGACATGTTTAAATAAAACCTGTGCTTTCTGAATGTGTGTTGCAGTCTTAACATTCTTGAAATCTTTGCAGACCAGTTCTCAAGATGGGATAGGAAAGCTGGATTCTAGGTTACCAAGTGAAAGCAGCCCAACTCCTCCCGTGTTGGAGACTAGTCATCTACTGTTTTTCCCATTGAGACAGAACTGTTGCCTGTGTTTTTACTAGTCCTGTTGAATGCAATGGATGGTATTTTGAATTCCTGGGTTAAAAACAGAATTGAAAATCTGAAATGCCTTTACAGAGCGGGCAGCTAAAGTTGCTGAGCAGCAGGAGAGAGAGCGAGCAGCACAGCAACAGCAGCCGAGTGCTCCTCCCCGAGCAGGCACCCCTGTGGGGGCTCTCATGGGGGTGGTGCCACCACCAACACCAATGGGGATGCTCAATCAGCAGTTGACACCTGTTGCAGGTAAAAACAGGAGCTAAGACCATTTTTTTCCACTTTAAGAAATTCCTTCATTTTTTTTTTCTCCAATGAGGAGTAGGCCACAGTCTATATAGCCTTTTCTCATGACAGATTCAAAGTTTGAAATCATCATGTTGTCCTGTATTGCCTTTCCCATATAGGCAATGCCTCCCCTCTGCCCCAGAAATGGGCCCTGGGCCTAACCTTGGGAACTGGTAGGGAGCAACTCTTGCCAGGCTGTAGGCATGGTCTGGTGATGTTCTCTACCCCAGACTGCTCTTGATGGAGCACTAAATAAAGCACAAGATAGAAACAGACCCTGAATTCTGGTCTAGAAGAACTCCCAAGAGAAAACACGAAGCCAGCCTTTAGGTGGTGTTGATTTTCCCGTTTCATCCAGTATTCAGTTTGCCTTGTTCTGCTGCAGCCATCCTTAAAACACTGACCATTTAAAAGGATTTTTGACAATGAATTGTAAATCCTTTCTTGGTCACCAATGTGCATGACTGCTAAAGAAAATACGAAGTCCTTATTCAATTCATTGTGCCCACTCTGTAATGCTTTTCTATTAAATTACATTAAACTGCATTTTCTGTTAGTATCCCAGTCACATATTTTAAGCAAGAGAAAACAAAAAAGAAACTGATGAATGTGGTTTGCTTGTGTGTGTTGCCTCTGGTTCTGGAAGCTGCAGCAAATTTGACTATTCTTGAATTGAATGTCCTTGTTTGACATGTCTGTCTCCAGTGAGAAGCCTGCAGACCGCCTCTCAGGCCCCTCCTTTGTGATCTCTCCAAGCCTGCTGAGATCTGTTCAAGCCACCTGTTTCTTCTGAAGCAAGCAGTTTGACCTCTTTTGCAGGGAGTCCAAGACAGTGTTATTGAAGGCAGGCTTGTTGAGATGCTGTTTTTGTTTTTGCTATTTTGTTTTGTTTTTGCTTTTTCAGGAAGAGTAGCATAACTTTTCCATTGTCGCTCCTAACTTTTGTGATGGCAAGTTCTCAAATGCACTGTCGCTGAACTCAGCAGTTGCACTCGCCAAAGCACATCTGAATCGTGGCTTTCAGTACTTTCAGTGTAACTGATGTTGATCTAACAAATCTCATAATCGCCTGCTCTATTCCATGGCCCATTTTGGTTAATGGGGTTCTGGAGGTTTTTAGAAATCAGGCCTTGAACACGGGGGATGTTGAAAGTTAGAATTCCCTCATTGATATTCAGCCTCTTTTGTTGTATTTGATGTGTGATATTGTGGCATTGTGCCCTTGACTACAAAACTCAGGGACACATTAACAAAATGAATACAAACAGCTAAAAACAGAAAAACAGCAGCTGCAGCATTTTAGCTCCCTGTTGGGGAATAAATCATAGAGCTGTATGGGTGAGGAGGGTGGGCCCTCTGGAAAGCCCTGCTCCGCTCTTAAGGGTATGCGGCCCAGGCTTCCGGGCCATGGGAGTGAAGGGCAAGCATTCTTGACAGTAGCCAGTCTGTGGTCTTGAGTGGGAACTGTGCAGCTCAGAGAATGATTTTTCATGGGCTTACTATAAGGTTGCTTAGGGCCTGAGTCTTAACCTTGTTGCTGTTTGAGACCAGCTTTGCTTACAAGCATTGAAGCTCATTTGAACACATGTGACTGGGATAATAAATGCCAAAGTACAGTTTAATGAAGACAAGTGCCATGTCTTTCAGTGCTTGATAATTTATTTCTACAACCACAGCCTGTACAGGCTGCGTTCAGATGGGCTTTTGTAATTGAAAGCAAAGCCTCCTAATGTTCTTAAATTTCTCACCTACTTATCCCTGAGTGCTCTATCTTGTGGTGTGGTTAAAAGACAGTTTGGTAGCTTTGGATCTCCTCATGTTCAAGGTGATGGTGTCTGTTCAAAAGCAGATTTTGTTATCTGAACTGTCATTTTTTAAATGAAACTCATAATGCTATTTCATGTGTAGAGCTATTACAATTTAAAATTTGTTTTATTGGTTTGTATAATTGTAAGCTTTACAGTCAGCTCATGACTAAGGAAGCAGGATGAGTCAATCGCAGAATTTAAACATTTATAAATATTAAACATTTATAAATATTTTTCAAATAGTTCTTCAGGGAAAGTCAAAGAGTGAAACCCTCAGCAGAACCTGGAGTTTTCCACTGTTTCCCAGAGTCCCTTTCTATCAAAGAGTGTTTGATAGAAATGAGGTTTGGCACCAGCCCTTTAATCATCCCTTTTAAAGAAGCTGTGACCAAAGGTGATTGCATTGCAGGGGGAGTTTTGTGTTCTTGTTCATCATGATCATTGCAAATCCCAGAAAAGTCATGTTGTTGTTCTTGTTTTTAAAAAAATGCCATGTGATTTTAAAAGTCTTTTGGTGGGTGAGTTCTTGACATTTTAAAATGATTTTATTGTTTTTACTCCTTTGGCCAAAGATAAGTCTTTGCTAGACCTCTTCCCTAGCCAGCAATCTTTGTTATGTGAAGGTGCACTTTGAAAATAAAAGAATAAAAGCCTCTGTTCACAGAAATTCTGTATCTCCATTAAAATGCTCCCTGTTAACTGAAGGTTTGTGTGAGGACACTTGTGAGCTTGGAGACAGTGAGGACAGTTGGCCTATTCTCAAGTCAGCAGAGCCTGATTCTCCAGCCCTTCCTCCTTAAGGTCTGTGTGTAGATACCTGAAGAGACCTTAGCTTTGGTTGGCTTGGGAGGGTCTAGGTTTTATCTTTATTGTATCATGTTTTGAGATCCAGAAATGAAACATTATTCATTGGAATGGCTCTTGGAAGCTTTTCCAGAGCTCAAGCCTGAGCACCATCCATTCTCACAGCAGAGCTGGGCTGGAAGGGAGGAGGAGGAGATGGAGAAGTCCTGAAGCACCGCTGCCCCGAGCTGGAGAAACATGCTTTGTGATCAGGACTGAGTGCTCATGTCCTTCATTCCAGCTCCCCCTCATGTGTATCCACGACAGGCATATGAGTGTGGGCAGATGGAATGATGGTTGTGTAATGTTCAGTTAGAATTGCAGTCAGCAGAACTGGTCACTCTGGTTGAACAGCTTGAATAATTCTGGCCTTGGGAAGGCTATTACTAGAACTCCTCTTTATCATTATTTAACTGAAAACATGCAGCATATTTATCCCAGGGAAAATAACTACAAATAATAATGTACTAAGTACTAATTCATCCAGAAATGTTGGGTTCATATTTGTAATGTTTTATTTTGTTCATTATTGCAACAAAATAATTGCACTAATTGCCGTTCTATCATGCAGTACTAAGGGTGCTTTATTCATTGGTATAGTGCATGTGGGAGGGTTGTTATTACTTAGCTCATATTGCATGTTAATGATGCATGTCTGAAATTTGTTGTGTCCTTCAAGGCATGATGGGTGGCTATCCGCCAGGCCTTCCACCTTTGCAGGGCTCAGTTGATGGCCTTGTTAGCATGGGCAGCATGCAGCCACTTCACCCTGGGGGGCCTCCACCCCACCATCTTCCGCCAGGTGTGCCTGGCCTCCCAGGCATCCCACCACCGGGTAAGAACTTCATCCTCATTCACTCATTAATCTCATCTTCACCTTCTTTTTCCTCCCTCAGCCAGTTGTTCCAGGTGGCACCTGCTGCCCATTGTGACCAAGCCTTCTCTCACTGAAAATCCAAGAGATGTCAGCAGCAGGGCTTGTCCTGTGTGTTGAACAGACAAGTCCAGCACCTATGTCCTTGTGCACCTGGCTGCCTGGCAGTAGCACAGGACACTTAACAGAGGCTAGACTGAGCTGACTGAAGGGCAGGAGACATACTCTGTCATCACTCAAGCAGTATGACATGTGCTCAAAAAACCTAGGCAGCCTAGAAGGTTGTGCCCCTTTATCAGTGAATGAAGTCTCCCAGATTCTTAGTTCAGAGTCACATATAAAAGCACTCTGTTCCCGAGTGCGTTTCTTCCTCTGGTGTAATTCTCACCTCACAGAGTCTTCTGTCTAAGGCCCCTGGTCTGTCCACTCCTCCTCAAGCAGCCCTCCCAGGGGCATTTAGAGTCACTATTGTGTAACTCTTCAGAAGTCCTTTGCCCAGTGTGGCTTAGGAACCACAGGAGGTACGAGTCCCCTAGGAAGCACAACGTACCCTTTCAAAGAACAGCTTGGCCTACCCTGTTTGCTGGAGACTCTTGGCTGTGTGTCATCAGAAGTTCAGAAGTTCTTGCACATAGAAATACATAAATGGAGTCCAGAAATAACCACATTCAGTCTCACTTTATAATGAATTAACAAGTTGGAATGTTATGTTAAAGAAAACTTAAAATCACAAGTTCCTGCATTAATTGCCATTGTCTGCAAAAGAACAAACTCTTAGTTAAAATCTTGTTGGAGGGAGTGTGACCTAAGATGAATAGAATAACATTTTATCCATTACCTAAATTATCAGCTAAAAGGGCCTGTCCCAGGTTAAAGGTGGCTGGGAACTCATTAGATTTGCTAATATTAGCACTGGACCTACTGATTGTAAGGTTTTTGCAGGTTTCCAAATGACGCTCCCAAGGGGTGACCCAGCAGTGTACAAGGAAAACAAACCTGATGGCTTAGCCTCAGCCTCCAGTTACTGTCTGTGTGAATGTTCTTAGAGAATATCCGTGACTCCACCAAAGTGTCTTTTTCCAGATGTTTCCAGAGGAAGAAGTGTTTGTGAGAGTGGGTACTTCGCTATAAAATGGTGGCCTGTGTGTGGCTCCTGTTGTAGCAGAGGTCAGATATAAATTAGGTATTCCCATGTGACAGGCAGACCTGGCCCTCATTCTGTGCCCTCTCACCATGGCCCAGGTGTCTCGCTGAGCCTTTAAGAACAGGTTAGAAATAACACCTTCTAGGGTCATGTAGCGCTCAGCGGAAGCCACGTCCAAGGCAGATACCCTCCAGGTAGCACCTGTCTTTTAGCGGGTGTTGGGGCACAGGCTATGTTCCTTTGTGCCCTTGTTAGGTTCTAAGTTGAGTTTGAAGGAAGTACAACACAACACAGCTGGCCACAGTCAAGGAGACAAGGAAGAACCCCTCTTACTGTCTACACACATACATGTCTAGTCAGACTTTGAAGAGCAGAAGGCGCTGGGAGCTCCTCTCGTGACTCAGCTCACATCCTCCCTGGTGCCCCTGGCACGACACAGATGAACAGGGGGAGCAGAACTCTGTGGATTTGTGTGTGCTGCCCTGCAGAGCAGTGACAGAGGCAGTCTAGGGAGTTCCATTGTGTTGGGGAGTCCAAATTGGATGAGTGTCTAGAATGGAGTGGGGCAGCTTACCAGATGAACCATGCATTCACAAATAATCACCAGGATCCTACTGTGGTGATCCAGGTACACTTAGAGTGTTGGAATATAAAAATCCTTGCTTTTAAAGTAGAAGCTTGTTTCTTAGTTTGTTTTTCCTCTAACAAATAAAAGAATGCCTAATACTTCTTGGAAGTGGCATTTAGCAGTTGTGACCCTAGAATAATAGACTACTTTTGGCTGATCAAAATACCAGCATTTTTAATCCAGGGGAACTATAGACGCTGGAGGTAGCTTCTCTGAATCCTGCGCAGCCAGCGGGACTTATTAAGCTTTGGTTGTGCTTTGTGTGTTAGTTTTTAATAAACTGGGCTCCTTGCCTGTTTGTGTTTTATCAGAATCACAAATGGAGAGCCTTGAGATAAAAATAGCCTCAGACACTAAATTTAGGACATTTCATTATTATCAACAAGTGCCTGTGAGATGACAACTGTTCATGAGCGTTCACTAAGGGAAGTCTACCTGATTGTTCCCAGAGACAGTACAAATATAATGGCGCATTAAGTCTTTGTTCCTTTGTCGTTTTAGCAGCAAGGCTACCCCACTTCCACATGATCTCTTTTCAGAGTGATTCTCTATCAGATGGAAGCATCTTCTCTCTGCCAACACTAGTAACTCCGGTTAGAGCCAGGTGCTGGTTGCTGGCCTATGAACAGACAGCAAGGCTACACCTCCAGACTCCACAAATTTAATTCACTGTTTCCATAGCCTTTTCCTTTGTGTCCCTAGTATCCTAGCATATTGCTTACTGCTAAGCCTGATTTTCAGTGCCATTCCTGCTGAAATTAAACACAGGCCCTATTTATAGGACAATCTATTGTCAGAAGAAAAATACCTCAATAATAGAGGTATATTCTGACTAATGCTCACCTAGGGAAGTACTAGGGTTTTGTGCAGAGTTCAAATCCTTTCTAAGCCATAAGCAGTGGATGTGCATCTAACAAGTTACACTAGCATTGTGCCTTAAGTACCTAGAAACAAAAGAACGTAAGTTTTCTATTTGAATCCTGTTTGGGGTGCTTAGGGTTCCTGTCCACAAACACTCAAGAGCAGAGGTACATAGGGTGGCATTATGAATGTCATCATTTCTTATCAGACAGTAGTTTTTCAGTCATCTCAACCCAGAGCCTCTAATTGTGCATTGCCTTCTGCATTATAGGTGTCATGAACCAAGGAGTGGCCCCTATGGTAGGGACTCCAGCTCCAGGTGGAAGTCCTTATGGACAACAGGTGAGCCTCCCATTTTGATTTTCTGCATTAGAATTCTAGTCATCTTCCTTCTTAGAACATGTGCCCAGTATCTTTTTGCTTCACCATGTGGTCCTGTGCTCTTTCAGGTGGGAGTTTTGGGACCTCCTGGGCAGCAAGCACCACCTCCATATCCCGGCCCACATCCAGCTGGCCCCCCTGTCATACAGCAGCCAACAACACCCATGTTTGTGGCTCCCCCACCAAAGACCCAACGACTGCTCCACTCAGAGGCCTACCTGAAATACATTGAAGGACTCAGTGCTGAGTCCAACAGCATTAGCAAGTGGGACCAGACCCTGGCAGGTAAGAGTCCTTCCAAATAAACCTGCGTTCTCAAAGCCTCCTCACTGCTATTGGCATCTTCTACAGTAAGCGTCTCTCTTTCTTACACAAGTAAAATAAATTATGTCTTAGTTTGGAGCTTCTTTGCCTATTGACATCACACACTGAAATAGGGGTTTTGTGGCCAAATTTCAAGCTTAGTTTTGTCACAGACATCACTTTGCAAATAGAATCTTTTCTTTTCCTTCGTTCGTTTCTTTTTTTGTTTTTTTCGGACAGGCAGAGTGAACAGTGAGAGAGAAAAGATCTTCCTTTGCCGTTTGATTCACCCTCCAATGAGCCGCTGCAGCTAGGCGCACTGTAGCCAGTGCACCACGCTGATCTGAAGCCCGAGAGCCAGGTGCTTCTCCTAGATCTCCCATGCGGTGCAGGGCCCAAGCACTTGGGCCACCCTCCACTGCACTCCCGGGCCATAGCAGAGAGCCGGCCTGGAAGAGGGGCAACCGGGACAGAATCCGGCGCCCCGACTGGGACTAGAACCCGGTGTGCCGGCACCGCAAGGTGGAGGATTAGCCTAGTGAGCCGCGGCGCCGGCAGAATCTGAATATTTTTCAGGCAGTTGGGCATTAGTGTAAATCTATTTGGGTAAATTAAAAATTATTCAGAGGCAGTCATTTGGCCTAGAAATTAAGAAGGCAATTTAGGATGCTTACGTCCCATGTTGGAGTACCTGGCTTCAAACTCTGATTCCCACTTCCTAATTCCAGCTTCCTCCCAATGCAGACCCTGAAAGACATTGGTGATGGCTAGAGTAATTGAGTTTCTGCCACTAATGAGGAAGAACTGGGTTGAGTTCTCAGCTCCTGACTTTAGCCTGGTTGAGTTCCAACTGTTGCAGGCTTTTGTGGAGTGAACCACTGGATAGAAGATTCTGTATCTTCCTTTCTTTGTCTTCCTGTCTCTCTTGCCCTCTGCTTTTCAAATAAATAAAATTATTTTCTTCATTAAAAAAGAAAAAGAGTAGCAGTTATGTTTTCCTTTTGTTCACATGTGTACCTTTTTAGGCATTTTTGTTAGCATCAAAGTAATTAGTAAATACTAGGGGCGCCTATAATAAAATAATGATTGGATCTTTTAGAGCCTAGTAAAATGATACAAGAAATTTACTTGGAAATATTCTGTAGTTAAAATTAATAATATTTCAATACTAAGTGTTTTTTGTTTTTGCAAATCTGTCAGACCTTGGAACTAAGGATGTTTTATCACCTTAACATTCCAACTTCTGTTTCTCTGCACTTGAATTTTAGCTCGAAGACGTGATGTCCATTTGTCAAAAGAGCAGGAGAGTCGCCTGCCCTCTCACTGGCTGAAAAGTAAAGGGGCCCACACCACCATGGCGGATGCCCTCTGGCGCCTTCGGGATTTAATGCTCCGAGACACCCTCAACATTCGCCAAGCATACAACCTAGAAAACGTTTAATCACATCATTACGTTTCTTTTATAGAAGCATACAGAGTTGTGGAACAGTAGCCATTTTAGTTACTGGGGGTGGGGGAAGGAACAAAGGAGGATAATTTTTATTGCATTTTACTGTACATCACAAGGCCATTTTTATATACGGACACTTTTAATAAGCTATTTCAATTTGGTTTTTGTTATATTAAGTTGACTTTATCAAATACACAAAGATTTTTTTGCATATGTTTCCTTCGTTTAAAACCAGTTTCATAATTGGTTGTACATGTAGACTGGGAGTTTTATCTTTTTACTTGTTGCCATGGAACTGAAACCATGAAAGGTTTTTGTCTTGGCTTGGGATTTTTGTTGTGTGTTTTTTTTTGGGGGGGGGGGGGGGGGGGGAGGGTGTTTTCTTTTTCTTTTTTATAAACAAACAAAATGAAAAAAAAAAAACACAAGAGTTTACAGATTAGTTTAAGTTGACAACGAAATGTGAAGTTGGTCCTAGTTTACATCTTAGAGAGGGGAGTGTACTTCAATGTCTGTTTCATGTGCCTGAATATCTTAAGCCACTTTCCACAAAAGCAGTTTCTTACAGGTGATGCGAAGTGCTTTCTTTGAAGATTGTTATTTAGATTACAGGTGTTGACGGACAGCACATTGGCGCCGTATCTCTGAGGCTCACTGCAGAGAGCTGGTGTCTCTGCTCTGAGTCCTTGTGCAGCTAGTGCAGCTAGAAGAGTACTTTTTCTTGTGCTGAGGTAGACATCGCTGCTATCAGTGATTTTTGCGGAACATGTGCACACCCTGAATTATATATAGCCTGGCAGGTAAGTTTAAGGGTACTTTTGATCTGTTTATAATGAATTTACAGTTTATGCCTATACATGTTAGATGATTTTAAATTTTAAATTTGTTACATTGAAAAACACTGATCTGCAAGAAAGCATTGAGGTGTGCATGGAGGTGATTTAAACGTAACACCTAACCTGATCTAGGGAAGGGAGTGTATTATTGGATCTGAAGTGTACCAAAAGGATAATCATGAAAATGTAGATTGCCTGCATATGCAGCTATGTTTTATGTTTTATTCCCTCGTTATGAGATGTGGCCTTTTTTTCTTGTAAGTTTCAGGGTTCTGATTCACAACCAGAGTTTAATGCTTTCTAAAATTTTTTTAAGTTTCGCTTCTGCTTTTGAATTACAGACAAGGGAATCATAGTTTAAGAAAATGATCGCTAAAAATACCATAACAGATCCCAAACACTTGGGTTTGGTGACCTTGTCTTTCTTATATGGCCCTAGAGTAAACATTTGGAGGCAGTGTCTGATGCTCAGACTGGAGGCAGCGAGGAACATGGAATTATGTAACTTGGTGGTATGTTTTTGAAACCTGCTTTATTGTGACGCAGTGTTTGCCATGGTGGTGGAGCTTCCACTGCTGTTTCTCAGTTGAGAGGGTGACTCTCAAATGATACTTTTTTTCCTTTTAAACTGCTATGAATCAATACCCAGATGTGTAATTACCATACTTACCAAATCATGAGGGCAAAAGAGTGTAAGATGGAAAAAGTCTCTTGTATCTAGATGATACTTCAGATACAAGCGACCCTTGTAGCTTAATTGCCTTTAGTCAACCACTGGATTTCAGTTTGCGTCACGTATTTTAAACAATTTTGAATTTTTAAAAATATATTGCAGTAGTTATGTCAGTACCTTATTGTTAATCTGAATCAGATAAAGAAATCTTCAGTTCCTGGTTATTTGGGCCATTGAATCATCATGGACTAAGATTCTTTTATTTCTAGACATTATTTCCTTGAATTACACCAAAGAACCTGAAATCTAATTTTGGTTAAATTATTTATTTATTTCATTCATTTATTTCCCTTTTTAAGGTCTGGATGAGACTTCTTTGGGGAGCCTCTACAAACTCTTCACTGTGGGCCACATGGGGCATTAGAAACCAGAGCACTCCGGGCTCCTTGCTAGTGTCTCAAGGTGCATGGGAACCATGGGTCCAGCTAGGGGATTCCATAAGGCAGTGCAGAGCCGGCCCAGGGCACTAGTAGGCAGGCCCTAAATAAATGTTTAAAAAAAAAAAAAAAAAACCCTACGTATTTATTTTAGAATCATGTGTTTCTATATACTAACCTGAAGAATATCAGTTAACATTTAGGATATAAGATTTGAGATCAGCCATCTTCTATAAAAAAGAAAAAAAATGTTCTGACTTAAGAAAGTACAAGTAAACTATACATCCTTTTTTTCATGAGTTTTAGGCACTGTAGTAATGTGGCTTAGAAAGTATAATGGCCTAAATGTTTTCAGAATGTAAGTTCCTGTGGAGAATTTTGTTTATATGCGGGAAAACCTATAGGTTTAAAATAGTCTGTTTTGTCAGCCAACAGATTTAAAAGGCCTTTAATTGGTTTTGTTTTTTTCACCCACCCTTCCCTTCCTATGAGGAAGAACTGAAGTGGGGGCGGGGGGACACTTATTTGTGTAAAATCCCCAAATTGGTGTTGATGACTTTTCAGCTTGAAGGTTTTCAGACCTGATTAAAACTTGGTTTATTCTAATTTCTGTATCATCATCATCTGAGGTTTAAATGGTAATTAGTCTTATAACATGTATGTATCATATGTTTGTTCATCTAAAGCTTTTTAATCCAAATAAAAATGGAGTTTGCAAAGTGATTTGGATTAACCAGGTTTGGTTGTTCTGTTAAAACTGTGTCAGATGTTAGTTTCCAGCAGATTTAACTCTCACAAGCCCTGATTTCATGCTGACAGGGATATGGCTGCCAGCCCAAGGGAAGAAAGCTACTCAGGTGGAGGTGAAAGTGTCCAGACCTCTGGTTCAGGGCTCAGGCGGAGTTGCACGGAAGGTCAAGGTAGACTGCACTTGGAAGTGCCCCATGGCACGCCTCTTGGGCTGGCTGTCAAGGAATTCTCACTTGTCCGCAGCTTGGGCAGCAGTGTGGGTTGAAGTTAAAACTGAAGATGAGGAATGTCCTCTATCATAAAGCAGAATAAGCTACTTCAGATAGTTAGCTTTCTGTGTCCAGAAGAGACATGTAGCCCAGGTGTGTACTTGCTGTGTCTATAAGTTCTTAAACGGTAGTGCTTTTAATAGAAAATGCTTTCCATGGAAAGTGTTGGTAAAATCAACCAACTGTTTTCCTCTAATATCACTTTGCAAATCCCTGTGGTTCTGTCCTGAGTTAAGGCCTTTACTGCCATCTGTGCTGGAGCATATTCTGAACAACCACTGACCTGTAAACATCCCGGCTGAATGCTAAGTGCTGCTGAATAGTACTCTATTCCTTTTTAGTGTGGAATAATGCTGCATCAGCCAAGTGAAAGTTCAGAGCTGAGCAAATTAATGTTTCTTTCCCGTTTGGGGTGTTTTGTGGTGTTAATGACTTGTGTATTGTGTGTTAATGTGGCAAGAAATTCCAAGGTTAATACGTGTGTAAAGACTAAGCACTGGTACTGCTTTAGGAGATTAGATTGCTGAACACAGTGATGCAGGAGTATATATATTTTTAAAGATACGTAATTCAGTGTGAAAAATGCAAACGTACATAAAAAGAAAGATGAGTGTGATTAAGTTGTAACATCAGGGATTTAGGCAAGACTTCCAAAATTGAACTGGCAGGTGGACAAAAATAACCTTCATTTATTATTTAGTTTGTGCCTGAGTTACTTTGCCTGTCAGTTCAGATAAGGGGACAGTCTGAAACCCATGTTCTTTCCCTAGCACCAGAAAGGCCTTAGGTTGCTAACAATAAATGCTGATTAGGTTTTCCATCATTCTAGAATAAGTGCTGTAGTTTTTGAAATATGTTAAAATTTTTTACCATGTTCATACTAGGAGCCATTGGCATTCTATAATCAGTATATAAGAGCATTGTGGTTCTTCCCATTAACTGTTCCCTTAAACAGTTCTAGTATCTGGTAAGTGCGGTGGCATCACATGCCTAGTAAAAGAGCTAAAGAATTTTTGGAGGGAAAGTTAAATGCTTGCACCTTAACAAAGGTAAGTTCTTACAGCATCTTTCATAGCATAATGTGCTATGAGAACATTTCTTCCATTGAATACAGTAGTTGCTCCCCTAGTCTACCTGCCTTGAAGTCACTTTAAAAAGTGTGTTGTCCTTCAGTGAATCAGCACTCCAAGGGAAAGAAGAAAAAAGAGTAGGGAGTGGAAGTGGAGAGAAAAACTCCAGTGAAGGAAGACACAAAATTCAGGCCAGTGACTCTCCCTGGAGAAGAGCCATGGAGCCATGGAGCTGAGCAGATGCAGAAGTTGGCTAATGGTTTTATGAACACTTTTTGTTAATCTTTGTAAAATGTATGTGTGTGAAATATTCTCTAGAAATAGCAAATATGGGCAAGGGAGAACATAGGGAATGTGACCATCTCTGATTGAGAGACTCATATGACAAGTTAAATTTCTTAAGCAGCTCCTAATCATTAACATATCTGTAAGGTCAGGATCACCAGGAACTCTCGACACACTGGGCATGAGAATTCAGGAACCACAGTCCTCCTCCTGGTGGTGCTGATCACTTGGCTTCACACTCCAGAACCGTCTCCCAGTAGTGACTGAGCTTGCTGTAGGTAGTGCTTTTCGTTTAAGATTTATTTTATTTATTTGAAAGGTAGAAGAATAGAGATCTTTCATCTGCTGGTTCTCTCCCCAAATGACCGCAGTGGCCAGGGCGGGGCTGGGCTGAAACCAGGAGCCTTTTAACTCCATCTAGGTCTCCCAGTGTGGGTGGCAGGAGTCCAAGCACTTGAGCTGTCTTTCGTTGCTTTCCCAGGCACATTAGCAGGGAGCTGGATAGCCAGTTCTCAAACGGGCTCATGTAGGATGCCAGTGTCGCAGGTGGCAGCTGAAGCTGCTGCACCACAACACCAGCCCCAGTTAGTGCTTTTTGTAAGATCTGAGTCATTTTACACTGAATTGATTCTAGCATAAAAAGACAAACTTAAATTAAGGGGGAATATAGCTAGAAAAACAAGATGACATGATTATGTTTATGGCAGAGATAATGAACTTGAGGATACACTGTGACCTTAAGAATCAGCACACCTACTCCTGCACAGTAATTAAACACCATTTTGAAATGTAGTCGTCTTTAGTGTGTAGATACTGTCTTGTTGAAAAGATGTTGGATGGTCATCCAAACATGAGAAAGTGACTTTTTCTACCAGTTGTCCCACATTTATGCCAAACCTCTCAGTAGATTGAGCCCCTGGTTTAGTTCAAGTATGTGGCCAGTTTGCACTGTGTAGGGTCATTTCTTACAGAAGGAATAGCACCTGGATAGCTTGATGAAAGAGCAGCATGTCTCAGAGGAGTGTGAAGCTTGCTGCCTGCAGTTCTCGTGGATGCCCAGTCCAGGATGCAAAGGTCGGGCCCATTTCTGTTCACAAGAACACCAGCATGAAGAATGTGTAGTCCACACTAGCAAAAAGCTTACACTCTTGAAGCTGGGAGAAATGTAATTCTCATAATTATTTTGGTTTAAATGATCTCGCAGTGGAGAACATGTAAATATCCATAATTTATTTTGAATTCTGCCAAAAAAAATATAGTTAACCATTTGTGGCCCAAAAAGAAAGGGCTTTCCAATTCAGGCTGCACTGAGAGGCGTACTGACTGATGCTTGATTTGCTCAAGAAATACTTCATGGACTAGATTCTCGGGGGGTGTCGGAGGAGAAAATGTTTCCGCCTAAGTGCTGTCCCGCAGGGAGGTAGGAAGTATTTGAGCAGACTGCAAAACTATGAAGACTGTTTGCAAGGCACTTCTTGGAATAATGTGTATCTGCTAGAAGACAAGCTGTGTCACAGAACAAGAGATCTGAACAGTACACTGTTAAAGGAGCTGAACCCGTAGTGGAGATTCACATTCACTTTATTGGCTGCTGAAGTTCGGTCTCGGATGCATCTTCCAGCCTTCTCTGAAACTGTCTTTCTGAGGCTTTTCTGCGGTAGACGTCATCTGTTTCAAACAAAAAGCTTGCTTAGATTTTTAAGCAACTGGGAGATTAAAAATGCTGACATCTTAGTAACTGAACCAGCAGTCTAGGTCTGCCACCTATTTCCGAATGTCTGATTTCACACCACAATAAAAACATCAACACGAGCTGGTTGAGGACCAGTGGTGGATCTCTAGACTTAGCACGGCAAGGTGACCGTGGCGCCTGCTGACGGGGTCACGCCCTCGCACGCTCTGGGCTGTTCCTGCTGCCCCTCCAGCTTCTCTTAATCACCCCTCACTGAAACCTCAGGCTGGGGAGGGGAGGTCAGTTTCCTTGTTCCCAGGTGCTGCTGTTCCAGACTCTTGATTGTGCACCCTCACAGGAATAATCCTCTTCCCTAGGGGCTTCTGCTGTGCGGCTGCCACCACCTCTTCTGCACTTGGCTCAGGCTCCTCCTTGCCCCTGTCCTGTACGCTTTCATGCACCAACTACCAAGCAGGGGCTGAAGCAGCAGCCCGGTTCCCCCCTGCAGCCGCGTGGAGGCTCCCCTGAAGGGGTTCTGCTTGGGTCATACCCTCTACTGCTGTTCTTGCGCCGCTGTCCCCAGAGCTCACCAGCCTCTCAGCCCTCTCCCCTCTGGTCCCACCAAGCTGCTGAAATTCCCTCACGTTCTAGTCAGTGTCTTAACTTCTTAATGCCCTCGGAACCCCAACCACAGGCTAATCCATCCAACTTCCCTCTCCACGCCTCCCCCTGCTGGTTATGCTCTACCGACCCACTAATGCTTCTGGGCCCCTACCAGGTCTGACCGTCTTGTTTTCTCAGCCGTGACTCTGACCCTTCTTCACCCAGCCCTTCACAGAGAAAAGTCACCAGTAAAGAACTCTGCTCATTTCCAAGGCCCACTCCTCTGCCACCTTCTCTGGGAGGGACTCTCTGATACAGGCTAGCGTACCCTCCAGTCTCCCCTAGGGCAAGGGGACTTCTCCCCTCACAGAGCCAGACTTCCTCAACCTCCTGTCTTCTACGACAGTGAACCTTCCTTGGCCCTCTAGCCATTCTGTCCCTCCTAAGTGTTGGAGGTTGACATTCAAAGTTTGCCTTTGAATGGTCCACAGCAGCGGGCGGGCTCTGCCACCCAAGCTTCAGACCTATGTAACCATCTCCACCTCGGCACAACCCAAGTGGGGCCCACCTTCAGGAAAGGTGTCACCCCTTCCCCACCCCACCCCCATCTGAGTCCACTCAATCTCCAGGCCTTGTCAGAACTCCCTCTGGGGTCTCTGTCCACTTGGCAGTCCTGCTGCCCCCAACCTAGATAAAGCCACGCTCTCCAACCTGGACAAGCACGCAGGCTCTGTTCCTGTTGGTCTCCACAGTGGCCGTGTCCAGAGCTGTGAATCTGTTTAAAATCTTTGGGTCCTTGGGTGCATTCTTGTTCCTCGTGCGGCCTCGTGCCTCATGTCCAGGCACCTTTCCAGCCACTTCACCCCTCTACTTCAGTCCCTCCAAGAGCAGCTCACCCAGGGCTTCCATGCCTGCTCTCTCCATTGGACCCCACAGATCACCTTGTCATCTGCCTGACACCACTCGGTCTTCGAGTCCGACCTCTGGAAGCCTTCCCCGCAGCGTCCAGGCCAGCTGACTCCCTCACAGCCCTGGGCACAGCGATCCGGCTTTCTGCCTTGTTCCTTAACTGGATCCTCTCCTGGGTGCTCTCTAATATTGAGGGTGGGTAACTGAAATTCATAACACTTTCAGGAGGGGCAAAGCAGCGGGAGCCTAAGGGTTGAGAAAGTCCTGCTGCGAGAGCAACTGGCCTGTCCGGCGTCCTTTTCACAGTGCCGGGCATCCGACTACGGGCCGAAGGCCCGGTGCCAGGCAGATCAGCTCCTTCAAGGGTTTGGGCTGAAGAGTTGAGAGAGGACTGGAGGTCCCGGCTTCCACAGATGGATGTGAGGAATTCCGTTCCTGAGACCCAAACAATGTCCCTGGTAGGGGTGAAGGTCAGAAGGACACCAGTGTGGCCCACTGGGAGGAGAGCCTGCCTCGCGAATGGAACCTACCTCACTGGCCCTGCGCTCCTGGTGGAGTGATCCGTCATCTAAACCCGCCCCCCAGGAAAACGGGCCCCTGAGAGGAGCTGCCCCCGCACTTACAGAAGGTCTCCTGGCCCACGCGCACTTTGATCATGATCCACTCCATCGTTCCTCCCAGGACAAAAAAGAAGGGCAGGAACCTGTAGATACCGAGCCGCTGCTTCCCGGGCACCCGCTGCAGAACCCGCCTCACCTGGGCCCTGGAGAACATGCTCGACCGAGGTGCAAGGCCCGGGCGATGAGCAGCCACTGTCCGCCGGGTGCGGAGCGGAGGGAGCTCAGAGACGTCGCGTGGGCCCGGACACCGCTCTGCCAATCAGAGTGCGGCAGGGCGCGTGCATCGCCAATCAGAGTGCCGGGAGGTGCGCGTGCTCCGTGCAGCCGAGCTGCTGCTGCAGCAGCTGGCGCACGCGCCGCAGCTCTAGAGGCGGCTGGCCCAGGGGGCGGAGCCCTGGGGCCCTCCCACGTGGCGTCGGCCCGGCCCCGCCCCCGGTCTCCCGGGTGCAGGCGGTGGCTCCCGGTTGGTTGCGGTGCCCCCAACTCCGCCACCGCCATCTTTTTCCCTAATACTCCGTTGGAAGTGACGACCCTCTCTGATGGGCTGATGGTGCCGCGCCATCCTCTAAAATGCAGTCACGATGCCTGTGTTTCGGGAACGTGGTTGGCCACTAGGCTTCCCAAACAACAGAATTTGATATACATTGTCGAACACAACTTTATCACAGCAGGCGTTTCGTGACACACCTTAAAATTAATTAATGGAAGCTGTCTTTAATGGGGGCACATACCGTTACACAGGAACTAACAGATGCTTTTTGTTTTCTTTTCTGACGCAGAGAGACTGAAAAGGCAAGCTCCCCTGTGCTGGTTCACTTCCCAGATGCCCCCAGTGGCTGGGGCTGGGCAGAGCCAGGAATCCTGGATCACAACCCAGGTCTCCCAGGTGGTTGGCAGGGACCCAACCATGTGAGCCATCGCTGCAGTCTCCCAGAACCTGCATGAGCAGGAAATTGGAGTCAGGAGCCCGAGCTAGGTGTTGAACCCAGAGACTGGTGGGACGGGGCATTCTAATGGGCATTTGAATTAACAGGCTGGGCCGGCGCCGCGGCTCACTAGGCTAATCCTCCGCCTAGCGGCGCCGGCACACCGGGTTCTAGTCCCGGTCGGGGCGCCGGATTCTGTCCTGGTTGCCCCTCTTCCAGGCCAGCCCTCTGCTGTGGCCAGGGAGTGCAGTGGAGGATGGCCCAGGTGCTTGGGCCCTGCACCCCATGGGAGACCAGGAAAAGCACCTGACTCCTGGCTCCTGCCATCGGATCAGCGCGGTGCGCCGGCCGCAGCGCGCCGGCCGCGGCGGCCATTGGAGGGTGAACCAACGGCAAAGGAAGACCTTTCTCTCTGTCTCTCTCTCTCACTGTAATTCTGTCAAATAAATAAAAATCTTAAAAAAAAAAAAAAAAGGTTGCAGGGCTTCACCACAGATTTCTTGATTAAATGCCCACCCCATGCATGTCTCTTACTCACAGGAAAGCCAGATGGTTAAACACCATGGGCACTGTTGTCACATCACATCCCTACTCCCTTAGCTGTGCCAAATGTAGCTCTGAACCCACGCCCAGAAATATTAACTGCTCAACTAACATTAGCTATACCTAATGTCAATTACGATGATGACAGTGACTTACCGGGCCCTGGCCCTCACATAGGTAGTCAGATCTCAATATCCATGGGTTCCACATCCATGGACTCAAACCTGAGGCTGGAAAATATTCAAAAAAAAAAAAAAAAACAACACACATTGTATCTGCTGAACACAGACAGACTTTTTCCTTGTCAATAATCCCTAAACAATACAGTATGAGAACTTTTTTTTTTTTTTTTTGACAGGCAGAGTGGACACTGAGAGAGAGAGACAGAGAGAAAGGTCTTCCTTTGCCATTGGTTCACCCTCCAATAGCTGCCACGCTGGCGCGCTGCGGCCGGCGCACCGCGCTGATCCGATGGCAGGAGCCAGGAGCCAGGTGCTTCTCCTGGTCTCCCATGGGGTGCAGGGCCCAAGCACTTGGGCCATCCTCCAACTGACTCCCGGTTGTCAGCAGAAAGCTGGCCTGGAAGAGGGGCAACCAGGACAGAATCCGGCGCCCTGACCAGGACTAGAACCCCTTGTGGCGGCGCCGCTAGGTGGAGGATTAGCCTAGTGAGCCGCGGCGCCGGCTAAGAACTCTTTCCATAGGTTTACATTGTTTTAGGTACTGTAAGTAATCGGGAGGATTTAAGCTATGCGGGATGATAGGCATAGGTGGTATGAAATATTCTTGGACGGTCAAATTCTCAAACATGCTAGACAGAAGAGCGCTCTGACTCCGGACCCGACCCTTGCCATATTATTCATGCTGTATCACTGAGCCTATCCAGAAAGGGATAGTCACCTCACCCCCCCCCCCGGGGAGGGGGTTGAAAAAGCAAGTGGTGGGAACAGATTTGAGAAAGGAGAAACTAATGAAAGCCTAGCCCCGGTCAGAGGGCTTGGTGATGTGGACACAAACTATGGAAAACAAACCGGAGATGACAGAGTGCAGCCGGGGCAGGAGGACAGGTGGTGGGGCCGGGTCGTGGCATGGGGGGCTGAGCTGAGACCCTGGGCACAGCGAGCCGGCTTTCTGCCTTGTTCATTAACTGGATCCCTTCTCTGCAGGGAGACCCCTTCTCCTGCAGGTGGACTGCACCTGGGCACCCGCTTTCATTTCTCATGGTGGCTCCGGAACAGGTTCACCTACGGCCAGCTCACTAGGGCCCACCCTTTGGCCTCCAGCCTCACCAGCGTCTGGCCCAAGGGCGGGCACGGAAGGTCCTCAGCCGAGGTGTCGCGGAGCACTGGAAGTGTACGCACCCCTAAGCTCAGCGAGACCACCCCCGCAAAGGGCTTGTGTCCAGCTGGCTCGCTCGGCACGCGCAGGGCTTAAGAGGGCTGGGTGGGCCTCTCCGCAAGCTCAGAAAACGGAGTCGCGGTGAGAGGCAGGTGAGCGAGATTCTAGCAGGAAAGAGGACTTCGGTTGGAAAGTATGGCAGAAGGGGAGGCGGCAGCTCCAGAGGGGTCCTGCCCCTGGAAGCCAAGAAGTAGGCGGCCATTTGCAGCCGTCGGGTCCAAGCGGTCGCAGTGGCCCCGGGGCCCACGGTAGGCACCGCGGGGCAGAGGAGAGGCTGCCCCCACGGGCGTGGTCTCAGCCCGCCGGCTCCCGGAGCGCACGGGAAGAGCTCTTTTTTCTCCAGGTGAGTGAGTGGCGCGGCCTGGGTTCCGGCCTGCGGGCAGTCGCGGGGGCTGCACCGTCGCACAGGACCCTGGGCAGGAGAATGCGGGGACTGAGGGCCGGACCCCCGCGCCTGCAGGCGGAGGCGGAAGACCCCGGGGGACCGCGTTGACCCGTCACGCTCGTCCGTCCGGAGCCTCGCGGGGACTGCAGCCACTGCGCCCTCCGACTTCCAGCGCTGGGAGCAGAAGGAGCCGCCATCGCCGCCGTGACGACCGAAGGGGGGGCGCAGAGTCCCCGGCCGCGCTGGGCACCAGGGGGAGGGGGCCGGGAGCCCGCCCCGCCCCTCCCGGGGCCTCCCGCCCCCCGGGCCGAGCGCCGCTCCCATTGGACGGCCGGCTTCGGCGCCCCTAGCCCATTGGCCGGCCGCCGTGAGGAGCACGCGGCCACCGTGGCGGGCGCGCAGTCGGAGGGCCGCGGGCTGGCCGGCGGGCCGAGGGCGGCGCGGGCGGCCGGGGGCCATGGCGGGTGCAGGGCTGCGGGCGGCCGCTCGGCGCTGGCTGCTGTGCGGAGGCCAGGGCGGGCCGCGCGCCGCCTCGTCCTCGCCGTCCTGCCCGGGTTGCGGCCCGCCGGGCCCCGGCGCCCACTGCCCCGGCGCTCCGCGCTCTGCGCCCACCCCGACGCCCGCCGGCGGCGCGGAGCTGAGCACACACCTGTGGGCTCGTTACCAGGACATGCGGCGGCTGGTGCACGGTGGGTGAGCCCCGCGGCCCTTGCGGCCGACGGGCTGGGCGCCGCTTCTGGGAGGAAGTGCCCGGTTGGTCCGCTAGAGCCCGAGAGCCGGGGTTCTTTTTGGGAGAGGCGCCGGTGGCTCGTCCCGGGGGCCTCTGGGGCTTCCCGAGTCTCCACCCAGAGCCCCGACGCCCGGGGGCGAGTGGGAGGTTTGTGCCTGGACTGGGTCTGCGGGAGCTGGGCAGCTGGAGCGGCCACCGGAGAGCGGGGTCTGGCTGCGCGGAAACTCTCCCAGCCCCTTGTTCTCCGCCCGCCGCAGTCAGGGTGGGAGTGCCGAGGACAAAGCCTGCGCGGCGCTGGCCGGAGTGGGCTCCCGGGGGTCCGGCGCGCTCCCAGTCCGGAGCGAAGGCATTGGAAAATCAAGAGCAAGCCTCGCACTCCCGGGGATCCGAAGGGCTGCACAGGGCGCTTCACCCCCTCCGTCGGCCTCTCAGTCCCCCTGGCCAAAGGGGTCCATGTCCACAGCCCGGGCGGGTGCGGGCTAGGCCCTGGCCCTCCGTGAGCCTTGCCCTTTTGGGAGCTCGGTGTCCTCAGGGCTGCTATTGTCACGGGGTTGTGGGTTGTGGCGGTGACTCGGGAAGAACCCAGTGAGGAGGGTCAGGGGAGCTTCCGGAGGGTATTGTCTGTTAAGACAAAGTGGCCTGGTCTGGAAGGTTCCAGCCGACTGGACAGGGGCTTCCACTCCTGCTGCAGAAGTCTGGAAGTGGAGGGTGGCCCCCCGCTCGCCCCCTGAGCAGGTGACGGCAGAGTGGCTTTTGAAGCTTCTGGGGTTGAATTTGTTTCCTTGCAGGGGCAGGTGTGTGGTGGTAAGGAGATGTCTTTGCTTTGAGCCTGGAAAGGCTGAATGGCCTGGGAGCTCTGCCCTGGGGCGTGGGAGGGTGGGCTCGGGGGTCTAGAGACATTGGCCTTCAGTGCCCCTCACTGAACTCCCAAGGGTGCAAGGGGCAAGCTTGTATCCACCAGGATGCCATGGTGAGCCCCAGAGTGGGCCAACTCCATGGCTCTGGGCCCTGGCCCTGCCCTCCTGGCTGGGGTGTGGGGAGCGGTGGGGGGGAGTTCCTAAGGTTTTACTGGGGAGCTTGGGCTCAGGACAGACTCCATCCTGTCCTGAGAGCAGAGGGGCAGGACTGAGACTCCCCCCGCGCGCCCCGTCCAGTCTGGCCTTCAGGTGGTGCCGTCAGGAGGTGGAGGGGCAGGTTTTAGGGCAGGTGCTCCATTGCCCACTGTTGGGAGACCTCCCTGGGTCTCTGGACCATGGAGAAATAAGTGTGGCGGCCTCCGAGTTAGGAGTGAGGATTGACCGAGACGGGCTTCCACGGGGGCCCCAGAACTGGGACTTGGAGGCTTGACTGGGAGAGAGGAGCGTAGGGGCTGGACTGGACGCTGCGGCCAGGAAACCAGGCAGGCAGGCTAGTGTTGGTGAGGACACATCCCTGCGGATTCTGCGCGCCCCACAGCCTTGTGGAGGGGAGAGGGGGCCGTGGTCTTCCCTGTCCAGAAATGAGGTCAAGAGGCCAGGCCCATGGACGGCTTCCCCATCCTGCTGTTTCCCACTGCTGGGCCTCTGGGAACTCACTCCTGGCTTGAGAGCCATGTGCTGGCCAGGGGCTGCTGCCCACCCTCGAGGGCTCCCTCAAGACATCCAGAGTCAGAGTGGGCACCAGGGCGAGGCCCAGTGTCCGAAGGGCACCTGCAGGGCGGCAGTGGGCTGTGGCCCCCATCAGCCAGGCCGAGCGCGTCCTGTCCGCACCCACAGATCTGCAGAGCAGCCACTCTGCTGTCCTGGGGCCGCCAGAGGAACCAGCCACACCTGTTCCCACACCCACAGCCTGCGCTCCAGCAAAGTAGGTGGGGGCGGAGCCTTGTGTTCCAGTGCTCTGGGCCTGGGAGCGGGGCAGCTGCTTGGCCTGCTGTGGGGCCAGGGCTTCTGCTTTGCCCTCAGGACTGGGGCCCTGGGAAGCAGTACCCTGTGCACCTGGTCCTGGCTGCTCGCCTCCCATCGTGAGCTCTGCCTCTGGAGCTCAGTGGGTGTGTCCCCCACGTAATCCTGTGTGTGTGTACAGGCGCAGAGCAGGAAGGCTGCCCCAAATGGCTTGGTTCCAGTGTTTTCCCCCTTTTAGAGGCAAGGAAACAGCCCCGAGATCTGCGGTGCATTCCTAAAGGCACAGCCCATGCCCTTCCCATTGTATGCCTTTTCCCCATCCACCACCCCCATTGTACACGTAGGAAAACCAAGGCGGCTGAGCCCAGGGCCCTGGCGCCCACTCTGCCAGTGCTCTGCCCAGCCTCCCTGCGTGGGCCTTTGAGCCAACTGCAGCCGTTTAGGAGCCGTCAGGGGTGACCGTATCCCCAGAAGGGAGCAGCCTAAGCAACAGGCCCAGAACGCGACTACACACGTCTTGCTGGTCGTAATTAGCAATGTTCCCTGGCTAGAGCCAGAGAATGTCATTATGTGGGACTGGCGGGCAGCTGAAATCCGATTAGAGGGGACTTGCCCTGTGGACTGTGGCAGGTGCTCAGAGCCCGCAGCCTGTTTAGTGGGGTGCTGGGGACCAGCCCCAGCCCGAGGCAAGGGCAAAAGGCAGCGGGCACCTTGAAGAAGGCCTCAGCCCCCTGGGCTGGCCAGGACGGAGCCAGTACCTTCGAGGTCCGAACCCTCGGTCCCTCATAGCCGCCCCCAAGGAGGTTGGGAGGTGCAGCCCCGGGGCAGCTGAGAGAGAAGTGGGGGAGTTGTTCTGCCAGGCCGCGGCACTCCTGGTCAGGTTTTGAGCAAGGGGGACGATGCACACCGTAGTGTGCACAGAGCAGCTGTCCTGGGGCTGGACGGTGAGGGCAGAGCACCTGCCTAAGGCGCAGCACGTCTAGGGGGGGCGGCAGGCGAGGCCCCGCGGCAGCTCTGTGAGCCTGGGCAGGTGACTTGTCTCAGCCTCAGTTTGACTGCAGCAGCGTTGGGCCAGGAATTGCTTTGTAAAGCTTACAGGGCCAGGCACTGCCACAGCACCGTGACCGTCATCCCCCTCGCGTTGCCTCCTTGCCTGTCCTCCCTCTAGACCTCCTGCCCCCTGAGGTCTGCAGCCTCCTGAACCCTGCAGCCATCTACGCCAACAATGAGATCAGCCTGCGCGACGTCGAGGTCTACGGCTTCGACTACGACTACACGCTGGCCCAGTACGCGGACGCGCTGCACCCCGAGATCTTCAGTGCCGCTCGCGACATCCTGATCGAACAGTACAAGGTGAGGCTGGCCAGGCAGGGGCCCGGCGTGGCCTCAGCCCGGGGCTCATCAGCCTGCTGGATCCGTCCCCTGAGGTTGCCAGCAGCAGGGCCTGCGGGGGCGCTGGCTTAGGTCTGGCCCCCTTTCTTTGAACAGTACCCAGAGGGGATTCGGAAATATGACTATGACCCCAGCTTTGCCATCCGTGGCCTGCACTACGACATTCAGAAGGTGAGCGGCTGGGTGCTGACCCCCTGACCCCTCCCGCCTGGCCAAGGGGCACCTCCTGATGGGGCATACCCATGGCCGCAAGCTGTGGCTTCCTCCTGGTGTGAACGCGACTCCCTGGGTCCTTCCGGCTTGGCATGGGCCTGGAAGAGCCAGCCCAGGAGGAGCAGCAGAATGACCCCTAACGCCCTGTCCTCCAGAGCCTTCTGATGAAGATTGACGCCTTCCATTACGTGCAGCTGGGGACAGCCTACAGGTCAGCGCCCACTCTACCCTTTCCCTGCCCTTGCCTTGGGCTCGGGTCTCCTTGGGACTGATGGTGTCCGTGCCCCACCCAGGGGCCTCCAGCCCGTGCCAGATGAGGAGGTGATCGACCTGTACGGGGGCACCCAGCACATCCCCCTGTACCAGATGAGCGGCTTCTACGGCAAGGTACTCCCCTCCCCCCTCCCTCCCTGCCTGTGTCCCGGGGCCGGGGACAGGGGCAGGTGGCTGAGATGGTGGCCCCTCCCCAGGGCCCCTCCATCAAGCAGTTCATGGACATCTTCTCACTGCCGGAGATGGCCCTGCTGTCGTGCGTGGTGGACTACTTCCTGGGCCACGGCCTGGAGTTTGACCAAGCGCACCTGTACAAGGACGTGACGGTGAGGATGCTGGGACTGCCCCTGCACACTTGGGCTGGTGCGGTCCGGCCCCGTCTTCACCGTCCCCTGCTGCCCCCAGGATGCCATTCGTGACGTGCACGTGAAGGGCCTCATGTACCAGTGGATCGAGCGGGACATGGGTAAGTGGACAGGGACCCCGGGGCCTGCCTGGGCAAGGGGCAGAGGGTAGGGCCGGCCCTCACACATGTCCCCCCACCCCCGCCCCCCCATTAGAGAAGTACATCCTGAGAGGGGATGAGACGTTCGCCGTCCTGAGCCGCCTGGTGGCCCACGGGAAACAGCTGTTCCTCATCACCAACAGTCCCTTCAGCTTCGTGTGAGTCCAGCCCTGCTGAGGCCGGAGGGGTGGGCGGGGCCCGGGCCCTGGAGGCTGGGAGGCCCCCAGCGCCTGTGGAGCCCATCCCCCTGCCCACCTCTGCACAGGGACAAGGGGATGCGGCACATGGTGGGTCCCGACTGGCGCCAGCTCTTTGACGTGGTCATCGTCCAGGCGGACAAGCCCAGCTTCTTCACTGACCGGCGCAAGTACGGGCCGGGCGGGGCGGGGGCGGGGCAGCGCACCCTGAGGGTGGCACTGACCCTCGAGGCGGGCTTGGCCTTTGCTCACTGCCCCAGTGTGTGGGGTGAGGATTCCCTCTGCCTGTCTGCGGGTGGCCGCGTGGGCAGGTGGGCCTTGACAGAGCAGAGCAGGGGGACCTGGCTGGAGTGCTGCACTGTCTCACAGGCCTTTCAGAAAACTGGACGAGAAGGGCTCCCTGCAGTGGGACCGCATCACCGGCCTGGAGAAGGGCAAGATCTACCGGCAGGTGAGGGCCTTGTGGGGGCAGGGTGGGGACAGGCCCTGGCCGTGTCCAAAGGTTGGCCTCTGACGCAAGCTGCCTGGGGGTGGACTGCAGCTTTCCATCTCGGTGGCGGTAAGGGCCGTCAGACCCAGTCGCCCGGCCTCCCTCTGCCTTGTTTGTCTGATGTGGGCCTGGGCTGCAAACCCCTTAGTCAGCCAGTGCCCAAAGGCATGGCTGGGGCCTCCGAGCTGGGCCACTGGGGACAGCTCCCAGGGCTCTGGGGAGACTCCCTCTTCCTGTCTGGCTGGTGGATTGGGTGCCCGTGTGCAGGCGGTGATGAAGGTATTTAGCCCTGGCTGGAATGCCTAAGTCCCTGCTGAGCTGGGGTGATTAGGTGTGGGGGTTCGGGGGGCCTGAGCGCAGGCCTGGCTGGCCAGTGCTGTCCCCAGCTCTGCAGCCTTCACGTGCAGGCTCAGCCGTGTTCCTTGTCCTCCAAGGGTGAGGCCAGGGAGGGTCACACACCAGTGTGGGAAGTGGACAGCTCTATGCCCCCACTGCGGGTGGGGGATCCTGCTTGGTCCGCGCAAGTCCCCCTCTCCCTCTGCCGCCTTTCCAGCTCCTGCCCCTTGAGGGCCTCTCCCTTGGTCCAGGGGGTGCAGCCGCCTGCCCCCCAGCCTCTCAGCCCCGTGTCCCTGTGCCCTGGGGGCTGGGCCTTGCTGGGTTGTCCCTTGCCTGGCCTCTCTGCTCTATGGCTGTCCCCGTTGGGTCAGGCCCAGCTGAGGGTCTGTCAGTGTGTAGGTTGGGAGCAGAAGCACCAGGGGGCTTCCCCGTGACCTCGGCGCTCGGCCCGCTGGGTCTCTGGGGGCTGAGCTGGGGCGGCCAGCCAGGACTGGAGGGCCCGGGGCCTGCCCTCGGGTTTGTTTCTCACAAACAGGGACTCAGTCCCTAGCTGAGGGTGTGGGACTGAGGCCACCAGGAGGCCTCGAGGCATGGGGTGGCCACGCCAGCCGCTGGCGAACTCCCTGCCCCAGGCAGTCCCCCCTTCCCAGGAGGGAGCGGACAGCAGGGCCGCGGGAAAGGGCAGCCCGGCCTCCGGCGGGGGGGCCAGAGCCAGGCGTACATGGTCCCCCCCTCTCCCCAGGGAAACTTGTTCGACTTCCTGCGCCTGACGGAGTGGCGTGGCCCCCGGGTACTCTACTTCGGAGACCACCTCTACAGTGACCTGGCGGTGAGGGGGCGGGGCAGGGGGCGGGAGGCGGTGCGCTCCCTGCCGGTGCTGAGCCGGGCCCGCCCCGCTGCTCCGCAGGACCTCATGCTGCGGCACGGCTGGCGCACGGGCGCCATCATCCCCGAGCTGGAGCGCGAGATCCGCATCATCAACACGGAGCAGTACATGCACTCGCTGACCTGGCAGCAGGCGCTCACGGGGCTGCTGGAGCGCATGCAGGTACCGGGCGGCCAGGGCTGGGGGCGGGGGGCAGGGGCCCCGCCTCCTGGTGCGTACCCCCACACCATGTCTTCCCCAGACCTATCAGGACGCCGAGTCCCGGCAGGTGCTGGCTACCTGGATGAAGGAGCGGCAGGAGCTGAGGTGAGAAGGGCGGGGCAGGGGCCGGGGCCCCGCCCCTCCTGAGCCCGCCCCTCCAGCAGCCCCTCTCCCTCCCTAGGTGCGTCACCAAGGCCCTGTTCAACGCCCAGTTTGGGAGCATCTTCCGCACCTTCCACAACCCCACCTACTTCTCCCGGCGCCTCGTGCGCTTCTCCGACCTCTACATGGCCTCGCTCAGCTGCCTGCTCAACTACCGCGTGGACTTCACCTTCTACCCGCGCCGCACGCCGCTGCAGCACGAGGCCCCGCTCTGGATGGACCAGCTGTGCACGGGCTGCATGAAGACGCCCTTCCTCGGCGACATGGCCCACATCCGCTGAAGGCACCTTTATTGTCCGGGGCCGGCCCCCCGCCCCTCCTGCCCCGCCTCTGGCCTCCGTCCCGACAAGCAATAAAAGCCGTCTCCCTCGGGCACAGGGCGTCCGCTTCGGCACAGTCCGTCACTCGACAGCGAGGATCCTCTGCGTGTCGGGGAAGTCGTCGTCCAGGAGCGAGTCCTGGGGAGGGGAACACCCTCTGTAGCCAGGCCTGGGGGCCCGCGGCCGTACCCGAGCCCCATCCCCGTACTCACAAGGGGCTCACAGAAGGCGTCGTGGCTGCCGAACACTGGGTTAGGGACAGAAACCAGGGTTGGGCTGGGTGCTTGTTGCCACGGGGAGAAGTCGTCGTTAGCATCGTCTTCCGCCTGGCGGCAGCAGAGAAATGAGCACTGCAGGCCACAGGGGAGGGGGGGGTTGGAGGTCCCTAGCCCCCTGCTGCCACCGCCCCTACCTGGAAGGTGGAGAAGCCAAAGCCTGTGGGTTTGCCGCAGGTACGGATGTAGAGGGCTCCGGCCACCAGGCCCAGCAGTGTTCCAGCCGCTACCACGGCTCCCACACCTGCTGCCACGGGAGAGGCCCGTGGCGCCAGCACGGCCCGCTGCAAGTAAGCCTCGTGTCAAGGACTGGCAGGGCTGTCCCCGCACCCCTCCCCCCACTGCCTCCAACTCACGGCCTGGGGCGGTGCCAGCAGGGGGCTGGCCAGAGTGTGGATGATGCCGTTGGCAGCTAGCATGTCCCACACAATGACACGGCTAACCACAACTGCCCCAGGGGCCTGCAGGTGGAGCACAGGGAGGGCAGGCAGGTGAGTGAGGGCCCAAGCCAGCAGTACGGGGGAGGGGGCATGGCCACACTCACCGCAGCAGCCATGGAGCTGTTGCCGGGCCCCCCGGCACTGATGAGGAGGCTGAGGCCCGAGTGCGCGGGGAGCAAGGTGCCCCAGCTGGCGTTGGCGCTCAGGAAGGTGGTGTTGGAGGCATGCAGCTCCAGGTCGGGCCCACTCAGCGTCTGTGGGCAGACAGCGTGGGGCCCAGGCCTGGCCCGGGGCACCCCGTGCCCCTGCCCCTGCCCCTGCCGCTTACCATGTTGTCCATGAAGCCTTCGTTGACGGGGACGAAGAGTGTCTTGTAGGGGAGCTCCTCTTGCAGGAAGCTCAGGAAGTCGAGACCCCGCTGGGTGGCGTTAGCATAGGCCAGCAGCATCTGGGAGGGCAGCCGTTCAGGGCTGGGGCAGGCTCAATCCCCGGCAGCCCCAGCCACCCAAGCCCTGCCCCACACACCCCATAGAAGGTAGAGAAGTTGGCCGTGGCAGCCAGGACGTCAAGGAGCTTCCCGTTGCACGTGTCAACCCCGTCGCCCACGAAGCCGTCTCGGCAGCGGCAGGCCACATCTGCAGGAGAGGCAGCTCGGTGGGTGGGTGCCTCTGGAGAGCCGAGGAGCAGGGCAGGCGGGGGCGCACGCACCTTGTGCGCGGTAGCAGTAGGCATCCCAGCGCTCCGAGAGGTTCTGGCGGGGACCCAGGCTGACCGGACCGTCACCGCAGTTGGCCGCAGGGTGGGCAGTGGAGCCGTTGGCCACCCAGCCCACGAAGCACAGGTGGAAGCCCAGCTGGAGGGGGCAGGAGGGCATGCTGAGACCCAGGCCCGGCTCCAGGGGTCTCTCACTCAGTGTGGCTGCGGTGCTGGGCCCCATGTACCTGCTGGGCAGCAGAAAGCTGACGGAGGGAGGCCAGGACCGCGCCCTGGGCCTCGCACGCAGCTTTGGCCTCCGGGAAGGTCAGGCCGTAAGGACCACGCGGCGCTTGGAGGTGGAAGACGCCAGCCCGTTGCTCTGCAGGAAACAAGGGTAGGGGGTCAGCTCCCTGCACCAAGCCATGAAGCAGGGTGCTGGGAGCAGGGGGCAGCACACCCTGGAAGTGCAGGTCGGTGCACGTGGCCTCCATGTGGCAGGGCGGTGGCTGGCCCAGGCAGCGGTCCACGGGGGGCTCCGGTTCCGCCAGACACTGCAGCCCGTCGCCCACGTAGCCTGCGTGGCACTCACAGCGCCGTGTGTTCTGGGGAAGAGCGGTGTGTGTCCTCCACAGACTGTGCTCCCCCACCCACCCACCCACCCACCGCCCCGACTGCTCGGCCTGCCCGCTCACCGGGCCCGTGTACACGCAGTCGGCGTGCTCGCTACAGCCCCCGCCGCGGCCGTCTGCACAGGGGTTGCGGGGCCGGCAGCTCCAGCCGTCACCCTCGTAGTCGGGCAGGCAGGTGCAGGTGACTGCTGTGCCCACCTGGCTGCAGTTGGCGTGCTCGCTGCAGCCCCCATGCCTGTCCTGGCACAGGTCAACCACTGGGGGTAGAGAGGGAGTGGGTGGGCCAGGTAACGTGGGGGGAAGGGGACCCTCCCCCACCGTCTGCCTGTCCGCAGTCACCTGCTTACCTGTGCACACACGGCCGTCCCCCTCATAGCCCAGGCCGCACTCACAGCTGTTGCCCGCACGGCACGTGGCCTGGGGTGCGCAGGGTGGGGCGCACACGGGCCGCAGCTCTGTCCCGCAGGGAACGTGAACAGATAAGGGGCTGCCCTTCGGCCTCCACCCACCCTCATCCTGCGCGCGAGGTTGGGCAGGGGCTGGTGTACAAGCAAATGCCGAAGCCACTCACCCAGCTGCACCTCGCAGTGTGGCCCAGTCCAGCCTTCCTCACAGAAGCAGAAGCCAGAGCCCCCAAGGCCCTCGTCACAGCGGCCGTGGGGGGTGCAGCGGCAGGCTGGGGGAGGGCCAGGCCAGAGCTGAGGGTCAGTTCAGGGGCCGAGGGAACGGGGAGGGGGGAGCGGTGGAAGGCAGGGGCGGCCCACCTTGGCAATGGGCTCCGAAGGCACCGGGCACGCAGAGCTCGCAGGCTGTCCCCGCAAACCCCGGTCGGCACATACACCGTCCGCTGCCGTTCATGCCATCCAGGCACACACCGTGGTCGCTACAGGGGCTGCTAGGGCCACCAGGGCAAGCTAGGGGGTGGGTAAGAAGGGGCCAGGGGCTCTCTTCAGAACTGCCCCATCAATGCCCCCACACCCTAGGGCAGCCCCCCACGTCCCCACCCAGCTGGACCCCTCCAGGCCCCCATCCCGCCCCCCTGCTTCAAGCAGCCTTCTAGAAAAAGCTCACTACCCAGACCTCCCCAGCACCCCGTACCCTTTCTAAGGACAAGAGCCTGGGCTGTCTTGGGGGCTCGGGCAGTGTCTGCGGCCTCAGGATGCCCACCTTGGCACTCGCTGCCATAGTGACCAGGGCAGCAGCTGGGGATCCAGGCGGTGGTGACACAGTTGCGGTGGCAGCCCCTGCCCAGGCTGTGGGGCTGGCCCCATATTCTGGGCGGCAACAAAGAGGTGTGTAGTGCCAGGGAGCGCAGTGTAGGTGTGGTCCAGTACTTGTAGTAGCGCCAGCAGGTCTCAGGGCTGCCCTGGGCCAGGACGAGTCGGGCCACACACAGCCTCAGCGCGGCGGGGCCTTGGCCCCGGGCCAGCCCCCACTCAGCCCCAGCCCCTTACCTGTTCCTGTGAGCCTCGAGGGCAGGGGGGCTCCAGCCCACAGATGCTGCAGATCTTCTGGAAGCATGGAGGCCAACACAGCAAGTCAGGTGCACGGACAGGACAGGGGGGCCCGGCCTCTGCCCACCCTATAGGGCCTCCCTCACCATTCTCAGTGGCCGGGTCTCAAAGCGGTCACAGCGCGCACCAAGGCCAGGGGGTTCCAGCAGCTGGTCGATACCATAGGCCAGGCCCCCCTCGAAGGGCAGGTGCCGCTGCACGATGCGGGCCTCGTCCTCACCCACCATGAGCTCGCCCTGCAGGGGAAGGGACGAGGTACACGGGGCTCACAGGGACACTGCCGCTCCCAAAGCCAGAGCGCCCCGCCTCCCTCATCCAAGCCGTCTCCCCAGACTCACAGGTCGGGTTTTGCTGCAGGAGAAGGAGATGGGGTTCCCGTGCATGGTTCGAAGCGGGCCCAGGTTGGGCAAGTCAGCTGCCAAGGCCTGAAGAGAGAGGCAACGACTGGAGCCAGGCAAGCAGGCAGACGGGAGGCAGTAGGGGCCCAGGGCTGCGATGCACCCACCTCCACATTGCGGATCACGTGACCCCGTAAAATGGCGGCCAGTTTGTCACGGTGGTCCTCGTGGTACAGCCAGGCCTGGCGGTCAGGGGGCAGGGCTCTGAGGGCAGCGTCTGTGGGCCACAGCATCGTGAGGGGCCTGTGGGACGCAGCTTGGAGCAGGGGCAGGAGGCCGGCCAGCTGGTGGGGAGAACAGGAGAAGCAGAGGCTGGGGCAGGGCCACAGGCAGTGGACACGGGCTGAGCGGCTGCAGTGGAAACTTAGCAACGATTTTCTGGGATGTTGCATTTACTGTGTTCCGGCTGCAGCTCATCAAAGGGAACTGAAACTGCAGAGGAGCGGGAGGGCTGCTCATGGGCACACCTGTCAGGTGCACAGGCACGCAGCACCCCCGTGTGCCCAGACATGGGCGTGGCCCATGCACACACACTCACGCTCGGACAGGCCCACAGGTGGGAGCAGTACCCTCACGAGGCGGCTGAAGGTCTTGTAGCCGAAGCTCTCGGCCGCGTCAGTGACGTTTCTCTGGAGAAAGGTACTCTTGAGTGGCGTCTGGCGGGAAGGCAGGAGCCCCGCCCCCCGGCCCGGGCGAGCACAGGTCCTACCTGCGGGTCCGGGGTGGTGCCAGGCTCCCAGTGCAGCGCCTCCGGCGGCAGCAGAACGCGGTCAATGAAGTGCAGGATACCGTTCACCGCCTGGTGGTCGCTGCTCACCACGCGCGCGAAGTCGTTCACGTATAGGCTGCCCTGGGAGGGCGGGAGGGCGGCACCCGGGCATGGGCGGGGCCCAAGGCTCAAGGAACCCCCCCCGGGGGGGGGCACGTGCACATTGTGGATGGGATGGGGCTGGGACTGGGCTCCTCTCCTTCCCCTGGCTGGGGAGAGGGGGAAGGGTCTCTAGGTGTGCAGGGGCACAGGTGGGGAGGAGGTGGAGCTCACCTCCCTCTCGCTGAAGCGCAGCGTGTGTCCCGAGAGCGCCGTGGCGTAGCCTTGGTCCAACAGCTCCTGGCTCTGCAGCTGCCGACAGCCGACCACGTGGTAGCGGAACACCAGCCGGCTTTGTGCGCGAATCCGGTCCAGCTCATTCTGCGGGGGAGTCATGAGCGTCATGGGGGCCAGAGTGCTGCCCCCAGGGTGCCCAGCCCTCCCCAGCCTCGCCGCCCGGGCTGCAAACCTGCGACAGGTTGGCCACTAGATCCGCGTGAGGCACGAAGATGGTGAAAGGCCCAGCACCTTTGAGTTCCTTGTACTCCTGGGCAGGGCCAACAGTGTGAGTGGGAGAGCAGCCGCCCGGGACCGGCTCGGGGCTTCCATGTTTCTCCCAGACAAAAGACTGGATTCTCAGAGACCAGACCAACCAACCCACTTAAGGGAATGGAAGGTGGAGGCCCAGAGAGGGGTGGTCACTTACCAGGAGGTGGAGGCTGAAGAACGAGGCATGCCTGTCCCGAAGGAGCTCCTGGGGGAGCGAGGATCAGCTCAGATTTTGAGCAGCCCCCATTCAGGGCCTGGTGCCTGTCCCAGCACCTGCAGCCCAAGGTCTGGCCAAGGCAGAGATGAGGAGAGGAAAGCCGGGTGGGGGAGGTCTGAGCTGGGGTCTGGACTGGTGCCAGGGATCCTAGCTCGTGTCAGGCCCAGCAAGACTCAGGGAGGAGGGTCACAGTCAGGGCCAGGATCAGATCTAGGATCTTTGCCGAGATCAGAGGTCAGGCCCGTGGGGCATAGCCCAGACCACGCCGGGGGTCAGGCTTGGGCATCATTACCAGGCTGACTCGGGCGCGGCAGGTGAAGCCATCACCCACGGTGTGGGTGGCGTCGCAGGTGCATGTCCTCTGGCCATCCCCTGTGCTTTTGCACACAGCGTAAGGGCTGCAGCCTCCATTGTGCTGGGGCAGGGACAGGAGAGCGGGCTATCAGTGGCTTCTAGGACATCAACCAGCCACGCAGAGAGACCAGGAAGGACCCTGCCCAACCTCCACAGCCCTGTTTCCAGCCCATCAGCCAGACATGGGGCAGCGGTGGGAGCTGGAGGGGGCTCCCGCCTCAGGCACCTCTCCTGTGAAATGGGGTGGGACGAGGGTCCTGACCTGGGAGCAGGGGTCCAGGAGCTCACAGGCGCGGATGCCATCCCCGCTGTAACCCTCACGGCAGCTGCAGGAGACCTGTTCCAAATCCCGGTAAGTGTGGCTGCTGGGGGCCCGGCACAAGAGGGCTATGCCGCCACCAGAGCTGCCTGCGACACCGACCTGCTGGGGGCCGGTGGGGATGCACTCGGCGTGAACGTGGCAGCCCCCGTTGTGGACCAGACAGTCGTTAACCTCTGTGGGAGAGACCCTGGCATGAGGGGTGGCCCTGACGGCCGTTGTGCACCTATCCGTGTCTGACCCCTCCCCTCTCGGCACCCCCAATCCCCACCTCTGTGCCCCTCCATCCTTGCTGCCTGCAAGGTGCCGTCCCACCTCCAGCCCCTACCCCCTGCACCCAGGTTTGGGGTCCCCGCCTCACCCTGGCAAAGCTCGCCGTCGCCCGTGTAGCCATCGTGACAGGTGCATGCCCGCTGCCCAGGTGCCACCTTGGTGCAGTTGGCGTGGGGGGAGCAGCCCCCATGGCCGTGGGCACAGGGGTCCACCTCTAGGGGTAGGTGGTCCCAGAAGGGCCAGCAGGGGGCAGGGTGGTACAGGGAAGAGGGCATGACAGGAAGGAGAACATAAGAAGGTGGGACCGGAGGTGGGGCAGCAATGGATGAGACATAGAGGGGGCGAGGGGTGTCTGTGGGGACAGCCCCCCCCCACTTCAGGGAGGGGCCCAGGGTGTGTGCGTGGCCGCACCTGAGCAGAAGGTGCCGTTGCCCGAGTATCCTGCGGCACAGACGCAGGCGGGGGCTCCAGCCGGGTCCCGGACGCAGCTGGGGGCAGAAGCAGCTCAGCCCGGCCCTCATGCCAGCCCCAGCCCCTCCCCCCTTGCCCACCTGCCCCCGCGGATGGGATCACTCACTTGGCGTTGGGGTCACACTCTTTGGGGCATTCAGAGTGGACGATTTCTGGAGGTGGGAGGAAGGCGCTGGTCACTCGGAGCCAGGAACCGCCTCCCCTGTGTGATCGCTTCCCCCTCCCCGCCTCGGCACCCACTCACTCTGCTCACAGCGGGGGCCCTGCCAGCCCACGTTACAGACACAGCTGCCGTCGCCTCGCAGCCCCTCCTGGCACAGCCCGTGGGCACAGTCGCACACTGGGGGAGGGACAGGAGGAAGGAGGTAGCCAGGGCTCCAGCCTGCTCCCCTCCCCCAGCTGCCCACCTCCCGGCCTCACCTCCAGTGCAGTTGGGCCCGTAGCGGCCCAGCTCGCACATCTCACAGGCCGTCCCGTGGAAGCCCTCCTGGCAGCGGCACTGCCCGTCGCCCAGCAGCCGGTCCTGACACTGCCCGTGGCCCGAGCACACGCCACCCTGGCCCCCGGGGCATGGCTCGCACAGCGTGCCAAAGTAGCCAGGGCAGCAGTCGGGCACCTGGGAGGCAGGCAGAGGCCAGGGCAGAGTCAGGACAGCAGTCAAGGTCAGGGGCAGGGGAAGCGGTCACCTCAGGGCTGCAAAGCAGCTGGGAACTGCAGCCCCGGGCAGACGGAGAAGGCGCAGCTGCAGGGACCCGGCTGGGACAGCTGAGAGAAGCAGAGCCGAGCCCAGCTGCTGGGCCCCCTTCCCCCTCTCCCCCTTCAGGGTCCCTGAGTGGGGACACAGGGACAAACCCTAGCCCTGGGACCGCAGACCTCTCCCCCCGCCCCCCTGCTTCCCTGACCTCCCCGGGGTCCCAGCCCTGCTTCTGCCATTGAAGCCAACCCCGGCTCCTCCGGCGGGCCCCCACCCCAGCCCCCTGCCCAGGGCCAACCTGGATCTTCTTGGCACAGGTATAGGAGCAGCCCCGGGAGAAGGACAAGCCAGATCTGTAGACGCAGCTCTTCCTGGGTGTGTTCTGGACACAGGGACAGGCAGAAGGGGTCAGCTAGCGTCGGGGGCAGCAGCAGTGAATGGGCACAGACAGACAGATGGACTGCAGGTGGCGGAGTGCATGAGACAGACTAGCAGAAGGGGAAGGGAGGGACCGAGGCCGACAGACTGATGAGAGGGGCGGGGCCCCGAGCCACCCAGGACAGCACTCCCAGCCTGATTCCAAGGTCAGGGCGGGCAGCAAGGGCAGAGCTGTGCTTGGCCCAGCCTCACCTGCAGCTGGAAGCCATGAGTGCAGCGGAACTTCCGGGTGCAGTTGATGCATTTCTCCTGGGGGAGGGAGGACAAGGCGGGTGGTCTCAGGGGGCGGCCCCCAAGCCCACAGCCCTTTCACCGGGGCAGGCTGACCAGAGGACCCTCCCTGCCAGCCGGGCCAACCAGCTGCTCCCAGCATCTCACCCGCAGGGCCTCGGCGTGACTGTGCATGCAGCGGCTGGAGCCCACCGTCAGGACCCCCGAGAGGCCAAACAGGGAGCGGCCAGGGGCCTCCAGCACGGGGCCTTCCAATGGCACGTGGTTCACTTCCGGCTGGGGAGGGGGACGGGAGGGGGCCGAGTCCACTCCCACCCTCACCCTGTGGGGGAGGGGTGCTTCATGGGAGGGGTCTCCCTGAGCCCACAGTTGGAGACGCTCAGGTGAGGACGCACCAAAGGGGAGGGGTCTTCCAGAGCAGGGTCCCCAGGGTAGGGTCTCCTTGCCCCTCAGACCTGGCCACTGTGGTTGTAGAAGACGAGCCAGTGGGCAGGGCCCAGGAGGGAGTTGCGGTGGCCCCCCTTCCGCAGGGCTTCCGGGGATAGCGCCTCGCCCAGGATCACATGGTGGCGTACTGTGTCGGCGTCCTGTGGGCCAGAATCAGCTCAGGGACTCCATGCCCTGCCCAGCATGTCATACCTGCGCCCCTTTGCTGTGGGAGGGGCAGCCGGCCCCCTGCTTCTTCACCCCACCCCCCACCCGCCCCTGCGCCGGTGGGCTCACCAGGCTGCTGCTGTTGCCCTGGGCCTCCAGGGAGCGGTTCGTGGGCACGAAGATGGTGTAGGCAGTGGCGGCCTCAATCTGGGACACCAACTTGTGGTGCTGGGGACAGGGACGAGGGCAGAGAAAGGGGTGGGCGTACAGGTCCTCAGTCCTCACACCGGGAGCTGGCCGGCCCTGCAGACCCGGGGGCGGGTGCCCCGGGGTGGGCAACACCCCCTCTTACCTGCAGCAGCGCCCGGAAGAGGTGGAAGGCAGGCACAGAGTCCAGCTGCTGCAGCACCCCTGGCCCGGCCTGCGCATCCCCTCGTGGAGGGACTAAGACCTGGCACGGCGAGGGAGGCACGGTTCACTCTGGCACTGCCTGGGCCCCCGCCCTCCCCCGCCCCCTCCCTCTCCCCCTCTCCCGGCCGTACCTGGCTGAGGATGTGAAGGACACCGTTGGTGGCCAGGAGATCAGCCACGTCCACGCTGGCGTTCTGCACCCACACCCTCTGCGAGGCGACAGGGAGAGCTCCGGTGGGCACGGACACGCACTCGCAGTGGCCTGGCCTGGCCCCCGACACACTCAGACTCGGGGCCGACCAGCCAGGCACACCGACCCGCCGCAGGGCCCGGACATGTGCGTGCACACAGACTCAGGGCAGACTGCCCCCGACAGGTGGAGGGAACCCCGATCTCACCCCGGGGGGCTGCGGTCTGGGGGAGCTGTGGCCACTTGAGCACCTCACATCCTCCCCTGCTCCTTCCCTGCCCAGAGCTCACCACGTACCCTGCCGACGTTGCGGATCTCCCACTGCGTGGTGGGGCTCAGGGTGGACACGTTCTGCCCAGCCAGCCGGGCCAGGTCCTCCTCGGAGAAGGTGCCCTGGAGAAAATGGGCCCTGGGGCGGGAGGGGAGGGGTGCTGGTACCATTTAGCAGGCGTCACAGAACCTGCGTAGGGTAACCTGCAGAGAACAGGCGGGCCGAGGGTGCAGGTCTCTTCCGGCCCCCCCCGGGAGCGGCTGCCCCACCTGACCAGGTCAGGCAGCCGCCTCGGCTGCAGCCAGAAGTCTCGCTCCTCGGGGCTCATCCTGCGGACGGCGTACTCCGAAGGCACGAGGGCCGTGACGCGGCTGTCAGCGGGCAGGGTGATGCCAGCACTCTGTGTGCACACAGTGGGTGGGGGCGGGAGCTACAGCAGGCAGCCCCCTGCGCCCAGCCTCTGGGAGGTTTTAGGCAGCACCCCTGCATCCTGGAGGCCTCCCGGATTGGGCCCCCACCCCCAGCATTCTACCCTCGTCCTACCTTGAACCATTCGTAGAAGACGGAGAAGTGGGCATTTGCCTCCAGCTCCTAAGGGGAGGGAAAAGGCTGAAGCCTTGGTTCTGAGGGGAAAACCAAACCTCCCCGCCCCCACCCAGGGCCCTGAGCACTGCCCCTTTCCCCCGAAGGACAGAGGAGGCCCCTCCCCAAGCACAGAGATAAACACTCAGCCAGCCCCATCACCCGCAAGATGTCTCCGTAGCAGCTGAAGCCGTCGCCTCCAAAGCCGGAGGGGCAGGTGCAGACCCGCTGGCCCCCTCCCACTGCCCGGCAGGTGGCCTGGGACAGAGACACAGGATCCATTCAGCACCCCGTGCCACCCTTCCTGTCTGCTCCCACTGTCCCCAAGCCTGCTGCTTCCTGGCCCTCCAACCACCGCGTCTTTGCTCTCAGGGCTGATTCCCCACAGCCAGCCCTTCTTGGAGGTCAGGAGCATTTGACTTGAGATTAATGGCATTTCCCCGCCCCCACGGCAGATGGACAAGGGGAAGCCCAGGGCGGAGGGAGGACCCAGGAGGCCTGAAATGAGAGGGGCGGAGCCAGGCAGGCCAGCCAGGGGCTGTAGGGGTATGAAACAGAGTAGGGCCAGGGGACAGGAGCTCCGGGGGCTTCAGGAATAGAGGAGAGAGGCTGGACAGGGGCTGGGGCTGGCTCAACCCTGTGGCCTCAATGAAGAGGCATGAAGACTATCTCCTGCAGCGAGGGATGTGGGGCCTTATAAAGATCCCAGTCCTGGTGGGAGAGACCGGGAACCCTGCAAGTCAGGCCCTCTCCCCAGGGCCCTGAGCACCCCCTCACCAGGTCGTGGCAGCCTCCATTGCCTGCTCGGCACGGGTCAATGGGGCTGCACTCGTAGCCGTCCCCAGCGAAGCCCAGCTTGCATGTGCACCGGCTCTGGAGAGGCGAGAACAGGGCGGCCTCACCTCGCCGCTCCGTGGCTCTTGCTGGCCACGGCTCCCTTGGAGATCTGTGCTCCAGAGGGGAGACGGAGGCCCTAGCAGGCGACCGCAGGTGGGACTCAGAATTCAACACATCTGTAGCAGACTCAGTTTTAAGTTGAGCATTCTGTAGGGCCGGCGGATGACGCTACAAGCAAGTGGCCCTAGGCAGGAAAGAGGTTCCCCCACCCAGTCTTGAGAGCAGACTGGCTCCTGGGCTGGGGCTGAGGGAGCTATTTGCACAGGCAGGGAAGCGGAGCCTCACCCACTCTCTGCCCCCGGCGCCCAACCCCCTCCTCAGGCTGCCGAGGCCATGGGTGCAGCGTGTGGGCGCGTGTCTGCCAAGACCAACCCTGGAGTCAGCAGCTCACACCCCACCTGCCCGCTGGCCACCCTGGACTGACCCCTCCCCTGGAAGGCCGGTGCCCTCGGGTTGGCCACGCTGCTGGTGAATGACCAGTGAGACCCCCACACCCTAGGGGCTCTTGTTTGCAAGGCTGGGGGCACCTCAGCCCCAGTTCTGCATCCTAGCCCCAGGCGCTGGCAGCCAGGAGGCCGTGATGGTGTGGGGAGCCCTGCACAGGCCTGGGCAAGGCAGAAGCTGATCCTGCACAAGCAGCTGGCACAGCAGGGGTCTTTCAGCGCCTCTCAGGACCCCCGCTCGCCAGGCCTGATGCTTTCACTTGGGTTCCCAGATCCTGTGTGACAAATCTGAGGCTGCCAAGTTCCACCCTGCCACTCAGCAAGGGCTTGCGATGCTACCACTGTGAGCAGCGCTCTCTTCCTGTTTGGCTCCCAAAGTCTAAGGCAGGGACCGGCACGCACCGGGTGTCCCGTCACATGCAGGGAGCCTAGGGGTGCACGAGCGAAGCCTGAGCATCCTGCTGCAGCTCAGAACCGGCGCCTCATTTGCATCAGAGGCTCTAGATGGAGCTGTTGGAGTGGGGGCGTCCCTGGGGTCAGCAGGGGCAGGGCAGAGACCCCAGCACGGAGGCGTGCACCTGTGCCGCCCCCGGCTCTGCGGTGCCTCACCTGCCCAGGCCCCACGTAGCTGCAGAGCGCGTCACGGTGGCAGCCGCCACGAGCATCCAGCTCACACTCGTCGATGGCCACGCACACACGGCCATCCCCGCTCCAGCCTTTGTGGCATGTGCAATTGTAGGTGCCCAGGGCCCCAGGGACACACTCGGCCTGCGAGAGCCACAGCCGAATGAGTCGGGGATGCAGGGCAGAGGGCCAGGGAGCCCCCCTCCTGCCCCGGGATCGCCAAGCAACTGACGTTTTCTGAGCAGCCTCCGCGGTCCGGGCGGGAGCAGGGGCTGCTGCGTGTGCAGGAGTAGCCGTCGCCCTCGAAGCCATCGAGACAGACGCATCTGGGGATGCAGAAGAAAGGGGCTGAGCGTCCGCTCAAGCACAAGGTCACAGGCGGGGCCGGGGAGTGGCGCGAGTCCTCACCTGGCCTCACCCCCCTGGCGGACGCAGCGGGCGTGCAGGTGGCACTGCTGGGCCAGCCCCGTGGGCCCGCAGTCCCCCGTGGACTCATTGCAGAAGCGGCCGCTGAAGCCAGGGGCACACGTGCCGTGCTGGCACACCCCTCCGCTGCCCGGACGGTTGTCACACAGACCATGGACGCAGCCGCAGTCTGCACGGAGGGGATGGGAGAGGGAACAGGCCAACTGAGGCAGGAGGCAGGAGGCAGGAGGCAGGGCTGGCTGAGAGCCAGGATAGGTTTGGAAGGGAGCGGTGCTGGGAACGGGTAGCCAGCATAGTGTTGACCTCAGGGTCACACAACCAGAGAGCATTCCAGAGTCTGGACAGGGGGACGAAATATGTGTGTGTGGGGGGGGGCATTCTGAGCTCAGTTGCCCCATTCCAGCTGCCCTTCCCCCAACACCACCATCAGGAAGTTCTCCAGGGTGTCTGACCTCAAGCCTGCTTTAGACCACACCATAGTTCTCTTCCTGGCTTGGGTGAAGACAACACGTATGTCTCCCTCCACTGCCCGTGGCCTTCATCCCTCTTCCTAGGGAGCTGTTCCCCTCTGGGGAGCGCCCAGGGCCTTTCTGGGAGGACACATGTCCCCAGAGGCGGCCTGGGCTGCAGTCACCCACCTTCCTGGCACTGGTCTCCGTGCTTGTTTGGGTTGGAGCAGATGTGGCAGGCGATGCCCTTGTAGTCTGGGAAGCAGAGGCAGGCCCCGTTGCCATGGATCCCATCGCTGCACTGGGGGTGCATAGAAGGTTCAGTCACGGCAAAGGGCTCTGCACGCCCTGCCCCGCACACACCCGCCCTGAGCCGGTCGGCTCTCGGCTTCTGCTCCCCGAACGCCTCACCCTTCTAAGGGAGTTTTGTTTTGTTTCTAGGACTTATTTATTGGGGCTGGTGCTGTGGCATAGTGGGTAAAGCTGCCATCTGCAGTGCCGGCATCCCCTACGGGTACCAATTTGAGTTCTGGCTGCTCCACTTCCGATCCAGCTCCCTACTAATATGCCTGGGAAAGCAGTGGAGGATGGCCCAAGTGCTTGGGCCCCTGCACCTGCGTGGGAGACCTGAAAGAAACTCCTGGCTCCTGGCTTCCAATTGGCCTAGATTTGGCCATTGCAGCCATTTGGGGAGTAAACCAGTGGATGGAAGCCTTTCTCTCTCTCTCTCTCTCTCTCTTTGCCTCTGTATAACTCTGCCTTTCAAATAATAAATAAATCTCTTTTTTTGAAGATTTATTTGAAAGGCAGAGTGACAGAGACAAAGATTCCATCAGTTGGTTCCCTCACCAAATGGCCACAACAGCTGAGCCTGGGCCAGGCTGAAGCCAGGAGCTTCTTTCCAGGTCTCCCACGTGGGTGCAGGGGCCCAAGCACTTGGGCCATCCTCCACTGCTTTCCCAAGTGTGTTAACAGGGAGCTGGATCAGAAGAAGAGCAGTGGGGGACATGAATTGGCGCCCTTCTGGGCTGCTGGCATGACAGGTGGCAAGGGGGCAGCTTATCCCAATACACCACAGCGTCAGCACCTAAAGGCACCTTTCAACTCACTGACACTGCCAGAGAACTAGCCCCCTAAAGGTAGCCGGCCCTGCGGGGTTTACGGATGACTTCTGCCTGCTCTACAGAGACAGACTCCTACCTTCTTCCATCACCAGATGCCAAAGCAACCCTGATAGTACAAGGCGGCAAAAACAGAACACCCAAGACAACTACTGGCCAAGAGCATTTTTGAAAACAGATGCAAAAATCTACCCGTCCATTGTACCTAATTAACATACTGCAAATAAGTTGGCCCAACGTCCATCAGCAAGGCCAGAGAGAGGCGGCGAGGCTCTGACACAGGCCCAGCCGTCCCCCAGCCTGCTCGGTGGGAGCCCCCCACCCCGCCACGTGACTCACGTTGCCTTTGCCGTAGCAGGGGTTGGAGAAGCCTCCAGGACACTGGGTGCAGTCAGGCCCAAAAAACCCTTTGCAGCAGCCGAGTTTCTGTAAGAGAGTGTCCGAGGTCCAGGTCCAGCCAGGGTCTTGCCCCCACCCTGCTGCTGCCACTCCCTGGCCCCCACCTCTAGAGGAAGGAGCGGGGGAGGTCCTGCTCCAGCACCAAGCGGCAGCACAGCGCCCCGCCCCGCCCCGGGGCTGCAGGGAGTGGTCACTCAGCCCGGGCTCACCGTGATGGTCTGGTTGCAGTGGTGGGCACAGCCCTTCCTCATCACATTGAGCCCAGTAGGGTCGTGGGTGTAGACGCACTCCTTGGGCAGCATGTCCTGGGCCGGGTTGAGCCAACCAGTTCGCAGGGCTGCATCCTGGGCCAGCCCCTTTGCCAAGTGGCCTTGGCGGAGGAAGCTCAGCCCCTCTCTGGGCCCAGCCCACCCCTCAGGGAGACACTGAGTCTCCCGGCCTGGCCCTGGCCACCACCACCCCCCCCCCCCCCGCTGCGACCTGGGGCGGAAACCTCAGCAGGCAGTTGTGAGTGGGGGCCCAGCGGCCAGGCCGCAGGGTGCTCACCAGCCTCACGCTGTTGGGGGGGCACGTGCTGGTGTTCAGAGCGTGGCAATCCACACAGGAGCCCTGGGCAGGCCGGGGGGCGGGCAGAGAGGAGAGGGGAACGGGGTTAGTCGCTGTGTATTTGTTCAGTAAATTCTGAGAACACGACACTGAGTCGGAGCCAACCACAGGAAGGCCAGGGGAGAGCATTCCGGGCAAAGAAAAGAGCAAAGGCCAAGGCTTGGCAGAGCGAAGCGTGAGGCGGCTTTGGACAACCTGCAGGGCGGTCAGGCGCAGGTCCCCAGCGAGTGACAGCGCCTCTGAGGAGGGCCAGGCCCATCGCGGATGCATCGGGCAGGGGTGACCCCTGCCAGGGCTCTCACTGGGACTGCAGAGGCCCAGGCAGGGGGCAGGCCAGGACCGTTGGAGCTGAGGCTGGGCCTGAGCCCCCAGTGGGCCACGTGCTGACTCGGTGCCCACTGTGGTCTCAATGTGCTTTGTTTCCACCAAGGGTCATTGAAGCGCGATCCCCAGTATTGCAGTGGCCTTTGGGGTCCCGGGGGCTGCACCTCACGGCAGGGACAATGTAGTTTCCAGGAGAGTGGCAGAGTTACCCGGAGAACGAGCTGAGAGTGGTTTGGCCCGCCTGGCACTCCGTCTCGTCTCCGGCACGGCCCGCCGGCCCGCCACAGTGAGGCCCTCACCAGAAGCCGAGCAGGTGCTCTCGGACTTCCGGAACCGCCAGCCAAGATCAGTCTCCTTCCCGAGAAACTACCCAGGGCAGGGACCACGAGCAGGTAAGGTGGGAGCCGTGGCCTGCAGGCGCCGGTGCTCACCGCCACGACCTTGTGCTGCTCCTCGTTGCAATGCTTGGGGAGGATGGGCAGGATGGTGGGCGGCAGCAGGACGCCCTCCAGCAGGTGGATCACACCGTTGGCCGCCAGCACGTCCACTCTCCGCAGCGGGACCCCCTCGGGCCCCAGCAGGATGCGCCCCTGCGGCACAGGCCCCATGTGCACCTCCCCCAGCCCAGCCCCGGCCGCCCACCTGCAGGGCCTCGTGGCTCAGCGCACAGTTCAAAGCCCAGCCTGCTGTGCCCACCTCGTGTCCCTCTGCTCTGTCCCAGCCCTTACCCCACATGGCTCACCCTCCACCTCCCGGGAGCCCTCCGCCCCACTGCACCCACAGAGAAGAGTTTGGCCTGAGTCTGCTCCCCCCACCCACCCGTGAATCCCGCCAGGGCCAGCAGAGTATCCTGCCCGCCACGGGCCCGCAGCCCCAGGCAGGTCTGAAAGAGGCCGGGCCCTTCATCATGGCTGCTCTTGGCTCTCACCTGCGCAGAGATGTTCACAGCCAGCACCTGGTTTGCCATGGTGAGGATGCGGCCCTTGGAGATAAGCTTGTCCACGGTCAGCTGGGGCAAGGCGGGGTGGCTTCAGGCTGGGCACTGGCTGCACCCTGCCAGGTGCCTCACAACTCCCCCTCCTCTGTGCTCTGGGAAGCCAGATGGGAGGGAGCAGGAAGGGGAGGAAGGGACCCCGGGAGGATCAGAGCCCACGTCAGCCCCGCGGCCGTGCGAGGGCCTCCTACCTGGCCGTGGCTGAAGATGTGGTGCCTCACCAGCTCCTGCAGCTTGGAAACACCCTGGGAGGGAGGGGAGGGTTTGGCTCCCGGAGGCCCCAGTGCCCCCAAACCCACAGCCCTTCCCCCAGGCCCGACTTACGGCAGTGAAGAGGTAAATCAGGCGGCCGTCGCGCAGGCCATCCACGGCCTCATTGCTGGGGGCGAAGACAGTGAAGGGCCCAGGGCCGTCGAGGATGGAAGGCAGCCCGCAGTTCTGCGCGGTGAGAGGAAGGCTCGGGGGGCGGAGCCCTGCCTAGGCCCTGCCCCGCCCAGGCCCAGAACTCCCACCGTAAGAGGACACAGGCCACCGGGTCCCTGCGACCCCAGAACCCCAGGTCACCGTGTGGCAGACCTACAGTCAGGAGTCCTGGCACAGAGACCCAGTGGGCTGGGCCCGTCCCCGGCTCACCTCCAGGATGGTCTGGAAGCGGCTGAAGACCTCGTTGGAAGCCAGGATCCGCTCAATGGTCCTCTGCGGGGAGAGAGGGGCGTGAGGAGAGAGAGGCTGCGCGCCCCCCACCTCCCCGCTTCCGTGCAGGTCAGAGTTCACCCAGCGGCAGGGGGCGTGAGGGGAGGGTGCTGGCTCACCTCGGGGTCTGCAGTGAGCCCAGCGGGGGGCTGCCAGCGCAGGGCACTGACCACGTGGAAGACGCCATTGGCAGCCACGTAGTTGGCCTGTTCCACGCTGACCGTCTGCTGGGGCTGGTCGCTGTACTTGTAGGAGAACCTCTGCCAAGATGCCAGGTGTCTGTCACCCCCACGGCAGCCCCCGCCCACTGCCACGCCCTCACCTTGTCTCCTGGGTCCCTGCTTACCAAGCGGTTAGAGGTGAGGGTGATCTCCTGCCCGGCCAGCGTCCACCACCTCTGCGTCTGTGAGGCCCGCACGTCCAGCAAGTGCTGCCCCGCGACGATGTGCTGTCTACAGAGCTGCTGGGCGAGGGAGGCCTGCGGCACGCGGTGACAAGAGCGCCACTCAGCCGTCAGCCGGCCAGCGCCGCAGGGGACCAAGTGCCACCAGGCCTCTGCTCCCCGGGTGCACGAGGGAGACCCTCTCAGGGCCCTGAAGACCAGGGCGGAGGCAGGGGCCGGGACCCACTCAGCGACGGGGTGGGGCTCACGTTCATGGTCCTGGAGGCGAGGGAGGAGACCGACGGCACAAGCACAGTGAACGGGCCAGACGTGGTGAGGATCTCTCGACAGCCCTGCTCTGGGGGAGCAGGAGAGGGGGGCATCAGAAAGGACCCGGGGAGCCCCTCAGGCATCAGGCCTGGGTTTGGGGGCACTGAGGTGGAGCCTCGGGGTCAGGGGCCAGCCCCCAACCCCATTGCAGCCCAGTTTCTGTTTAGAGCTCTCTCAAAGGGAGTTGGGAGTCTTGGCAGAGGTGCCCCCCCGCCCCTGCCAGTGGGGTCGGGGGCTGGGGCCAGGGCCCGGGCCGGCGGCGGCCGTCACACACCCAGCATGCTGATGGCCACTTGAAGCTGCAGGAACATTGCACTCGTCCGCCTGGCCTTCTGCACCTCGTGGAGCAGGTTTCCGTAGCAGGCGCGCCCATCCCCTACCTCGCCTTCCTTGCACACACAGCTGGGGGCCAGGGAGAAGCGGTCAGGGCAGGGGACACGGCCGATACCCCGCCCCTCCCTCAGGGCCCCTGAGCCCGGCCCACCCCCTCTGCTCTGCCCCGGGGCCCCCCTGAGGCCTCTGTGCCTACCTGAGCTTCCCATTGGGGGTCACCTGGCAGGTGGCCGACTTGTCACAAGTGCTGGGATAGCAGATGGCAGCGCAGCCAGCGGACGTGTTGTGCCTGATGCTGGACAGGCCTTGCAGACAGGAGCAGACAGCCTGGCCGGCGGCAGGGGCCAGAAGGGACAGCAGCACAATCGGTGAGAACCGTGGGCATCCGCTGCGCCCACCCAGCAGCCCTCCTGGGCCCCCACCACGGCCCTCCAGGGGCAGGGCTGCCATCCTCCCCGCATCCTACAAGGGGGCAGCCAAAGGGCCTGGGGCTTGCCGGGGTCCTGCCGCCGGCGTGGAAGCGGGGAGGGCGGCGGGGCCCTGGGGGGCGGGGACACGGACTCACCTTGCCTGGCTTCAGGTACACACACGAGGTGGAGTTCCTGGGGCAGCCCCCGGAGTTGGTGGTGCAGGGGTCCACGGGCAGACACACCGTCCCGTCCCCGGCGTAGTTCTCGGGACAGTCGCACTGAGCCTGCCCTGTGGGGCTCACCGAGCACCGGGCCAGCGGGGAGCAGGGAGACGGCTGGCAGGGGTCAGGCGCTGCCGGGGCGGAGGCACCCATGTGAGCGGGGCACCTGGGAGCCCTGCCTCCTGCACAGTCCAAGGGGGACTCGGGCTGGCCCCCGCCCTAGGGAGAGCCCCACCCACAGATGGCACCGGCTGTGCTGGTGGGGGGCCCTCCCAGCCCCCACCCTCGCCTCCAGCTGGAGGCCCCAGGCTCACCCAGGCATCCGCTGCCCTCCTGGGTGTGACCAGGCAGGCACCGGCAGGCGGGGGCCTCTGCAGAGCACTCGGAGTTCCGCGGGCACTGCAGAGCCCGGCAGGCGGGCACCTCTGTGCGGACAGGAGAGAGCTCCGTGAGCGCACGAACTCCCAGGCGGGGGGAGCACGGGGCAGAGGGGCTCCGGCTAATTTGCTGTGTGACTCTGACCACAGCCCTGCCCTCTCTGGGCCTCCGGTCAGTGGAGGTCCTGGATGACACCCTACCCCACCCCTCCCCAGGACCAGGCTGCAGGCAGAAGTCCCGCCCAGGACCCACCACTCCGGCTGCCCGTTGCCCCAGGCCAGCCTAGCAGCACTGCTCACCTTGGTCACAGCGGGGCCCACCGTATCCAGGAAAGCACTGGCAGCTGCCGTCCCCTCGCGGCCCATGCCTGCACACACCGTGCACACAGTTGCACTCTGGGGAGGACACACAGGGACAGGTGGAACACCAGCCTCATCCAGACACACACAAGGTTGTTGGGTCCTTGCCCTCTGTTTTTAGACCTCAGCTATGCAGCTGCAACCCCAGGAGTCCAGAGAAGGAAAGGGAAGGGGAATTCAAAGAGGGCTCCCTGGAGGAGACCGCTAAGAACAGCATGTGCAAAGGCCCCGGGGGTGTGACAAAAGCAAGCAGGCATCCCTGCAGGGGGTTGGCTGTGGGGACTGCACCCCTGGGGCCCTGGGACACCTTGGGCCTGTCTTCCCGGCTAGCAGGTACTCACTTGACAGGCAGTCAGGCCCAAAGCGATCGGTGTCTCGGCACTCCTGGCAGGCGGAGCCGCTGAAGTTCTCCTGGCAATGGATGCCCGAGTCAGCATGGCACCTCCAGGCCCCGTCCCCAACCCTGCGCGGCTCTCACCTGGCACACACAGGTCCCGTTGCCAGCTATGCCATCCAGACAGGTCCCACGGCCGTTACATGGGGTCTCGGCACCTCCAGGGCACTCTGTGGATCCCGCCCCCAGAACTCAGCTCTATTCCCTCAGCCCCACCCCAGGGCAGCCAGAGCCAGGGCAGTCGCTTGTTGCTGGGGGTGGCAGGCAGCTCCTGCAGGCAGGGAGCCCAGGGCCACCCGTCCCGCGGCACTGGAACCCGCCGTGGCCCAGGCAGCCCCGTACCATAGCACTGGGAGCCCCAGTAGCCGGGGCAGCAGGCCTTCTGCACCACATCTTTCCAGCACTCCAGGCTGCAGCCACTCAGGGACATCAGCGCATCCCCCAGCCGGACCTCGTAGCTGGGCAAGAGGGGGGACACGGTCCAGGAGGGGCTCCCACACTCAGCCCCGACGCTGCCTTCCATGGCTCCCGCCCCGCCTCCCCTCTCTGCCTGGCTCGGGGCTGAGCGCAGGGCCCCGCACACAGTAGGCACCCAGCACACCCCACTCTTCCTCCCTGGTCTCTGCTTCCCTGGGGACTCCAGTGGCACGCGCACACGACTCCTCGCCCTCAACCCCGCAGGCCTGTCGCCCCCTCCTCCGCCACCACGCCGCACGCCCCCGCACCGGCAGTCATGGAATATCTTCTCCGGGAAATGCTGAAGCCAGCCCCAGGGACACGCCTGCTTCTTGATGACAGCGCACGTGGTGCAGGGGACATGGGTGATGAACCTGGTCTTCACGTCACAGCGCTTGGACCGCACCTGAGCCAAGGGCAGGGCGTGGCATGAGGGTCCCGGACCGCGCACCCAGGCCGGGCACCCTCGGGCCTCGGTTCTCGGGTGAATGGGAATGCAGGACTCAGGGCAAGGCCTCAGGAACCCGCGGTGCCACCAGGCCGGCCCCAGGGGGGAACCCAGACATCTCGCCCCACCTCAGCCCCCATCAGGAGAGCAAAGTAGAAGCCAGGCCCGGTGGCCCTGCCCAGCCACCCAGCGATGATGCCAGGTGGGGAGCCACTCCTGCAGCCTCTTCCTGCTTTCCGTCTAAAAATCAGCAAGTAGGGCCGGTGCCGTGGCACAGTAGGCTGAGCCGCTGCCTGCAACCCTGCCATCCCGGATGGGTGCTGGTTCAAGTCCTGGCTGCCCACTTCTAATCCCGCTCCCTGCTAGCGCCCCTGGGAAAGCAGCAGATGATGGCCCAAGACCTTGGGCCCCTGCACCCATGTGGGAGACCTGGAAGAAGCTCTTGGCTTCTGCCTGGCCCAGCCCCAGTTGGTTGTGGCCATTTAAGGAGTGAACCAGTGGATAGAAGCTCGCTCTGACTCTTCCTTACACATAAATAAATCTTTGGAAAAACAAAGCGACCTGTCTGACATCATCCAAGAGCGCAGGGACTCGGCCCTCATTGTGGCACAGGTGGGGTGCACAGGGGGCCAGCCCTCCCCGCGTCACCAGCAGCCTCCACCTGTGTGGCTGTCTTGTGTCGCCCTTTAGCTGAGCTTGAAGCCCCGCCCTGCTGCCCACAGCTCCGAGGAGCCCCGGCCCCAGGGGCTGCGGCTGGAGCGAGCTCCTGCACACGAAGCCGTCTGGTCTGCAGCACTCGGCCGGAGCGGTCTGGGGGCACAGCCCCCACCCACAGGGTCCACAGGCCCAGCACCAGGGAACGGAGAGGCCCCAGGCGGCTTCCTGGAGGAAAGGGACAGCTGACTTGGGGTCTGAAGGCTGCTGGGGAGTTGTCAGAGGACTGCTCCCGGCTGAGGGCACACAGAGGTTACGGTGGGGAGCAGGAAGGCGCAAACACACACGTATGCCAGGCCGGGGCGGCCCCAGAGCGCAGCCTGCATTTGAAACGCGCCCCTGGTCGCTTCCTGGGAACGCAGGAGTGGTGGGGGTGGGTGGGGCAAGAGGCCAGCGCCTGAGGCTGCTGAGGCGGAGGTGGGGGTTGGGGGGGTTGGAAGTGAGAGTTGAGGGGGGTGGCATGCTTTGGGGTGAAACTCGGCTCCCAAGAAGGCATGGAATCTGGGAGGGGTCTGTTCTGCCACCATGACAGGGCCCAAGGGCCCAACAGCCCCCCTCTCTGGCTGGCCCAAGCCCCTGCAGTCTGGCGCTGGGGCAGTTATGGCAGCTAATGCCCAGTAGCCCGGAGCAGCACCCTGGGGGAGTAGGAGGAAGGGGCAGACGGGGCGGGGGGGCGTCCTGACGGAGGCGAGTTGTGGGGGCGTGGACAGCGGCTGCTGGAAGCCACGTGCGTCCACGCGGCCTTTTCCTAGAGCCAAGTGCAGATGTGAGGATGCTGCGAGGGGGGCACAGGAGAAGTGGTGGCCGCAGCACTTCCTTCCGAAGCGCACGGGGTTCCCGGGCCTCTGCGGTCTGCGGGGCGGGGGCGGGGGGGAGCTTCTGGTGGCAGCCTCGGTGCCCGCCGCAGGCCTCGAGGCTGTGGTCTTGCTGCCCGCACCCTGAACCTCAGCTTTGCTGAGCCAGAGAGTGACTAGGAAGTTGGGTAACTCGGGGCGGGGTGGGGGCACTGGAGCCAAGGAGCGGCTGGCTCAGGGCACGGGCTTGGCGGGCAGCAGGCTCCCCCTCAAGGCCACCTGGGCCACCAGGCGGGGGACAGCCCTCCCAGGAGAGCCTTGGCTAAGGGCTCTCCTGCAGAGCCCCGGCTAGAAGCAGCCGTGGGCGAGGCAGGGCCTGTGTGTGTCAACGTGCGTGCGACAGTGATAGATGGAGAGCCGCTTTCACACCCAAGGCCGCACTCAGGCCCCGCCTCTGCCCGGGACCAGGAATCAGCGTCCGCAGCTGCCGCCCGATGCCCTACCGTGGGGCCTGCGGGCGGCGAGAGCCCACTGCTAAGTCAGCCCCGAGCCCCCAGCCGGGCGCCCCGTCTGTGATGTCTGCTCCCATGCAGACGTGGCTGGAGGCTGAGGAGCAGAAAAGCAAGAAGCCTGTTGACGGAAGGTGGAAGAAATCCCCAAAGCTGGGAGCAGCTCCTGCAGACTTTCCCGGGCTCAGTCCAAAATCCAAGGAAGCCCCCGCCCCCACGCTTCTCCCGGGCGGGCATCAGGGCAGGGAGGGGACAGGACTGGGTACTGGGCAAAGCCCCTCCCGTCAAAGCACTGCTAAGAGTGCAGCCTGCCAGCGCACACCCAGCTCCGAGCAGGCACGGGGGACCCACCGAGTGCTCAGGCCCCGCCTGCACGGCGCCTGTTACCGCCTGCTGACCCACGCCCCTTCCCAGCACTGACAGAGGGGCTCTTGGGAGGCCGGCAGAGAGGCTACAGGTGGGAGGAGAAGCCAGCACCTCACAGCCCCCACCACCAGGCCCCGTGGAACCTGGGTCCCGGGCCAGGGCCAGCTCTGTCCCAGCCCAGAACGGCGGCCTTGGGAGGCCAGAGGCATGGGCTCTGATGAGGGACAAACCTCCAGCCCCGGGCTCAACAACAGAGACCCTGTTCCCACTGCCCAAGGAGCCGAGTCAGCCTCTGCCAGTCCCTCGCATTATACACATGGGGAAACTGAGGCAAGGAGTGGGTGGGCTCAGCACAGCAGCCCTGTCACCACCATCACCTTCGTAGCCTCCCATCAACCAGTCCCTAACCCCGCCCTGAACCCGAAGTGGTGAGACCCCTCCCCTGCCACCTTTCTGAGGGGGTCCAGGCGTCCAAGAACCAGAGTGAGCTGGGGGCAGGGCCCTGACAGCGGGGTCCTGGGCAAGTCGGCCTGCCCGTGAGTGCCACAGTGACCGAGGTGCAGAGGGACTCGGCTCCTCCTGTGACGTCCCCTCGCCAGCGGGCAGGCCCCAGCCAAGGGCATTCGAGCGCCACACTCAGGGTGGAGGATTCTTCCCGAAACTCCAGTCGGAGCAGCATGCCCCTCATGGGGCCTGGGCGGCCGGGTGGCCGGCACACACAGTCCCGACAGGAGCACGCCGCGGGGCGTCTGAGCCCGGGATGGCCTGCGACACCCTTCCCGGCCCCTGCTTCCTCGCCAGCAGCACAACAGGACGTGTGCCCGGGGGCAGTGAAGGCTGAAGGGGACGTGTCCAGAACAGAGGCTGTCCTAGGGGCTTGGGAGGCTTCCTGGTGGCAGCTGCTTCCTGGGTGGGGTGGGGGTGAGCGACTCAGAGAGCCTCCTGGCACCTCCGACCCAGGCGGGCGCAGGAGGACCCCTCACCTGCAGGCTGGCGAGCCCTGGCACGGCTGCCCACTGCACGCAGCTGGAGCCAAGTGGGTGACTCACCCCTGCCCCCCAGGTGCCAGACACAGACCTCAGCCCCAGGGAGGGGGGCGCAACAGCCCGGTCGCTGGGGTCCTACTCAGGCCTGGGCCCCCCACCCAGTCCCTGCCTGCTCCCAGCACTGGCGCAGGGCAGGGTAGGGGATCCTAAGAGCCCTACAGCCAGCTCACTCACCTTCTGAGCCCTGACGAGGCTGGAACCGGCCAGCAAACAGAGCAGGAGGAGGCCCCGGGCCCCCACCATGGCTGGCGGGCGCACGGGGCAGGAGAGCTGGGGGAGTGAGCTCCGGGAGGCAGGCACAGGGCAGCAGGCGGGACGGGGCGGGCTGTCGCCTTAAAAGCAGCCGGAGGCCCCACCATCTCACCCTCCCCACAGGAACCTGCCAGGATTTCCTTCTGCGCATCAGCGGCCGGCAGCGGAAGGGAAGGCGCTGGCTGTGACCTCCCTCCGCGTGGACGGCCCGGGCCCCCTCTAGGCAACACCGTCTCAGAGCCCATGCTCCCGGCCCCAGGCCTGGCCAAGTCCAAGCAAATATGAATGGCGCCCAGACGTGTCTGCAGAGCCATCTCTGGTCAGGCACCCCTCCCCCCACCCCAAAACTTATCTGCGTCCCCCACCCCAGCCTTCCAGCTGCACAGCGCCTCATGGGGCTGAGTCGCCACCAGGCACATGTGACCCGCCAGCCCCTCGTCCCCCAGCCACCCAGCCCCTCTACCAGCTGGCCTCCCTGCCCTCCCCCCCACCCCCTGTGGCTCTGACCCGCCCCCACTCACTCTGCTCCAAACACAAGAGCTTTCCACCCACTAGGAGCCAGCTCTCAGCCTCAGGCCTGCTGTTCTCCCACATTTTCACGGCTCCTTCTCACAGCCTCAACTCCAGCCAAAGGTGTGACATTTGCAGGAGGCCTCTGGTTTGCACCAAGCTCCTGTGCTAGGCCCGAGGAACTAAACCAACCCCAGCCGCTGGGCCTCAGTTGATTGCAGAAGCCTCTGTAGCCAGTGAAGTGACTGCCGGCACCGGGTGTTGATTCGCTCCCGTTCCAGCCGCAGACGGAGACCAGCGTTCGCTCAGTGCGGACAGTCACTTAGGCACACACACGGGAGCAGGATCGACCGGGGAGGGGGCAAGCAGCACGAGGGCCGCCCAGGGGCAGGGCGTCTGAGGAGCAGCTCCAGCTGTGGTGGTCCAGGTCCGCTGTCCACCTCTGTGCTGACTGACGGGGGGTGCTTCTACAGGCAGGAACCACCTGGGAATTGGAGGATCCTTCCCACCCCCAGCCAGCCTGGGCCAGGTCCTGGAGGAAGCAGGAGCAGCCCGGCAAGGAGGAGGCTTTGCTGGACAAGGAGGAGGATAGCATTACAAGGGGGGGTTGCAGAGACTTCCAGCTCACTCAGACCTCAACTAGCTGCCTGCCTGCTCACCCCACATCAATTAAGCTGCTTAGACCTCACCTGTTTTCTATAAATGCTAATCAGCTCTTCGAACTTTTTTTTTTTTTTTTTTTTTTTTTTTTTTTAAGGTTGATTTATTTGAAAGAGTGACAGAGGCAGAGAGCAAATGGCTGCGATGGCGCGGGCTGGGCCAGGCCAAAGCCAGAAGCCCAGAGCTCCATCCAAGTCTCCCACGTGGGTGGCAGGGGTCAAGCCCCTGGGCCCTCCTGCTGCTGCTTTCCCCGGCACATTAGCCGGGAGCTGGAGCTGGCCAGGGGTGGAGCGGCTGCGACTTGCACCTGGGCTCTGATACAGGCTGCCAGCATCACAAACAGCAGCTTAACCCGCTGCGAACCCAACACTAGCCTCCATCAGCTCTTGTCTCTGCACACCTGGAGCATCAGCGTGTCTTGGGACCGAGGCGTGCTGTGAATAATCGGCAAGGGTGGTCATTTTTGTTATGCCTGTTACTGCTGGGGAAACAGGCTCAGAGGAGTTGCCGTGGATTCGTTTCTGAGAGGAGGAGCCTGGTGGGGGCAAGAGGCGCGGAGTCACCACACAGACCCCGGGATTCGGGTGAAAGCAGGCCAGAGGCGAGCAGCCCGCAGACTCATTTATTTCAGGTGCTACAGCTGCTTATATAGCCAAGACAGCCAATCCAGTCAAGGGGAGGTCTATGCCCTAACCAATCACAGCATGTTGCTAGGCAGTTTCTGATGCCATCCAATCACAGCCTGTTGCCAGTCAGGCTCCGTTGCCATGTAGTTTCCAAAGCTATCCAATCAGCCTGTTGCCAGGCAGGTTCTGTTGCCAGTGGCCATCTTGGCATGGCCTTCTCATTCCACCACAGAGAGGCACTAGTTCCACCAGGGTTAGCCAGGCCTGGCCAGGTGTGCAGCCCACAGGGCCTCTTCCCAAAGAGCGGTGCTGATGACCCCTAGCTGGGCACAGGCGCCCTCTTCTCTCACCACAGCTGCTGCAGAAGGCAAGAGCTAAGCAGAGCCAGGCGGCCAACTCGGCTGGGGGCCTGGCCTGGGGAGTACCCCCTGCCCCTCTCCTGAGCATGAGGGCACCAGGCTCGGCAGGCACTAGGGGTGTGAATGCAAGAACCCCCCCTGGTGACTGCTTCCATGTCCTGCTCCTCCCTGCAAACTCCGTTCCCTACACTTTCCTGGGTCTGAGGGAGAACAGGGGACAGCAGCAGGCCAGGAACCGAGCTGGCCACTCGCCACCACTCCATAGCCCTGGCGCCTGAGGTCAGGCAAGGAGGCCGCGCTCTGGCCACAGGAACAGGAGCAAGCGAAGGGCAGCGGGGTTGGCTCTCCACAGAAGGCTGGGTCCCACTTCAGCCCGGCTCTCTGAGCACTGGAGCACAGACACAAACGGGCACGGGCCATGTCCCCACAGGTCCGCCCCTGCCGCTGTTTGAGGGCTGTCTTCTCAAGACCCTGGGTCCCCACACGCCAGCAACCCTAGCCTCAGGGCCTCGCCCTCTCAACAGGTCACGCCCCGAAGAGGTGGGCCTGCCCTACTGCCCAGGCTGGGGGGATGGGGGTGCCCAGGGAGCACCACCAGGGCTGCACAGGAGAGGTGCCCCAACCCCAAATCTCCACATCCCAGCCACTGTCCAGCTCCTGCAGGGCTGGCCCATCTCCTCCCTCGCCCACGCCAACCACGTATGGGCCGACGCACTGCTCAGACCCCAGTGACTCTTGAACTACGAGCCACAGACTGTGTCAAACTCTGCTTTATTGGAATAGAGAAAATAGGCAACGGGGATCACGCTTGGTGCTGCCCCACCCCTCTCAGCCCCAAGGCCGGGGCACTCCTGCCCCAGGGCTCTTCCCCGAGTCTGCACCTGGGGAGAGTGCGCGTGGGCGGCAGCGCTCATGCGCACCCCACCGCCAGCGTTGTGAGCAGCAATCGTCCACAATGACAGTGACCGTGACAAAGGACTGGGCAGGCCTGGGCGGGACGCTTTGGGAAAGACGTGAGAGTCACGCACAGCTGCGGTGCACGTGCCGCCGGCCGGGGACAGACGACACGGCCACAGGGGCTGCCGGACAGCCCTGCAGGCTCCCCCCAGCCTTACAGACAACAAACTGACGACGTTCACGTTCTGGGCGGGGACAGCCAACTTAAGGTACCACACGGGAGGCGACAAGACTCAGAGCCATGAGGAACGCAGGGCTAGCCGGTGAGCTCCACGGGCAGCTCTCGGCCACACAGGGCCTCCCACTGACGGGCCAGCAGCGAGATGAGCTTCTCTCGGCTCTCAGCACTGGGGACAAACACCTGCCACTGGACCTCACGGCCCTGGCCAGCCCCGGCCTGGCTCCCCGGCTCCTCCCCAAAGTGGTCTAGGGTGACGCTGCCCATGAGGTCGTGGCCCTGCACATCGTCAAAGACCAGGGTGAGGGCCTGCGGGTAGGTCTGGTAGCCCATGAGCACGCGGTCCAGGTCCCGGATGCGGCGGCCGTCGTCCAGCCGGTACCGGTCCCTGTGCGGCGGCTCTTTGGCAAACTCAGGCAGCGGGTAGTGGACACAGTCCTCGTCCAGGAGGAAGATCTCGGCACTGGTCAGCAGCAGGGTCTTGGGGCGCAGGGGGCCCCTGCAGTGCCCAGGGGCCGGTGGCCCCACCTGGAAGGCCTGCACGTAGAGCAGGATGCTGAGGCCCTGAGCCTTCTCCGGCTCGGCCGTCTTCTGGGCCACGATGAACATCAGGTCCCCAATCTCCTCCTCGCTGGGGTAAGTGAACTTCACACGGCTCGGGTGGATCAGCTCATAGTTCTCCATCTTCCCTGCAGAGAGAGCCACGGGGTCTGCAGCCTGGGACTGGCCCGAGCCCCGGGGACCCCAGCTCGGGGACAGCAGAAGCCCCACAGGCCAGCAGCCCGGGGCAGAGACTGCTGGGATGGAGAGGCCATGCCGCAGGGAAGCCTGGCCAGCTCAGCGGGAGACCGCGAGACTCCCCCCTGCAGCCTGCGCCAGACAGGGTACCTGTGGCCTTGTTCCCGAACTCCGAGTAGAAGTCCTTGTCCACGGGCTCCGGCGAAGGCGTGCGCTCCAGCGAGGAGAGCGCAGCCATAAGGTGCTGCAGGAAGCAGTGTGTCAGGTAGCTGTCCCTGGTCAAGCACGTGACCACCTGCATCGGGGAGGAGCCTGTGGGAGGAGAGGTGAGCCTGATCCCTGCCCCCACGTCCCCAGCAAGCCAAGGCCAGCAGGGCCCGTGTGGGAAGCAACACAGGCCCTAGGAGGCAGCCATTTTTGTGGCAGGAAGGGCTGAGATTTTTCTGGAAGGGGACACGCAGGCGTTAGGAAAGAGCTTAGCTTTCTCTCTTCAGGAAGTGTGAGTCACAAACATCCTGCCCGGGCCGGCTGCGCTGCCTCTGGCCGGCGCGGTGCCGCTCCGCCCCTGCCCTAGCGCCGGGCCTGATTTCTGCACCCTCAGCAGTGCCTGAGGCGGCTTCCTCCGCCGCCCGCCTGGCTCGGAAGCCGGGAGATAACTCGGTGACACTGGCCTTCGCGGCAACAACACAAAACACAGCAGGTCACTCACCCGTCAGCCGGAAGTGCTGGTCAAAGAGCCCCACGTTGACCGACTGCAGGTCGCAGAGCCGCAGCACAGAGCACTGGGAAATGTGGAAGGGGCTGTTGTTGTAGTCGGTGTTTTTCTGATGCCAGAAATCTGTGAATGGGACAAAAGCACTCAGGGTGGCCGTGGCTCTAGCAGGGGAGCCCGAGGGTCCCAGGTGTGCAGCACTGTCCAGCAGGAACAGGTCCCCTTGGCTGAGCCTCCAGACCACTGGCTAAGGCACCCACTGGGGTCCCAAAGGGCTCAGGCTGCCCGATGCCTCCCCGTCATGGCCAGCAGCTAAGCCCTCGCTGGGTTCTGGCTCAGTGCAGCCATCTTTGGCCTCACGTCCCTGACAACTCCGGGAGGGAGGTCCTCAGGCAAGGGACTCCTGGCCCAGAGCAGCTGGGCTGCCCGAAGCCACAGCCGGCTGCCCAGCACGCCGAGCGCGCAGCCCTGCCCCTACCCTGCAGCGGCTCTGAGAAGTAGCGGCGGAGGCCGTCGTGCAGCACGAAGTACACGGCCTTGGTGGAGAGCAGCACGCAGGCGGTCACCTCGAGCCCCGGGGTCTGGTAGAACACCACGGACGACCACAGCAGGTGCCGCAGCTCCTCGTTCTCCACCTGACACAGAGGGCGGGGTGCTTCTGCAGGAGAGCAGGGCGGGGCGGGGGGGGGTGCGCTTTCTCCCCTCTCACCCTGGGCCCGGGCAGAGACCTCTGGGCAGGCACTGCCTCCGCAGAGCACCGCTGCCAGCCCCACCACCCTGGGGACCAGCGTGTCCCGGGCAGCCACTTCATGTGATCAGCAGGACTGTCAGCTCAGAGGCGGAGAGGAGTGAGGGTGCAGGGTCTGCCCTGGGGGAGGGGTGGCCGGGTGGGGGCAGCTCAGGCCTCACTGGCAGCGAGCCGCAGGAGCTGAGCGTGACCGGAGGGCCCGGCCTCCCGACCACGGCCGACCCACCCTCCCCCAGCGCCGGCGCGGCCCTGCGCGGGTGCTACCTCGGCGATGCTGCTGTGGAAGAGCTCGAGGACGGCGCGCCCCCGCAGGCTGGCGATGTGCTGGAGCGCCGGGCACACGGGCAGGTGCGAGGGGACCCGGTTCTCTTCCGAGGTGGCCTGCAGCAGGTGCTCACTCGGGTACTGGGTGGGGCTCTCGGCGTGTGCCAGACCCCCCACGGGGGCTGGAGAAGAAGCTGGGGTCTCCTCCGGAACCGACGCCGGAGCCGGGGCCTCTGCCGGGTCTGGGGCTGAGGCCCCTGCAGGCGCTGGGGCTGCAGCTGGAGCCTCCTGGTCATTGCTGCGTCACCCAATCCCCAAGAGACACCACATCAACAGGGGTTTCACACCACACACTTCTCAGGAGTGGACAGAAGGGCAGAAGGTGGCAAGTGTGGGCTTTGGCCCATGGGTGGAGCAGGTGGCTCATCTGAGAAGGTGGCAGTGGTGCTGACAATGCCACTCCAGCGTGCAGAGCACTGCCCAGGTGCCCAGGACCGGTGAGAATCAGAAAGTCCAACTGCCACTCAGCTGGGCCTCGGGGGCAGCCTCAGCTCCCCCCAGCCACCACTGCACGTGGCCAGGCTGGGCTGCCGCTGCTCTGTTCTAGGCACAAGCCCAGATACTGCCCAGAACCTTACAGACCGGAGGGCAGGGGCCCTGCAACCAGACTACAGGCCACGCCCACATTCCAGCTGTGAGAGAACCTGGGGCTCTGATACTGCACTTGGCCAAACACCCCCCAGAAGCCTCTGGGCTGCCCTCCTGATGTCCTGGGAGCGAGACGTGTGAGCTGGGGAGAATCAGTCCCCCATGGGCACGGCCTGCCGGGCTTGGGAGTGGAGGAATTGGAGCCCAAATGCAGTCCATAGCCCCCCACGGTAGAGGGAGGACACGTGCAGGACCACCCTCTTCACAAGCCGCTGAAGGGGCCGGGCACCCCCAGAGAGCAACTGTTGGGGTGGGTGGTGCCAGGAAATGCTGGGGAGGCAGTGGTGGGACAGGGTCTCCACTGCCCACATTGGGGAGGCCAGCGCAGGGTCCACCACATCTCAGGGGACGGAGGTCAAATGAAGGGCTCGGTCCCAGAAGGCGGCCCCTGCACACCTCCAGTGAGCAGGGGAACAGGAGCCAGAATGCCCCCCAAGGGCCCTCTCTACGCCCCGCCCCCGCCCCGGGCCATCCTGAGGAAGGGGGAAGCCAGGCTCAGTGGGGCAGGGCAGCGTGGATGGTGAGGAAGAGCCGGGACGGGGCCGCCAACTCCTTCCCTTCGTCTCCCCAGCAGGAGGCAGAGGTGCCCCGCACGGCTCACAGCTGCTGCTCTCAGCCAAGCAGGTGCCGCATCAATGGAGGAAGCCCTGGAGCTGGTCTCTGAGACGCCACGGGCCTGAAGCAGAGCCCAGCCACAGCTCCAGCCACAGGACTGAGAGCCTGCGGGGGGCCTGGAGGCCACGCTGCACCCAGGAGAGCAGAGTGGACAGGACCAGGGCCATGGTGCTGCCCTTCTGGGCTCACAGTGCTGCAGCCTGTAGCCTCCCAGCTGGGCAGATGAGGTGGGGGCAGGAACCTGGACCAGCCCCTGCCTGGGGAGGGACCGCTTTCCTCGGCCTCCTCTGAGGGCATAGAGGAAAAGAAGCCGCCCAGCACCAAGCCTGAAGGAGCCAAGAGCTGTGCCGAGGGCAGCCGAGAGCCAGGAAGAAGCCAGGGAGCAGAGGCACGGTCCACTGACAACCCGCAAATGCTTGGAGACCGTGCGCGTGCCAGCCCCACCCACACCCCTGGGGCCCGAGAGCCTGGTGCAGTCTCACCTGGCCCTGCCCTCAGCAGGCTGGCTGTCTCCCCGGGGGCTCTGGGACCTGGCCCTGGTGGCGGGGCTCTTGGCGATGACCACGGTCTTCAGGTCCTGCAGCGAGGCCCGCAGCTGATTGTAGACGCGCAGGAAGTGGAACTTCTCGTGGGGCAGCACAAAAATGGCGGTGACGAAGCGGTAGCCCACGAGCAGCTCGAGGACGTGGCCGTCGGCGAAGGCCCCGCGCGGCTGGGTGCAGCTGCGCGTGGGGTCCAGCAGCACTGTGGACAGAGGCACGCGGCTAAGCTTGAAGCTGTTGCGGTTGCGACAGTTGTGGGTGCCGCGGTTGGGCATGGGATTGAAGTCGGCCTTGATGACGTTGAGATGCTGGGGCGTGAGCAGCAGCCAGTAGGGGATGGCGGCGGACTTGACGGCCTCGGAGGGCGCGCAGCAGGAGCGGCGCACGGCCGAGCAGAGCGTGCAGCTGGCCCACTCGATGTTGCCCGAGTAGTCCCCGGCGGCCGTCTGCACCATGCGCTTGTCGCTGTAGACCAGGTAGACGGGGAAGCAGCCCTGGCTGCGCTCCTGGCAGCCTCCGGCCACCTTGTAGAAGGTGAGCAGCTGGCGCAGGAACTCCTGCAGGCTGGTGTGGCTGCCGTAGAGGACGGGGCTGCAGAGCATGGCCATGTGCTGCGGGGCGAAGCAGGCGCGCAGGTCGGTGTGGAAGTCGTGCAGGCTGGCGGCGTCCGAGATGATGAAGAGCGCGTTCTCGCTGTGCCGCACCTTCAGCACCAGGCACAGCTCCGGCATGAGGAAGCCGAACTCGGTGAGGTCGCCGTGCGGGAAGCAGAAGACGAAGCGCAGGGACGAGAGGATGTGCTGGCTGCTGCCTCGGGACTCCTGGTGCGGGATCTCGAAGACGGCCACGCCGAAGTCCGTGAGCACCAGGCAGGCGGCGAACTGGCGGATGCTGCCCTGCACGTGGATCAGGAAGCACCACAGCACCTTGAGGACCCGGATGTGCTCCAACAGGAAGTCTTCATCTGCGCCCAGCGCCCACTCCAGAGCCAGGCGCGCCTCCTCGGCCGCCGCCGCCGCCTCCTCCTCGCCCTGGCCACCCTCTTCCTCCTCCTCCTCCTCCTCCTCCTCCTCCTCCTCAGCGTCAGGGGGCCCCATCTCAAAGTAGCGGTTCTCAGCAACGCCCTCGCCGTCGTCTTCCTCCTCGCCCTGGCCTTCCTCGCGCCGGTTGGCAGCCTCGATCCAGGCGGGCAGCTGCCGCTCGATGGCCTGCCGGATCAGCGCGCTCAGGCGCTGGATGAAGTCCTGGTTGGTGGCCGTGTAGCCGATGCAGGTGAAGGGCAGGAAGATGATCTGGCCGGACCCGGGCACCACCTGCACCTCCGGCTCCGCGTGCTCGGGGCTGTTTGGGCTGTTTGGGAAGAGCCAGGTCAGAGACATGGGGGCGGGCGGGACCCCCTGCTTGCCTCCTGAGGAGCCTGCTACAGCATTCTGGCCCTAGCAACCAACCTGTGGGTCTCAACTCAGCCAAGCCCCTCCCAGGACAAGGCATGGTGGGGAACAGGGAACAGCTGGGGGCCTGGGATTGAGTCAGAGGCCACCATTCAAGGGGCCCAGACCCCAGGCATGCAGCACAGCCCTGCCCGGACCACACTCACTCCCACGACAAAAACGCCCCGGAGGACTGTCAGTCTTTCAGAGACGCCCACCAGTGCGGGAGCCAAGGAGCGCGCCAGGGCATGAGCCCACGGTGCAGAACGGCTCCTCCCGCGGTGCCCAGCAGCTTCCAGGGACGGGCAAGCGGGGTAGGGCAGGTTTTAGGACTTCGCATTTATTGGTTGGTTGTTCTTTCTCATTTATTTCAAAAGCAGAGAGATGGACAGAGATCTCCCATCTTCTGGTTCACTCTCCAAATGCGCACAGCAGCTGGCGCGGGGCCAGGCCAAAGCCAGAAGTGAGGAACTGTCCCTGGGTCTCCCACATGAGTGGCAGGGCCCAGCTAACTGAGGCACCACTTGCTGCCTCCAGGGTATGTATCAGCAGGCAGCTGGAATGGAGAGTGGAGCTGGGACTTGAACCCTGGCCCTCTGACAGGGGAGGCGGGGGACCCAGCAGCACCTTAACTGCTTCACGGGTCCCTTCCAAGTCTTCCAGGCCACCACAGCCCGGGCACAAAAGACAAGCGTCAGAAAGCAGCTTCTGCAGACAGAGCATTTCAGGGCTTGAGGGCCGCCTGACCCGCGCCAGCCTCTAGGAGCCCCGTCGCTCCTAGCCCACGGGCCCCACAGAGCAGCCCAGGCTCTGGGTGTTCATCCGCCAATCCCTCGTCAGGGCGACACGTGCCAGCGAATCCAGGGGTCCGAACTCGGAGGCATATCACAGCCGTCTCGGCTGTGTCTACTCCAAGGAAGAAACGGTTCCACAGGCCCTCCGCCAGCAGAGGGCTGACGAGCAGTGGCGGGCACCTCTAGCCCACAGATGAGCCTGGAAAGCCTGCTGGCGCTCATCCCTACCTTGCACTGCCAACGGCTCCTGGCACGTCCCTGAGCTCGTCACAAGCTGCCTGATAGACAAGAAAAGCGTCAGCCCCGCCGGCCATAGCCGTCCTCAGCGCTCCCCGGAGGCCGCGCCTGGGGCCCCAGGGGCAGCCCCACCCCGTCAGCACCCCAGGACACGGCAGGGCTCAGGCTCCCGCCTGACTGACTCCCGGCCCCACTCCCAACCTCGGGCCAGGGCCTGGTGCTTCTCTCTGGGGATGTGGCATCTGAGGACTCCTTGTACCATCCTGGGTTCGAGTGGACAGCTGACCGCCTTGGTCCAGCTATAACTAGCCAGCAGCCAGCAGCAGAGGTGGCACAGCCCTGGCCAGGCCCTCCCAGTGGTCTCTGAGCAGTAGGGAAAAACCTAGGACTTGGGAGCAGTAGTGAAAGACCTGTGTGACCCTGGAGAGATGAGGATCCTGCAAACTGTGCCCGCATCACCTGGTCACGGCCTGTGCGGCAGCACAGCAATGGGGCTGCGGGGAGACTCAGGCACCAGGCCGTGCCCCGCACACACCGGACACAGGAAGCGGTTCCGGAGGTGCTGGAGTCACTGCGTCCCACCCAGAACGTGTCCTCGTCTACGAGGGCTACAGGCAGGAAGGGCAGATGGGCTCCAGTGGTGCCAGGCAGCAGGGGAGGAGCTCTGTCTTCCCAAGGGCAGTTGCTCACCGGGCCCGGGGGTCATCTGCCTCCATCTGCCCCCAGGGTCCGGTCAGAAAGAATTGCCTGGTCCCATCCTCTGAGACCAAGAGAGGAGAGGCGGAGAGAGGCTCGACACAGGGCCCTAACAGCCAGGTCAGGACAGGAGCCTCACGCCAGTGCAGGCAGCGCTCGGCACACTGCAGCCTGGAAGCAGCTGCCGCACACAGGCAGGCCGCTCCCTGGAGCAGACAGCTTCCCCGGAGGAGCCATGCCAGAGGAGAGCATTACCTGTCCTGCAGGGAGGGACTCCAAGGACTCAGAGCACTCCCGGGCAACGGGCCGGTCCTCAGCAGTCAGGCTGTCGGTGGACGAGAGGCTGCTGGCCAGGGCTTCCTCCTGCACGAACATGATTCCTGGAGAAACCAGGGGTGGGTGGGGCAGGACAGGGCGGGGCAGGGAGAGCAGCTGTTCAACACCTGGGGCGGGGGCCTCAAGGCTGCCGGCATGGCCAGGGGCTAGCCAGACCCCAAAACCCAGCCACGTGGGTTAGGGAAGAAAATGTGAAACTGAAATCTTAAAATAACTCAAGGAAAGCACAAATGACTGCTCCTCTAATCTCGGAGAGGGAGGGGCTGAATATCACCCAAAGGAAGAAAATGGTACATTTGACTACATCGACACTTAGCTGCTGAAGATAAACTTTACAACAAAAGGAAAGAGTGCTTGGTGTATGTGTACTCTGTAAAAAGCTCTTACAGATCACAAAAGTCAAAGAGCCAAGGAGACCGCAGGGGACGGAGGACAAGCCACCAGGAGCGGGCAATGGGACTACGTACGGCACAGCGCACGCTCTCACCCTCACAAGCACACACAGAAAAGCAAGTGGGAACAGGAGACCAGCTTGGTCTCACTCTGGCAAAGGAAGGCCAGACCCTTTGACCTGGCCCAGGCTCACTGGGCAGAGGCGGGCACAAGCCGGCCCATACTGGGGAGAGCAGTGTGGTGACAGACACGTCTGTCAAGAGCCTTAAAGGTGGTTGTTCCTAGAGCAGCTCCCAGGAAAACTCTAGATGTGACCCCAGCCCCTGATCTGCCACCACTGCAGGGTTCCCAGGATGTACAGGGCACGGGACCCCTTGCCAGCTGCTGCAGGCTTTGCCCCTCCCACACACACCCCAGGCTGCAGCCAGGGCCTGCTGGCAGCAGACCACACCTGTAACCTGCCCGGGGCCACCTCACTGGACAGCAGCATTGTGGCTCACGCACCCTGGAGGTACATGGGGTTTTTAAAGCCCTGCTGAGGCTGTTTTGAGAATACAACCTGTCTGGACCTCTCGCTCCAGATGGTTTGCAGGCCAGGTTTAGCTAGGGGCCTTTATGGTATGCCCCACTACAGCTGGCACAGCCTGGTTTTCCCACCAAGCCATCACTGGCCAACGCGACTCAGACCCCAGAGGCCCACAGGTCACGAGGCCCTGGTCCAGCTCAGCTGCGGCGCAGGACAGGACTCACACAGCCCCGGTCCCCTGCCCACAGGCAGGGCAGGCAAGTGGCCCAAGCCAACACCCCACAGGGAGCAGCAGCAGGGGCTACGTGGGTGGGAAGGGCGGTGAGCACACACCATGCATGAAGCACCCACGGGCTCTCCACTCTGTGTGCCTCCCAGGAACACGCTCCAGTCCCAGCAGCCTTGGAGACCACCTCAGCACCATCCGCACTGCTTCTACATCCTGCGAACTCCCACACCATGGTTGCTCTCTCCCCACGAGGCTCCAAGCTCCTCAAAGGCACGGGGCTGGTCATCTGACCACACAAGGAGGCGGCGGGAGAGGGACAGAGCAGTGCTAAGCGCGCCCCACAGGGGCCCATGCGAGCTTCTGCGTATTCACCACGCTGCATCAAATCTAAGACGTGTGCACGTGGCGCCATCTTGGCCTCAGCGGGAGGTGTCCCCTGGGAGGCTCCCCCATGCCTGTCAGGAGTATCAGTCGCAGACAGCAACTAGGAGGTGCCACCGACCGAAAGTGCATCTCCGTTTCAGAGGAGTCACAGGTAGAGACGTGTGCGCTCAGAACCGACGACGCAGGCACATTCACTTCCCAGAGTTTTTGAGAAAACAGCTTCAGAGAGGCTGCAAGTCGCTTGAGGTCACACAACCAGGGAAGCCGGACACAGCCTCAGCTGCTGACCCCCAGGCCTGCTCCTCACCCCCGTCTCCACGCCTTCTCAGCTGCCAGGTCTGGCTGCAGAATCAACGCTGCCATTTTGCACATCTGCTCCCAAGGGTCCTGAGGTTCCGGGGCGCCGACCACTGGCTCACAGCTTCTGCGACGGCGGGGGCTGGGGCTTTCTCGGTGCTCCCTTCAGGCAGGCCCTGAGCGCCTGGCTTATTCACAAGCCCACTCTCTCCTGGAGTCCAGTGGGGAGCGACAGGTGGCAGTGAGCGCAGCCGAGGCTCCCACAACGTGAGATCTCCCAGCACCCAGCAAGGCCAGGGAGCCCCGCTAATCCCCACAGCCGTGCTATCCTGCCACTGCCCCCCAAGCCCCGCTGGACGTGAGGGAATGTGGACAGGGACAGTCCGTCCACTTCCTTCCTGGCCCATGGCCTGCACAAACAAGTGGTCAGAAAGGGTCACCCAGCAGGCAGGCGGGATGGGGACATCAGGATAGTGCTGTGACAGGGGTCTGACCTCTGCTGTTCCTCCCCGAAAGGAAAGAGCTGTGCACACAACGACATCCAGTGCAGTTTTATTTAGAAGAGGTGCAAATCTGGTGACAGTGTCTCAGTGTCCAGGGACTGGGGAGGGGGACAGTCCCCCGGGGTGGTCTGGCAGTGAGGGAGGGAGAGCGAGGCCCGGGCTGGTGCGGAGACTTCGCCGCCACAGGGCGCTGCCCACAGCCGCAGCCTCGGGCAGACCCCAGCCCCCGCCCCGGGTCTGCTCCTCACGGGCGTGCTCTCACGCCTGGCTCACTGACTTGCCAGATGCTGACTGCGAACCACTGCGGCCCCGGCCACCAGGACCACGGTGTCCCAGGCCCCAGCAGCCTTCAGCCATGTGGCTCCCCCGCGGGGCTCACAGCGACGCCAACCTTCCTCCCCTTTTATGCAAAACATCACAACCCCAAACTCTCGGTGAAGAGCCCGACAACTGCTCAGGTCCCTAGCTCCCTGCTCCCACTCCTAGGAATTCTCCTCCGCGTCTCGGCAGGAGCCCTGGTGCTTGCTGCTCTGGGTCAGGCCTTTTGCCTGAAATGGCGCCCCTGCTTCCTGCCCAGGCCTCTCTCCCTGATAGGACGCCGCCTCTCCCTCTCCCTCTCCCTCTCCTTCTCCTCCTCTCCCTCCTCCTCCTCCTCCTGCTCCTCCTCCTCCTCTTCCTCCTCCTCTGGCGCTGAGGTCACAGCTGTGTGTTGCCAGCAGTGAGCACTTCACCTCCCCCTTCCCCAGGACCTCATCCCTCTAAGAGAGCACCCCCACCTGTGGGGTTGCCAGGTCAAGGGATGGGAAGGTTTTTCTGGCTCTTGCAACACAGGGTCAAACTGTCTTCCCAAGACCTCACACAAGTCCTGCGTCTCCAGGAGCCGGGGCAGGCGCCGTTCTTCCCTGCACGTCCCGAGCCTCAGTGCCACTCGGAACGACACAGCCTCCCCTCTTGCGTGGGGGCCGGGCCAGCAGACACGCTCACAGCACCTGCTTCACTCACTCATCTCCGGGGGTGCCTGGGTTCAGAGGTGAAAGCCCTTTGAAAATGCTAAGGCAGCAGGCAGAGGAGAGGGACTGGTCTTCCACGGGTCCACGGGGACAGAGCCCCCACCTTGGCCCCACGAGCACAGGGTTTTGTGGCACCATGAGAGCCAGAGATGAGGCAATGTAAAAGAAATGCCCCTCGCAGTCATCGGGCCACCAGACTTGGCAAGGTAAGCCGGCCCGGTTCCTGGTCAACAAGCAGCTGGCCTGCCCATGCAGCCTCGTGGGCCCACGACCCTGGGCCTGTTCAAAGGGCAATCTCAGGGCACAGGTAGACACCCCCAGCTCCCCACCCAGAGGAACTGGAAAAGGGCGTCAGAGCATCTGGGGTCCTCACTAAGCAAACAGAGCCGACGTCGAGCCATGCACCCTGCCCACAACCGCAGGCCGCCTGAGAGGAGCTGGCGTGCCGACAGCACGGCCCTTCCCACGTCCGACCCGCCAGAGAGCAGGTGTCAGCAGCTTCCCCAGCCCCCGCCCGGCCAGGAGGCCCAGGCCCGGCTGTGTGGCTGCGCTGGGAGCAACAGGCATACACAATTACCTTGGCTGGAGACGATGGGCTGGGGCAGGGAGGCGGAGGCAGGAGCCATGGTGGGGGGCGAGCTGCTGGGTCTGAGCCGGGGATCCTCACCCACCTGCAGGGATGCCTGAGTCAGCCGGGGGGAGGAAGCCCAGGAAGAACAGGTCTCACCGAGCCAGGAACATGACAGGTGACGAGGAAGCAGTCTCGCCTATCCCTCAGAGCAGCAGGCAGGGTCACTAGCCCCTCAGCGGCCCTGAGCAAGGCCACGGCCCGGCGCCCCCACTTGCGCCTCCCACATGGGGACCCACCTTCTTCTCCACATTGCTCAGTTTGGACTTGACCTCCTTGGCCTTCTGAATCGCTTTCAGCACTTCCACCGTGTCCAGCTCCTTCTCCGTGGTCGCTGTGTCATCCAGACAGACCTACAGCGTCCAGAAAGTGGCTCTCAGCATGGGGCCCAGCTGAGTGGGCCGGGCCCTGTGAGGACGCCAGAAGCCAAGGGTGGCTGAGCCTGCTGGGAGGTCGGCTCTCCACCACCTACGCAAGTGACCTGGGCACAGCCTGAGGGGCCCGGGCCCCCCCACCCTGGCCTGGCCTGTCCCTAGAAGTCCTTCTCTGAGCGGTCATGAGTGGGAGAAGGGGTTGCCTAGAACCAAACCCCAGTTACAGGCAGAACTGAGATGGTCAAAGAGCAAGAGCGGAGCCTTCAGGGCAGGGGAACTAGGAGAAGAGGCCACAGAGTGGTGGGGCGGGGGCGCAGCAGGGCCCTCATCTGCCAGCATAGAAGGGCGCCAGGCGGCAGCAGGGCAGGTGGCCGAGTGAGGAAGGCCCCGAGTGTCTGGACAAGAGCACCACAGGTCAGGTCAGCTCCCCAGGGCTGCAGCCCAGGAAGGAGGACATGGCGTCTTGGGAGGATGACCTTGGTGAGTGTGTGCAGGGCATGACGAGGGGATGGCTGGGATCCAGACAGACTCCTAGGTCTTCTGGCCTGGGATCTGGGAAGACAGGCTCCAAGGTCTGGTCACAGAAAGGGGTGGGGCCCGCTCCAAGCTGAGGGCATGGGTGAGCCTGGCAAGGCCCTGACTGGTTGGCATGGCAGCAGGCACACAGCCACAGCCAGCAGTGGACTCCAGACTAGGCTACCTAGTGACGGGGAGCAAACCCTCTGCATGTATCACATGTTTTGCACAAGCTGCCCAGGAAAATGATGATCCTAAGTCTCTTCTCCCTGCCCCCGCTTAGGTGCATGTTTTTGAAAGCTGAAGCTATCCCTCCACACCGGGCACCTGTGCCTGTGTGCTCATGGAGAGCCCTGTGGCCCGAGGCTCGGACGAGGCAACAGCAGAACCCCTGCAAGTCCCCCCTGGAGACTACCCCGTGCCAGGCCTTACCTCGGAGGCCCTGTCTCCGAACTGAGCGAGCACCTTGGTCCGGTAGTCGGGGATGATGCTCAGGGGGTTGTTCCGCAGAGCCACGCGCTCCAGGCACGGGAGGCTGCCTATGCTCTTGACCTCCTCCATCTGCAAGGGATGAACGCCACTCACTCGGGCCCTTCCCCCACCACAGCAGGTCTCATGGTCTTTTTAAAAGGAAAGGAATCGCAACGCTCCTCCTGAGGGTCAGGCGGGGACACAGCTTACCTGCTCGATTCGGTTGTCGCTGAGGTCCAGGTTGACCAGCGAGTACAGCTTGTGCAGGCCACTCAGTCTCTCCAGGAGGTTGCCTGCCAAGTTCAGAGTCTTGATGTTCCCCAATTTGGTGTGAACCCCTTCCAAGGAGGACAGCTTGTTGTAGGACAGGTCCAGGTGCACAAGGTTGTACAGGTGCTGCAGCAGCAAGGAGAACGGGGGACGCCTGGGACTGAGGCACTCCGACCGCAACCGCCCTGTTCGCTCTGCTGTGACTGGGAAGCGAAGCCTCTCAGCCCAGCAGCACCCCAGACAGGTGAGCGCTGAAAACGGGGCTGTGCACTTGAGAACGGAGGCGCGTCACCCACACGTGCTCGCTTTCTATTTATTCAGCTTCTCGGATTCTTGGAACCGGATCAACAGTCACTCACTGCTAGGCGCCTACAGGGATGCTGGCAGCCTCTGCCCCTCCAAACCCCAGGGTATGGCTAAACTCCCAAGGCTGCGTCAGCCTCCCCACCACCGCAGGGAGCTCCTGCAGGCAGGGCTGGTTCCCAAAGATGTTACCTGCAGGTTGTCCAAGACCAGTACTCCATTGTGACTCAAGTCCAGAAACTCTATCTTTGGGATCAGTTTCTGGGGAAAGAAAGAACACTGGATGTTACCCTAGGAGGCTGCACCCCATGCAGGCCCTGCACGTGGCAGATGGCCACCTTACGACTCTTCCCCCTGACCATGAACCTCCATCTGGCCATCCCCGAAGGGGTACACAGAGACCCCTGTGTGGAACACCATCTACTGTTCTCACACATTTGGCTCCTGGAGGTAGAAACAAGTGACAAAATCCCAGCCAGAGAGGGGAGCCTGACCCACCCAAACAGAGCCACACAGCTACAGATGCCCTAAAGCCACCTGCATGTCACTCCTACACGGCTGTAACCTGGGAGGGGTTTTTCTGCCCCACTCCTTGGAAGGACATACCATCACTTTCGATGGTTCTCCAACATTCACGTAGTTGTTAACATGCTCCACTTCCTCCCAAGTACCACATCACCTGGTCTAATTAAGCCCATTTTGAAATTAACGTAGAAACTGCAGGCAATGCACAGAGCACTGGAGACAAATTAAACACCCATTCTCCGGATTCGGGCAAGCCCGAGCAGTCCGTGGCAACACCGCTGGGCGCCTACCACAGACTCGTCGATCTCGGAGATGCTGTTGTGGCTCAGGTCGAGGGTGGTCAAAGCTTGCCAGGTGGGGATGATGGCAGTCACGGGGCCTTCCAGGTCTGCGCCCTCTGGTTCCCACTCCTCAAACTCGGAGGCTTCAGGAACAAGGACTTCCTGCGCGAGAACATCTGTTGAGCACCACACTTGGGCCCTGACGCAACACTCACTGGGAACACGATCATTGCAAAATTGAAGGAAGGGCTGGAGCATATTTAGCTTGTGGAAGTGAACTTGCATTAAAACGGGGCTGTTGCGTGTGTCTTTCCACAGCTGTGAAGTAACTGCAAGCCTCAGCAGATGAATAGCACTTGGAATGGGCCCGGCCCTGCCCGGGAGCAGAGGCCCCACGGCCCCCTCGGCCTCTGGCTGCATGGTGGTGCCTTTTCTGGCTTACCTCTCCAGGCTGAAGGTCAGAGACAAGGTGTTGCTAGGCAACTAACTGTGCTTTCAGAGCTCGGGATGCGGTCCCTGCCTGACCCAGTCCTGCACAGGTCAGGGGTGGCAGCGGGAGCACCGCGACTGTGGGGTGGGAAGGGAAGGAAGAGGCCGCCTTCCGACTCGGATGCAAGATCTCTCCTCTCGAAATGGGCAGCCTCAGGTTCCTTCAGCCAGGCACTGGGGAGCTGCCTGAGGCGGGACATGGGCCCGGCGCCCTTGCCCTCTCCACAGCTGGATCCTTTCCATCAGCAGCCTCAGGAAAAAGACTTCCCCAAACCCAAATCTTAATCGGACATTCTGAGTCATCAAACTGGCCACCACGTGCTTTTCTGTACTGGGAAAGATTTTAACATTACCAGGGCACAATCCATATAAAGGCAAAAAGCAGGGTTGGCATTGTGGTGCAGTGGGCTACACCCCAAAGCACTGGCATTCCATATGGGCACCAGAGTGTATCCTGGCTGCTCCACTTCCGATCCAGCTCCCTGCTAATAATGGCCTGGGAAAGCAGTGGAAGGTGGCCCAAGTCCTTGGGCCCCTACCACACACATGGGAGACCCAGATGAAGCTCATGGCTTTGGCCTGGACCAGCCCTGGCCACTGCAGGCATTTGGTGAATGAACCGGTGGATGGAAGATCTGTCTCTCCCTTTCTCTCTGAAACTCTGCATTTCAAATAAATAAATCTCTTAAAAAAAAAAAAAAAAAGGCAGAAAGCAAACCCTCCCCTACATTCCCAACTGGAATTTTCCCCTTGACTGTGAGCAGACAGCGGGGCCAGCACTTCTACCACTTCACCATCCGGAACAACACCCAGGTGTGAAGTCAGGGCTCGGCAGCCCTGCGCAAGTTACATCATGCTAATTACCGCGCGCAAGTTACATCATGCTAATTAGTCCCACCCCTGGCCCAGCCTCACAACTGCTCATTAAACACCAGCGGCTTCCTTTTCACTTTGAGGGGGAAAACAACAGTGTTCCTTTAAATGTCTTGTGGACAACACAGATGCAGATGCAGACTACAGCGTCCCAGGGGCTGCCAAGGGCCTGGTGACCCGGGGGAGGGCTGGCCACCGGGGCCTGACAGTGGGCCCACAGTGGGCCCCCATCCCAGGGACGGCGGCAGGCAGGGAACAGGGAGGCTCACCTTCATGGAGGTCGCTGAGAAGCGGACGCTCATCGTAGCCAGGCTGCGCTTCGAGGCGACCAGCCCTCGGATGTGCTTAGCGTCACAGTGGCTGATCTGGAACAAGGAAATGCCCGGAGTCGGAGTCCATCCCCCACACGAAGGCAGCACAACACTCAGGGGCAGGGGGAGCTCAGAGCCCTGGTCTCTGTTCCGCAGTGCTTCGTGCAGACTCAACATTCCGCACTGTGTCTCACAAGGAAGGCATCTGGCTTGTCCGAGGCACAGTGAGCCCCAAGTCCCATGTTCCCTGCGAGGGCAGCTCGGGGCGTGGCAGGCAGACAGGAAGGGTGGGTCACAGGTGTGAGCCCCACTCACTGCCCTCAGCTGGGTGGTGTCCTGGAGGGAGGGGCACCAGCCCAAGCACATGCCGGGAGCCATCTCCCTGGCTCCACACACCCACACACCCACACACCCAGACAGGGCCTTGGTCTGTGCGCTCAGGCCTGCAAGTCTGCACTGAGGAGGGCGGTCCCCATGGCCTCCGACACACACCCAGAATGCTGTGGCAGAAGAGTGTGGCAGAGGTTCTGCAGTCAGACCCAGCTGAACCCCAATCTCGGTTTTCCCTCCTGAACTGTGTGAGTCTGGGCAGACTTCACTGTTGCCCTAGGCCTCAGTTTCCTCAACTGTAAAATGGAAATTAAGTGCCCACTTCGCAGAGCTATCGAGATGATCAATCGACATCAGACACAGGGCTCAGGGCTGAACACAAAAGTTGTGCTCGCCGGCGCCGCAGCTCAATAGGCTAATCCTCCACCTAGCGGTGCCGGCACACCAGGTTCTAGTCCTGGTTGGGGCGCCGGATTCTGTCCCGGTTGCCCCTCTTCCAGGCCAGCTCTCTGCTGTGGCCAGGGAGTGCAGTGGAGGATGGCCCAAGTGCTTGGGCCCTGCACCCCATGGGAGACCAGGAGAAGCACCTGGTTCCTGCCTTCAGATCAGCGCAGTGCGCTGGCTGCAGCGCGCCGGCCGTGGCGGCCATTGGAGGGTGAACCAACGGCAACAGAAGACCTTTCTCTCTGTCTCTCTCTCTTACTGTCCACTCTGCCCGTCAAAAAAAAAAAAAAAAAAAAAAAGGAAAAAATAAACAAGACATCATCATCAAAAAAAAAAAAGTTGTGCTCAAGAAACACAGCTTTAGGGCATTTCTTATTATTCAAAACTAACTTCATTTCTTTTAAAAACTGCTAATAAAGTTGGTCTTGTGAACTGATGGGCCTAGGAGTGAATAACGCAAAGCAGATCTTGGTCATGTGGGCGCCCCAGAGGGCAGGGAAGCCTCAAAGCCCTCTGCCGTGGCCATCTAAACGTCTCAGCTGCGACAGATGCAGCAACCAGGACAGGACAGGCCCTCTGCCTCTGCCTTCAGAGGGGCTGGGCTCAGCTGGACGGAACTTGCCGCACAGAGTCTAACACAAGAGACCAGTGCCTTACGATTAAATCTGGACATCCAATATAAAAAAAACACTTCCTAGCCAGTCAGTAAGGGGCGACCGAGCCCTGGGCCTTACCTCCACCTGATGCAGAGACTTGAAGATTGATAAATCAAACGGCAGGAGCTGCTCCCGAATGTTGCTGGTCCCAAAAGGTCCTTCTGTGCCAGAAACCTAAGGCCAAGGTCTGGCTTGAATTCGGGGTGCTGTTGCAATGGCTCCCCATCCACACTCACGGGGCAGTGCTACAGTAGCTGCTGAGCCCGAAGCCTGGTCCACTTCTACTTTCCACAAACCAGGCTAAGGCCACTGGGTCACAACTGCCCCCTGGTGCCCACAACCGGAAACACAGGGCCGTGCACACTTGCATTCAGGCCCTGCCGTGGTCTCTGGGGCCCCGTGCTGGCTGTGCACCAGCTGACTGAGCTGCTGCAGCTTTACCTTAAGGTACTTAAGGCGACAGGTGAAGTCCAGGATGTGCCCAAGGTCGGTCTTGGCATCCCCACTGGCGCACGTGGGCTTTCCCTGCTGTAGCTGCTGTGTAACCGCGTAGAGCTGCAGGGGCCTGATGGCAAAGACCTCACCGGCCCCCAGGAGCTGTTCTCCTGCAACAGCCATGCCCCCGAGGGATGAGTGTTCACCCCCAGCCCACCCTATCACGCCACCACTGCCTATCAGACCAACAGTCAACCAGCACTTCCCAAGCACTCACTATGCACACCCACCCTGTCAGGACAAAGCCAAGGCCCTGAGCACACGGCCACAGGGCAACCTGGATCTGTGAAGACAGGGAAGGGAAGGGCCGTGGGGGCTCTACAGCCAGCATGGCTACCATGAGGAGTGAGGCCCATCAGAATCCAAGCCACTGAGTGGGGTGAGGCTACTAAGAGGCAGCATTCTGGGTGACAGCCCTGCGCTGCAGCCGCGAGGTGCAGACGCTGACGTCCTTCTACAAGGCCAGCACAGAGCTGGCCTAGAACAGGAGGGCCCCTAAGCCAGACTGCCATGCATCTGGTCCTCTCTCTTCCCAGCCACAAAGCCTCAAGCAGGCTCCTACCCTCAGTGTCCTCATGGCTGATGGGTGCTGATGGCTTGGGAGGGAAGGCAATGGGATGCGAAAGCACTCATGACCCATCAGCTACTGTTCCTGGGCGTCTGGCAGGGTCTGGAAGCCAACGTCAGCCTCTATTTGCTAGCTGAACCTTTCAGTGAGGGCAGCCCAGGTGCAGAGGGCAGCATGGCACCCCCTCCCAGCCTGGGATGGGCACCCAACGTGGGACTTCAAGCTCCCAAGGTGAAGGACCACAGCTCCTCAGAGCAGGCCCGTGGGCAGGCTGGCCCGTCCCCCAGGCCTAGGGCTTGGGGCAACCACAGAGCCGAGTTCATCTCAGCAGGTGCGCCTGGGCCGCCCTGAGCCTCTGGGCATCCAGCAGGGCGAAGCGCGCTGCGCCGGCATCTCAAGCGCCCGTGGCCACGTACCTTTCTCGAAGAGCTCTTCAGCCAGTGCCGCAGTGATGCCGTTTATCTCCTGCAGGGGAAACAAACCTGCAGTTACAGTCTTCCTCCCCTGGCCCCGCTCTCTGAGCCGCAGTGCCAGCCTCTACAGTCATCTACAGAACTGGACAGAGGAAACCTGTAACGCAGTAAAGGCTTAGAAGGAAACGAAACCACCCTTGATCTGGGGCTATCAGAAACGTCTCTTCATGCCCAATGAAACAGCTCCAAGTCCACACAGAAGGGGCGGAGGGCACCAGGGTCCGGCGGCGGCAGAGCCTGGCTATGCCGAGGGCTGGCTGGGGAACCAGCAGCTCTCAAAACCGGCTCTGGAGGTTCCAGGGAAACGGCAGAGCAGAGGCAGCCCTGTTTCCCATCAGGTGGTGGGATGAAGGCACTGCAGGCCAGCCCTCCTGGGATAGCCCTTTCCCCTCTTGCATGCTTCCAAAGGTCTCAGGCAAGAATGGACGTCTGGTCTCTTCCCCTCTAGACTCACAGCAGCCACACTCAGCCCCAGAGCCACGAGAAAGAGGTGAGAAAGGATTTCCCTTGTTATTATTCCCCACCCATGATGTTTACCTTTCATTTTCAACCCCCTTTAAATATTTATTTCTTTATCTGAAAGGCAGAGTTAGAGGGAGAGGAGACACACACAGAAGAGATCTTCCATCCGCTGGTTCACTCCCCAAACAGGTGCAATGGCCAGAGCTGGGCAGAACTGAAACTAGGAGCTTCTTCTGGGTCTCCCACGTGGGTGTGCAGGGGCCATCCTCTGCTGCTTTTCCAGGTGCATTAGCAGAGAGCTGGATGGGAAGTGGGGTAGCCAGGACTTGAATCTATACCCATATGGGATGCCAGGGCTACAGACGGTGGCTTAACCCGCTACACTGCAGTGCCAGCCCCTCAACCCCCTTTATAAAAATTAACTAACTACTTTTATTTATTTGACAGAGTTCCTATCCACTGGTTCATTTCCCAAATGCCCACAAGAGCTGGGGCTGGGTCAGACTGAAGGCAGGATGGTGAATTTCATCAGGTCCCTCATGGGAGTGACAGGGACCCAATTACTGCAGCCATCACCACTGCCTCTCAAGGTGTGCATGAGCAGGAAGCTGAAGTCGGGAGAGGAGGGTGAACTCGAACCCAAGCACTCCACGGTGGGATGCAGAGGTGTCAACCGAAGTCTCTTATTTTTTAATATTTATTTAGTTGAAAGGCAGAACACTGGGACAGGGCGGGAGTGAGGGAGACAGGGAGAGGGAGAGAGAGATCTTCCATCCACTGGTTCACGACTCAAATGGCCACAAAGGCCTGGGTTGGGCCAGACCAAAGCCAGGAGCCAGAAGTTTCTTCCGGATCTCTCACATGGGTGCAAGAGTCCAAGAACTTGGGCCATCCGCCGCTGCTCTCCCAGGCTCATCATCAGGGAGCTGGATCAGCCGGGATTCAGCTGGTGCCCATGTGGGGTGCTGGTGTTGCAAGAGGCGGCTTCACTCACTACGCCACAGCATCGGCCCCTCAACCACTGTCTTAACCACTAGGCCCATATCTGTCCTCAGGATTTCCTCCTGCAACGCTCTGATAAAGGAGACGAGATAACGACAGCCTTCGTGCTCCTCATCCCCTCCCAGGGGAAGCAGCCCCTGAGCTCTGTTCCACACCCGAGCACAAGGAGGTGGACCAGGCTGCGACCCTCTGACTTCACATGGCTGGACACAAGCAAAGCCCCATTCAGGCCCTCGGCCTGCGTCTGTGTACAAGCCAGCGGCCTCAGCACTTCGGTGCTAGGAACGGGGCTGGCAGAGCTCCCCCATGCCCACAGGTGAGAATTTTACCTAACGAACAGATGGCAGCCCAGAGGCCTTGGGTAAACAGCTCCCGAGGGAAGGCTGCACGCCCCCTCCTGACTCACAGGGCCAATGCCACCACCAGGACAGGCCATGCACCTGTTTACGGGACAAGGTGTTCCCATCCTGTTTGTCCCTCCTGTCATCTTTCACACACGGTGGCTACCGGCTGACGCACCCCCTGCGGTCGGCGTGGGCCTCAGCCCTCTGCCGCGGCGGCTCTCCTCACTCAGAGAGGGTTTTCAGGTCTACGCTATTTAACCCATCATTCTTTTCCCTCATGACTTCCACGGCCTCTTCCCCCACTGAGATTATAAAAATAGTCTTCTCGGTTTTTTGGGGGGCTTCATGGCGTTTTCTGAATGTCTTTACGTCTTTAATCTATTTGAAGCTCGGATTACAGTGACTGCTCCCACCAGTCCAGCTTCCACGCGCGGAGCCTGGCAGCGGGCAGGGCACATGTGAAAACACAAGACAGGGACAGCACGGGCTCTGAGCAGCACAAGTGAGAGGGCGGGCCGCGGGTGCACTCTCAAGTTCAACTCCAGTCCTTACAACCACTTAAACTCAATTCCTCGGCAGCTGGGAAGGACTGAAAATCAGGAAGAGCCTGGCTTGTTTCTCCATGCGCAGCCTTGAAAACCAAGCCTTCCTGCAAATCCTCACCACAGTCCATTCGTGTGGCCTGAGGTTCCAAGGCTGCCCCCGGCGCCCGCTCCGCCCCAGGCCGGAGCGCCGAGGTCTCCCGGGAGCTGAGCTATGCACACGAGGCTCTGCTCCCACAGCTCTCTCGTGGGAAAGGACCCTTGTCTCACAGCCCGCGTGGAAGGATTTTCACCTTCCACAGCACATTTCCTTGGGCAGCTGGGTCAGCACAGAAAAAAAGTATGGAGAAGAGGGCAGTCTCAGTGCTGGCCCTGCTGATGACAGGGCTGGGACTTCCGGCAGACAGACAGCTAGACAGCCGCTCGTGAGAATGAGAAAGACGGCGAGAGGCGAGGGCCTGTGCTCAGCAAAGAGCAGGCGTGCGCTCCGTGGGTTCCCAGAAGTGCACTCTGCTCTTTGGAGCACAGGAAGTACACACTGCTGCCACATTCCAGGCTGACCTTCACCTTGGGAGGAAGACTGAGCCAGAGAGGAACACAGACACGCCTCAGCCCGACCCAGAAGCAGCTCCTGGCTCCTGGGCTACTGTGGCCATCTGGGGAGTGAACCAGAGAATGGAAGATCGCTCGCTCGCTCTTTCTCTCTCCCTCCATCCTTCCCTCCCTCTCCTCTCTCTGTGTAACTCTTTCAAATAAATAAATAAATCTTTAAAAAAAAAAAAAAAAAAGCAACACCTCAGTCCTCCTTAGGATTCTCCATCTCCCTGCAGGCTCCTGAGCACAGGTGCACAGCGTCAGGCCTCTCTGGGCCAGGAAGTGACAGGGAAGCCACAAAGACTCTCAGAGTCACCTGTGGGCCCACCCGCTCTGTGCCTTGTGTACCACAAATGTCTAGATCACAGTGTCTTTAAAAGAGGATGTTCTTTATATTTTAATAAGGATTTTCGGGGGCCAACGCTATAGTGTACTAGGTTAATCCTCCGCCTGTGGCACGGGCATCCCATATGGGCGCTAGTTCCAGGCCTGGCTGCTCCTCTTCTGTTCCAGCTCTCTGCTATGGCCTAGGAAAGCAGCAGAAGATGGCCCAAGTCCTTGGGCCCCTGCACCCACATGGGAGACCCAGAAGAAGCTCCTGGCTTCGGATCAGCTCAGCTCTAGCTGCTGTGGCAATCTGAAGATTGAACCACAGAATGTAAGACCTTTTTCTCTGTCTCTCCCTCTCACTGTCTGTAAACCTACATCTCAAATAAATAAATAAAATATTTAAAAATAAAAATATTGGCCGGCGCCACGGATCACTAGGCTAATCCTCTGCCTTGCGGCGCCGGCACACCGGGTTCTAGTCCCAGTCGGGGCGCCGGATTCTGTCCCGGTTGCCCCTCTTCCAGGCCAGCTCTCTACTGTGGCCAGGGAGTGCAGCGGAGGATGGCCCAAGTCCTTGGGCTCTGCACCCCATGGGAGACCAGGATAAGTAACTGGCTCCTGCCATCGGATCAGCGCAGTGCGCCGGCTGCAGCGCACCGGCCACGGTGACCATTGGAGGGTGAACCAATGGCAAAAGGAAGACCTTTCTCTCTGTCTCTCTCTCTTACTGCCCACTCTGCCTGTCAAAAAATAATAATAAAAAAATAAAAATAAAAATAAAAAAATTTTAGGAGCCAGTGCTGTGGTATAGTGGGCTAAGCCTCCGCCTATGGTGCTGGCATCCCATATTGGTTGGAGTCCTGGCTGCTCCACTTCCAATCCAGCTCTCTGCTATGGCCTGGGAAAGCAGTAGAAGGTGGCCCAAGTCCTTGGGCCCCTGCACCCACATAGAAGAAACTCCTGGCTCCTGGCTTTGGATCAGCGCAGCTATGGCTATTGTAGCCATTTGGGGTGTGAACCAGAGGATGGAAGACCTCTTTCTGTCTCTCTGTAACTCTGCCTTTCAAATAAATAAATAAATCTTAAAACAAACAAATAAATTTTCAATTAAAAAAACACTAATATCAGGAATGTTTAACAACCTGGGCATGGCAAGTGATGGTCTGGTGGTCTGGTACGCCACTCCTGGTCCCATCACCAGACCACCACCTTCCATGCCCACGTATGCAGCCTTGAACTTCACAGACACACCAAGGACTAGTTAGGGTAAGCTCTATGACTTACATTTTAACTGAGCCTGGCTGTGCCCCAGGAGCCAATGTACCCCAAAAACACATGCCTGCACTGTCAAAATCCCAGGCTGGTCCCTCACTTTTCTGCTTGGCGCAGGTTCAGGTAGTGTGCTTGTCAGTGGAGAGTTAATCAGACTCAATTGTATGTCAGTGAACCATCACCCAAGTATGGTTTGGACATACAGGCTAGGGTTGGGTGATCCCTAACTTTTATTTGATGTCAGTGATGAGATGTTCTTACAGGGGTCAAGTATATTATGTGTGATTCAACTTGAAGCAGAAATTCCCCACTGAGGAACACAAACCTAAATGTTACCAGAGCTCGAAGGCTGTACGCTGAAATCTGTTATCATTCACAGCCTCAGTACTTGGCACTCAAATTATGGAAGGGCCGGTACTGTGCCACAGCTGATTACGCCACTGCCT